TTTGTCACCGAGTACACGACAAGCGCATCAGGTCGGGTAGCAGTGCTAATTAGCATATTGGCTTGTTCACTTGGTTTTCATGCCATAACTTTGGAACGGAAGGTTTTCCTAAATCCACGAGTCAAAATCCAAGAAAAGCCTACGATAAACCCGTGTGTATCGTTGCTTGCGGATATAAACGGACGCTGAAGCAGCTAGAGTGGTACACATACACACAGACAGACAGACAGACACACAAGACAACTACAGTAACCCTCGCGCATGCGCGCCGAGGTTATAATACACAAGTATACACTGAAAAGCTACGTTTTGATATCGTCATCATGTTGGACTTCTTTCGGAAGCTCTTCTTGAGTCTCCGGTCCTCCTCACCCGCATCCCTGACCGTGCAGTAGGCTTGTAGATGTGGCAGAGTTGGTTGATGAGGTAGTCATAGTCCTGGACCACTCCAGACTCTCGCTCCTCACGGAACTTGCAAACAACAGCTGGCCACGATACTCCAGCAGAAACTCTGTTAGGAGAAACAACTGTTTGCCATTCTAGGTCTGACAGAGCTCTGTAACAATGTCCTTATGGTAGCATGGGTAGGACTCCTTCCCCGAGGACTTTGAACTCTGGACCACCTCCTTCTTGAGCACATCCAGGACCAAGCCTTGGAACTCGTCTTCTCTGCTGTGATGGAGTCCTGCAGCGAGAGATGAGTAGCTACTACAGATAGCTCTCCCCAACTCTCGAGTAAGTTTGCATTTTATTATTCCGAACGTCTTGCTTCAACTGGGTCCTGATCATTAAATTGTGTATACATGCTCTGCAACAACTAATGCAGTGTCCCCATTCATTGCCTGACGTTTTGTACGCACACTATAATTGTGGCACATTGCTCAACAAAAGGATACCTCTCACTTGGAGGCCAATCGAAACACTTAGTCTCACCAATAATTAAATGTCATTCCAAACGCCCTACCATTGATTGTTTAGGTGTCACTTAATCGCAGTGGCCAGAGGTATGTTGAAAGATAATACCAGGGGGCTGATTCACTTGCTGGTTATGGTATCCGATGATATAATCATACGAGATGATATTCAATTACAAAGCAATTGATCAACTGTGTATCGCTGTGTTCCTCCACGCAGGAAAAAGTGAGACGCCGAGGAAAGAGAAGAAGAAAGGCACGGGGACATCCACGCCGCAGAAACGACCGTTGGAGCAGCAGACGGCTGAAACGGGCGGAGCTAGCAGCGGATCTCCGCCCAGTAAAAAAGCCAAGGGGGTGGAGTCTACGAGTACGATCACAGAAGAGGAAGTTCGTCGCTACCTCTCACGGAAACCGATAACGTCCAGGGAGCTGCTCAAGAAATTCACGAGTAAGAAGCCAGACATTGACAAGAGCCTGGTGCCCGGAATGCTCTCCAGGATCATCAAGAGAATGCCCAACGTGGAGGAAAAGAGGATAGAGGGAAAGTTTTATCTCTCCCTCAAGACTAAGACCTCTGAATGATTGCATTCCCATCATTCTTGCGTGTTTTGATAATACATAGCGCGTGCGCGCGTCACGCGCTGCATGCACTATACTAACCGGAAATCTAAATTCTGGCGCGGATGTAATTGGAATAATAATGAAAATAAAATAACGTGCGCTGGTAAAACCACTACATTTTGCTCCATCCAAGCTAACGCTGCAGTAGCTAGCTACCTGGCTCATGATCACATCCCAGTGACGACGTATCATTTCGTTTTTCCGAAGATTTCCATCTGCTGTGCAGTGCGCAGTTGCAAGAGACTTGCAGCCAAACCGAAGCCATGGTGTCGCGGATCTCTGTCGTTTGTTCCGTCGCCCTCGCTCTGGTGTTCGCGGGGCCGATCCAGTCCGTGTCTGCAGCCAGTCTACTCCCCTACGGCACGGAGCATGGGGACACGCTCGCGGATCAGGATGCGACCTCCGTTACCCTGACAGAGGGCTTCACTTTCCTCGGGGAGTCCTTCACCGTCATCCGCGTAAGTGAGGCATTGTCGTTCCTAATCCGAGCTCTAGGCTCGAGGAGAGCGGTGCCTTTGACGAAGCTGGAGACCATTGCAGCTCTGTGTGGTCTGCGGGGCTGCTGTGTGTGGGTGTTGGCTCCTTTCCGCAGCCGCACTGCTGCAGACTGTTAGAGGTCCACAGCTAGCTATGTAGTAATGCCGATCCTCACCTACTTGGTTCTAGCCCATTTCTTACACACCTGCCCTCACCTGTGTTGATAGGCTGTGGAATTGTTGATGGGTTATGCAAGAGGGGGGTGTTGTTGTGTTGTGGCAGCATGCATGTGTTTGAGAGCATTTATCACCTGCAGGTCAATAGAAATGGTGCTCTTCAGTTGGGTCCTGACTCAGGGACTGGAGAAAAATTCATCGCACCTTTTTTCGGCGACACAGACTCATCCACAGGTGGCAGTGTGTTTTACCGCTCAACGAGCAATTCGTCTCTTGTCCAACATGTGTCGAACATCGTCACAGCTAATTTTGCTGGAACGACGGGGCTTAGCCTCAGCTCACTGTTTATTGCAACTTGGTCCCAAGTCCCTGCCAATGGGCAGCCTGCAAATCAGGTGAGTGGTGGGCGTAATCGTGTTTATTCAGGTGTATAAGGCAAGGATGGCTCACAACCTAGCTTCTACTGCAATGTACTCTGCACAAACTTTCCCTAGCCTGACACACAGTCTTTGAGCACCTGGTATTCACAGAACATATTGCTTAATTTATGCCAGCCCAAAAATGTCTGACACCGCTGCTAAGCAGATAATTGATGAAGCATTCAGCAGGCAAATATACATGTTTACAGAAGGCTTCTTTCCTCCTTCTTTCCATCTCTCGTCCTATTGTTACAGCAAAACATGTTCCAGTGTGTGCTGGCCTATGGCAGCTCAGTCACCTACGTCCTCTTCCTCTATGAGGAGAATGTAGAGATGTGGTCCACGCCTGCTGTGGTGGGGTTCAAAAACGGAGTGTCTCGGTGAGAGGAGTACTCCCACTTGTAGCACCTAATGTGTCAAGACAGCCGGGCACTGCACCCTATGTTTTCAACAGTGTAAACAGAGCCAAGTGTAAACAGTGGCGGGATGGTGTTCTGTATTTTGCACCACAGGTTAAACATGTACAACCATTCACAAGAGTTGCCTTTCGCGTGGTGTGTGTTGTTTGCCTTCCGCACAACCCACCAATGTATTGCAGTTTGTAATTCTCCACTGTCTCTCCCCCCCCCCCTGTGTGCAGGCAATTCATGCTGCCCACGTCAGGAACGGAAGCAGTCCTGGAGATAGCTCAGAGTGGCAACACAGGACAGGCCGGACGCTGGCTCTTCAGAGTGGACCCAACGCAAGTCTTGCTACCAGGTATACCATGTTCCTAGTTTCGGCAGTCCTCCCACACAAGGTCCAGGTCCCTAACGGTGTAGCAAATGGGGGTTCCTGGCTAATTATGCCAATTATTCCATTATCCCAACTGTTCATTGGCCCTTGTCTCCAGAGCTGACACTAGCAAATTCACTGACTCTGGCTGTGTGAATAATAAAATTTATTTTTAAGGTGGGATTGTTTCATAGGCATGCAATAACGTCCTTTTGCCACGACACAGTTATTATAGCGCACAGGTTCTGTGATTGAATGGCGTCCTATCGAACCATCCCTGTTGTACTCGCATGGCCCTTGAAGCGTAGCTAATGTGTGAAAGTTGTGTGCTAATGTCCTGTTTCCTACTGCACCCATTCCTGTCTATATAATAGTTCTTTCAGGATGAGGTGAGGGTGTGTGGGCGAAGAGGTGAGGGTGTGTGGGCGAATGCCACTTTGCACGCATGTTTCAAGACCTGTGATAATTATATTCATAGAGATCTAATCTGGGTAAAGCTGCCATGTATGTCTTCTCACATACTGTGTGAATGTAGTTGGTCAGTGGGAAAACAGCAGGTGGTAGATGCTGTATAGGCTCCGCACCCCTCTGGCATTGGTTCGATATAAGGTGCTCCAGATGATGAGTGTCTTTGTCCACGATACATGTGAGTCCAACAATGTTGGCAGCGGGGATGAATGGAAATTATGTGAACCGGTTGCATGAATCAGACCGTGCTAACGTGTATCGTGGGGCGAACCTACAGCCCCCCCTGCTGGTATATACCTGTGTGCTGCAGCCCTGAGTGTATTGGTCTGAGTAAGTAAGACCATTATCAGTGGTTGGCTACAGGCTTGGTTTGTAATTATGAATTTCCCTAAAGTTTTTTAAGGGGCATTCCAGTGGATAATGCATGTTTTCTCCCGTGGTCAAATAGCAGCTCTACTATTATATGTGCCACATGGCTTTCCTCATTGTTGTGAATCCAATCATTCCTCCAATTGGGAGAAGTTGTCATGCCATTCACCAATTAGATACATTTTCGGGGCACTCCCAGTGAGATATAGTCATGTATTTACCACATCTCTCTCTCTCTCTCTCTCTCTCTCTCTTTGTGTCTCTAGGTCCACTAGTTGAACTGGAAACCGTGTCTTCAGTGAAGGAATCGGCCGGCTCCAAGACTGTCTGCGTCGTTCTCCACCCCAACGCCCCACAAACCGTCGTCTCCCTCAGTCTGCGGGTGGACGGAGTGACTGGACCCAGCCTCTCATTCTCGACCAGCGGTCGGCAGTGTGCCTCCGTGACAGTCACCGACGACCGAGTGGTTGAGTACGATGAGATTCTACACGTAGAGCTGGCCAACTCTGGCAGTGGCGTCGTCACAATCCTCCCCTCCTCCATCTACATCCCTGTCGAGGACGACGACAGTGAGTGTGTAGGGCCACACAAGACCACATGCATACCCTACTAAGGATGATGTGCACATGTATGTACATGCGTGTGGTGGGTCTAAGGGAGGGGCAGGCATATGATGAAGGGGATGGTGTAAATACAGACATAGCTGCACTATAGACAAAGCATGCTCTGCAGTGCTGTTCAAATACCTTGCAAGTCCTTTCATTCCGTACATTCCTGGTGTCTCACCTTTGCCCCCGGTGCAGTGCTGATTGGCTGGGAGAGTGTGGATCACCGAGTGTCAGAGGACGTCGGCAGCGTTCAGCTGTGTGCCGTTCTTAACTCCTCTCGGCCGATTTCTGAACCAGTAACCGTCTCGCTGGAGACTAGAAGAGGTACACAACGCTCCACCTGTGTTTAATCGACCTGAGCATTTTCATCCTGCATCAGTCTAAACAACGCTCTATTACCACCCTCTTTCTCTCCACCCTTCCTCCTTCTCTCCCTCCTCTCTTTCTTTCTTTCTTTCTTTCTTCCTCTCTCTTTCTCTTGCACACCATTAGACGGAGTCCCAGACCAAGAAGATTTCTCTATTTCCGACTCTGTGCTCACGTTTGGGCCGGGCACCTCGAGGGCGTGTGTTGACGTGGTCATCACAGACGACAGTACCGTAGAGGAGGACGAGAGTGTATCTGTGGTACTCGACGAGGCAGAGAACGACAGGGTTACCCTCTCCCCAGACACTACTGCCACAATAACCATCAGTGACAATGGAGACAGTATGTAGCATACATACTTTTTCTTTTCAGAATGGGTTTTACCGGCGAGCTTGGCATAAAGAATTAAGATCAAAACGTCCTGAAGTTTTTCACTTACGTATATGCTGTGCCAAGCTCAGTACCATCTATTCTGTTAGTCAGAGGGCTTCTACTACAGTATAACGATGTAATATCTTCTCTGCTGTAGGCATTTACGTCCAGCCGATAGAGATCACCTCTGCTGAGAGTTCGAGAGTCGGCTGGTAGCCAGCCAGTGTGTGTCAGTATCTCTGGCAGCATTGAGAGGACCTTTGACCTCGAGTTGACACTCCGTGGAGGAACTGCTCAAGGTAGCACATTTCTTTGTAACATGTTGAGTAAGCACATTACATTTTCACATTCAGTATACACAATAGAAGACCCAAACTTACGAATAGCGGACTAGTTCCTTTTATCTGTCTCTTTTGCAGCTGGTGTCCACTTCATTGATACGTCAGGTGTCGCCACTGTCAACCCTGGTTTTAGGCACTGTTTCACAATCACCATCGTGAACGACAACATCTACAACATTCAAGGCACTGATTTCACTGGCGTTATCAGCACCACTGACCCGGCGGTCAGATTGGACTCCGCCCCCTTCCCGATTCACATCAACGACAACGACGGTAGAACACTTTGCTAGTTCATCTGCAGCTCATTATTTAACCCCCTCTCCCCTCCTTTTCCTTTTCCTTTCCTCCCACAGCATCAAATTTCCGGATCACCTTCTCTCAGATGGCATTCACCGGCTCTGAAGATGACGACGGCATGGACGTGTGTGTCTCGATTGTAAACGGACGTCTGGGGCCAGGCAGCAGTGTCAGAGTGAACTTGACCACCAACACCCGTGCTTTTGTTATCGACGAAAGTGAAGCAATGGGTATGTTGGTCGTTCGTTGAATCTCAGCTGTTTTTAATTTCCGGGATTCCCATACTGTTAAAATGGCGATTAGGGCTGGGAAGCTCACATTGGTAGCCACTTTAGCTTTATCAAATATAGGGCATTATCTAGGCACATTGGCTACTTTGGCATGTGTAGGCACATTGGCTACTTTGGCATGTGTCCATGATGTCACACAGGACCATCCATTATTGTTAGGAGACTAATTGTCATTGTTGGGTGCCAGTAGTATTGATCCTTGATTGGAACCATCATTGTGTCGGCACTATTCTCTGTGAGTCTAGTGGCCAGTTCAGTGAAACTGTCAGTGAGAATTGATGGGAAGTTTAACCTTTTTGTCAGCTGTTGTGTAGGCTGGAGAACACACCGGTGTTGCACCACATGCGATTGTCAAAGTCTGGCGTGTGAGACCTGCAGCCATTGTCCACATAGCTCCTTTCTATGTACTCTATTGTGTACATTGTTTGGCTCTGCGACGATCGATGATATCTCCGTGAAGCCCCCATTATTTACCCCTCTTATACCACCACACCTCTCTACCCTCCCCCTCCCCCTCCTCTCTTCCCCCTCGCTCCCCTTCTTACAGTGAAGGTCGACTTTGCCAAGGCCGAGAGGATCATCACGTTCGACGAATCCTACACCACTGCTAGTGAGCCTGAGTGTGTTACAGTTCCAATCTTCGACGATGACATTCTGGAGGACCAAGAGACCTACATTGCGGAGATCGTGAAGATGGACCGTAACTTAGACTATAAACTGCATCCTTTCACCGTCCGATGTGTCATTGACGACAACGACAGTGAGTGGTCTACTAGGGAATGTGGCAGTATACACAGGACTAAATTTAGAATATGCTACTAACCCTATTGCCGCTCTGGGTGCGTGGTCTATGGCCCTAGTGCTATGGCAGCCACCTGAGTATTATTACTAACCCTATTGCCATCTTTAGTTGTCACATTCCCTTTAATACATTCTGCATTATAACAAGTCATTGGTGGAAATGTCTTTCGTGTGGCCCCACATTAAAGAATCTTGCCTAAAATTGCTGTTGATGTTGCCCACTGTTGCCCACAATAGAACATGCATCGCTGTGTAACTGTGTGTATGTGTGCATATCACACAGTGTGCAATGTAGTATGCATCATTCATGGTACCTGAGTTTCCCACGGGATCAGTCGTTGCTATTCATGATACGATGACAGTGTTGCCCCATTCACCACTGGTATTTACTGACTCTGATTAAATGGTCGTGAATATCTGAAGGAGAGCGTATTAGCTCTACCTTGCAGAAGCTGCTAGTGAAGCAGGTTTAGGGCTCCAGTTCGCATCTATGTATGTGAACTTGACACTTTGTAGACAGACAGAGACGAGAGCTAAGTGTACATGTGTGTAAACATATAGTAAACATATAGTAAACATAGTATACAGATAGTATACAGATAGTACACATAATATAGTCAACATAGTATACAGATAGCACCGCTAAAACTGCACCACTGTAGCTAAAACCCAGTGCGAGTGGGATTTTATGCGTGGCATGTGTCACTATTTCTCCTTTCCCTATACAGTTGTGCATGCTGCGGTGGAGAACACACATGTCATGGTGGAGGAGAGGAGTGGTGCCAAGGCAGAAGTGTGCCTCCTCATCTACGAAGAACGCGCCATCGACCTTGAAATGAGGGCCCGCACTGTTCCGGGCAATGCCACCGGTGAGCCAGATACACTATACGCTCACGTACATTCAACAATACCCACAATTATATATACAACAGACTAGGGCCTTACCCAACACTAGCTGCAGTTCAATCTGAGACTGATGATTGCCTAACTTCCTTCAGCTTCCAAATCCACTTAGTTAGGTCAAGAGGGGAACTTAATTCATCCAAGCCACGGTATAATATCGGTAATTATCATACACCGGGCTTCTGTAGTACAAGAACAGGGTTCTTAGTTATCGTGGTCCCCTTCCCTCACAGCCGGTCGAGACTACGTAGGCAGTCCACTGGACGTCGTCTTCTACAGAGACTCCAACAGGGCGTGTGTCTATGTGCCCATTCTGAACGATTTCCTGGTGGAAGAACTGTACGAGACGTTCTTTGTGGATTTCACGGCCAGTAGCGAGCTGGTTATCTTCAACGTGAGCCGAGCCACGGTGACCATCCAAGACAGTGACAGTAAGTTCGCCAACAAACGGTCTCAAGCCTATTGCTACATTTTCTAGTTCTTAAACTTGTGACTATATACAAACCCCTATAAATCAGACACCAATGGGGCAGAAGATATTGGTGAGGTGTCTTAATTTCAGGGGTTAAATTGCATGCAAGAGAATGTTCTTGGGGAAAGAAATGGTGTCCTTTTTAAGAAGTGTCCTCATTTCAGGGGGTCCTTAGAGAGGGGGTGCACGATTAGCCGGGTGCACTCTGTTGAATATTGTGGTTCATCATCTCCACAGTTCTTCGCTACCGAACAGTGGTGGTGGATTATTTGACAAGCGTGGACGAGACAGAGTTGTGTTCCTACAACAACAGCGGGCGGGTCTGTATCGTCACGTCGGGGAGATTGGACATCAACGTCGCCATTTCCTTCCACACGCAGGACGCCACTGCAGTGGGTGAGTCAGTACATCCAATATATGGGGGGGACACAAGGAGAAATGGTACAGTTTGGTCCACATTATGGAACATATTTTCGTCTTCTTGTGTCTTGTGTCACATTTTCGTTCATTAAGGGACAGGAGAAGCAGGTAGTTATAGCCAGGTACAGCTTGGTCCACATTAACCAACAGAGTATCATTAAGGGAGGGGAGATGCAGGATATAATTATATAGGCATGATTAATTATAGATGAACTTATGCAAAGATCTGTAGGTGAAACGTTGGTTGGACAGGAAAAGTGCACCTTAAGAGCACGTGTTTTTACTCGTACAGCTGGTGAGGACTACGCTCCATTCAACGAGACCAGAGTCGTGAGGCCCCAGGACATCGCTGGCGTCAACGAGGGGCTCTGGAACCACTGCTTTCCTTTCTGCACCAAGGACGACAACATTGTCGAGGGCGACGAGTTCTTCTTCATCGTCATAACCCCCCACACTGATCGGGTTAAGCCGTTTGATTCCGTCGAGGACAGGTTCAAAATCACCATCGAAGACAACGACAGTAAGTTTCCCCCCAGTTCAGCTGTACACTATGCGTAGTGTATAGTATGTATGGTTGTGAGATGCATTCCAAATTTCAATACTCGAATTGTTTTCATCTCCTGCAGTATTGCGAGTGTATCCGTCAGAGTCTTCGATAGCGGTGAGTGAGGGAGAGAGAGAAGTGGAGATCTGTGCCAACATGGTCGGGCTGTCGGAGAGGCCAATTGACATCGTCCTCACCACCTCCGATTTCTCTGCCATGGGTGAGTCTGGACTCAGTTTTACCGCATGTGATTAAGTCTGCTAGCACCACGTCCACATGTTTTCGTCTTCTTGTGTCTTGTGTCACATTTTCGTTCATTAAGGGGCAGGAGAAGCAGGTAGTCCACATTAACCAACAGAGTATCATTAAGGGAGGGGAGATGCAGGATATAATTATATAGGCATGATTAATTATAGATGAACTTATGCAAAGATCTGTAGGTGAAACGTTGGTTAATAGGTGAAGTGCACCTTAAGAGCACGTGTTTCTGTATAGCCAGTTCGTGAATTTCTTATAGATGGCAATGTCACCGCAATGTCAACAGCAAAAAATTTTCACTCGCATTAGTTCGTTGAAGTTGCATTGGATTTGCTCTATATTATAGTAGTGTACTTTGATCTTTACTCCTCCATTCCCCACATACAGAGGGCGTTGACTATGAGATTGTCAACAGGAGCATCCACTTCCCGTCCTACCTGAGCGTGTACGGTCACCTCTCAGCGGCCCAGGTCGCCCAGTTTGCCATCGATCCTCCGGTCACCACTCAGTGTGTGGCAGTCAGGATCATTGACGACGACGTCCTGGAGCAGACTACGTCCAAGATTTTTCACGTGCAGTTCTCCACAGAGTCTCTGGAGGCAGATCGCATATTCATAGAGTCTGGGATCACAGTCACTATTGAGGATGATGACCGTGAGTTAGAGTTCTTCATTGTTGTATAAGACAATGTGTGGGTGAGTCTCGAGTGACCCCACCCATAAGGAGAATGAAGGGAAGTCTGATAGCATATCGTGGTTGTCCAGAACCCTTCCTCTTTGGCTCTAGATATTATCCCTTCATCTTGTGTGTGGAGTGGTTTGGTACGGGATTTCCTTCTTGTTGGGTGGTGTGGCTGGGGACGTTACTATCGTTACATATTGTGTCCTCTCTCATCACCATCCTCCTCCTCCTCCTCTCTCTCCCTCCCTCCAGAGGTGATTATGTCACTGGTCCAGGGCACTACGGTGATTGGCGAGGAAAATCAGAGAGTCCGCGTCCAACTCATGCTAATCGGATCTGCCGACTTTGAAATATCTGCCAGCATCTCGACTCGCAGCACAGATGGCCCTAGTAAGACCAACACTTACCCTATTACATATTTCGCCTAATTGATTGGCTTTTAGTAAGAGCAGGTGCACTGAATATGTCGTTAGAGCATTGAGTGATGTATATACCCTTCGCTCTTTCCCTCCCTACTTACTCCGGTCTTCCCTCCTTTCGAAATCATTTCTCCTCTCTCCCCTCCCCCATCTCTCCCTGTGCCACAGATTCAGCCACCCCTGACGAGGACTACGATACAGTGAGGAGTACCAGCGTGGTCCTCCAGGCAGGCTACGCCACTGGAGACCCTCTGGACGTGGAGCTGACTGTTCCCATCAGAGACGACAACCTCTTTGAGGACACGGAGACCTTCGAGGTGGTCCTCAGCAGCGACAGCGACGGTGTCGTGCTCGGCGCTACCTCCGTGAAGACCGTCCACATCCTAGACAATGACTGTAAGTTGGAGTGGCAACTGTTCATACTATAGAAAAGTGAAGGTTTCTTCAACAAAATTCTCACACTTGGCACTGAATGAATTGGCAAAATGTCTCCCCTCTACATATGTATGGTACATTATGTACAAGGAGGTGTAGTTGGCGAGCGGAAGCGAGCTAACCTAGTGGTCCGAACGGCACGATTTTTCTAAATATATATATATGTCACCGTACGTCGTCCAACTCCGCACACACAAGAGTGACTCATACGATTAGTTGTAAGCTCGCTTCCGCTCGCCAAAAATGCCATGCATTCGCCTACTAGTACCTACAACAGCTCTGTGTGTATCGACTCACAGAATCTGAATCAGTTCCAGTCGGTTACCATTACCCGGTGAAATGGGGCAGGTTTTATACACATGTATATAGGCTTTCTTAGCATTTATCACATTAGCTTAGGAATCCCTTGAGAATTTGAGGAATGCTTTGATTAAAGGGAGCGGTTGCGATGAACCCAGGTATGGTCTCCCTCTCCGCTTTTGGGAAACAGGTGCACCGAAAAACCGTGTGAAGAAATGCACTGTGTTTGTATTTCTTGGCTCAGCGATGGGCTACATGTACGGTTCTGAAAATAACACAGTCTGCCTGCCAAGGAATACACCTCCATCATATTATTGTTAATACAACACATTAGTAAAAATTGCTAACCACTGTGTCTTTCAGTGGTTACGCAAGTTGGTGGATACATTTAATCCACTGAGGCATAGTGTGCTGTTGAAAACCTCTCATCACTATTGCAGACGTGGAAGTGGGATTGACAGACGGAGAGTTCCGTGTACTGGAGGGAGACCTCCATGCCCCAGTCTGCTCCTACCTGAGGGGAGCCACAGAGAAGACTGTCCTCGTGAATGCAACCACCTCTCCCGGCACAGCAGGTCTGCACACACACACACACACACACGCACACATCGTGTATAATTCTCTTGCTGCTGAAGCTCTTCCTAAAGTATTATATACTCCCTCCCCTTCTTCTCCCTCCTCCCTCCCTTTGCAGAAGCTGGAGTGGACTACAGCCCGACTCCAGTCCCAGTCCAATTTGTGTTTCCTCCGTCGACCGAAGTCCAGCAGAGGCAGTGCATCCGGTATTCTGTGGTGGATGACGACATTCTGGAAGCAGTCGAGTCGTTCCACGTGGAGATTGCGACCAACGTCCCCCGCGTTAGTGTCGGTCTGAGTACCGCCACAGTCAGCCTGGTGGACAACGATGGTGTGTATGTCTCTCTTTTGGAGCGAGAGCTGAGTGTGGAGGAGGACGCAGCGGCAGACGGAGGAGCCGGGGTCAGCATGTGCGTCCGGATGATGGGCATCATACAGAGAGAGGTGGCGATAAATGTCTTCACGGAGGCCGGAACTGCTCAAGGTACATACAGTATACGTGTGTAACTGGATCAGGCGAGACACAAGGACACACAGTGATCTTCTTCAAATTGCAGGCTCTTTGCTTCAGATTTCATGGTTCATACAAACCCACAGTCTTTGTTGTAGATTGCTTTAGAGCAAGTATTCATCTCAAATCCTCTCTCTTTCACACACACAAACACTACTTCAGCTGATGTCGATTTTGTCCCCGCCACACACACCGTTGTGTTCACACCCATGGACCAGGTGAATCAGACCGAGTGTGCCACCTTCTTCTACCTGGACGACAGCGTCGCCGAAGACACTGAGTTCTTCTTCGTGAACCTCACCACCACCACCACCACCACCGACAACGTGTCTCCCAGCGAGATCTCAATCCTCACCAACCGCGCCCGCGTCCAGATAATCGACTCCGATCGACTCTCCATTCAGTTTGAGCACTCGACTTACTCGGTCACCGAGGGGGAAGACGAGGAGCTCGAAGTGTGCGTGGAGCTCGGGGCACGCATGGAGAAAGAGATCACTGTCCAGTTTTCTGCCGTGGCCGAAACGGCACAGCACTACTCGGACTTCTCGCAGGTGGACAGTCAGCTCACTTTCCGTGCCAGCGGTTCTACCCGCGAGTGCACCCTTATCCGTCTGATGGATGACGAGCTCCTGGAAGACAAGGAGCAGTTCGCGGTCTACATCCTGTTCTCCGACCCCGCCCTCTACGTCCCCGGTCACCCCTCCGTGTCCAACAGCAGTGCAGTGGTGAGCATCGGGGACAACGACTATGTCAGCGTGCAGCTCGAGAGCTCGCTGTATGAGGTTCGCGAGGACGTTGGCGTGGTGTCCGTGTGCATCATTCTGAATGGAACCACTGGCAAAGAGGTGTTCATCTCCTTCACATCCATGCAAGGCACTGCCCAGAACGTCTCTGATTCAGGTATATACATTTATGTAGAATTTGAAGTTGATTTGTTTGACCAAACGACGACTTGGACTTAAGTTGATTAACACTATAGACAAGAGAGAATGCTTTTTCTTTCGCTTGTACCAAGATCAATGTTTTATTTATAGCTCAATATTTGGTGTACTGGACACACAGTCACTATAGGCCAGAGTTAAATACCAAGCCTAGCTGTTCTTCATTCAGATTTGTTCTACACTTTATGTCGGGGATATCGTTAGCATGAAATGAATAAAATGAACATGTTGTGAGAATGTTGTTTTGATTTCAGGTCGTCGGGACTTTAGTGCAGCACCGGAGGAACTGATGTTCTCAGTATCGTCGGAGGGGATCCAGAGACTGTGCGTGAACGTCTTTGTGGAGGACGATGACAGAGTGGAGGATGTGGAGACGTTCCACCTGGAGATCTCAACCAGGGTCCCTCGGATCAGGATCACACAGAACATGGCCACCGTGAGGATACAGGACGACGACATGGTCGCCGTGGACATGACCAGTCGAGAACTGAGTGTGGACGAGGGAGGGGTGGTGAGCGTCTGTGTCAGCAGGAGTGGAGTCATTGAGAAGACCGTCACTGTCGACCTCTCCCTCGAACCTCGCTCTGCACAAGGTATATATACCAGCAGTTTTGTGACGCTGACACTCAGCTCTTCTTTGAGCTGTCCCGGGTGTGACTTGTTTGCTTTGCCTTTGCCTTGCTGCACCTCTGACACATACACTGCCTTCTCTCTCCCTGCAGCCGGGTCTGATTTCACCAACGAGCACATTCAGATCCAGTTCTCTCCGTCGTCCGTGGCCCAGCGAAACGAGTGCAGCAACTTCACCACCCGTCAGGACGACGTAGTGGAGCTGACCGAGACCTTTGTCGTGGGACTCTCCTCCTCTGCTCCGTTTGTCAGTGTCGGTCTGAACGAGACCGTGGTGAGCATCGTGGACTCTGACACCACCTCCGTGGAGTTCGAGAGGTTGTCTTACACTGTCAGCGAGGCCGACGAGACCCTGAGTGTGTGTGTGGTACTCGGAGCTGTCATAGAGAGGGAGGCCAGCGTTAGACTCATCACCGGAGATTCCTCAGCTACCGGCAACTCTGACTTTAACCCCATTGATACCGAGTTAACTTTCCAGTCTCTGGGCTCGACTCGGGTCTGTGCAGATGTTCGTATCGAGAACGACAATGCCGTTGAGGACACGGAGCAGTTCTTTGTTTCCCTCCATGTCACAGACGAGTCCCTCTACACTGGGGACTCATCTGATAGTAGCTCTGTCCTCGTGACAATATCCGATAACGACATGGTGACGGTGAGCTTCGAGAGAGATGAACTGAGTGTGGAGGAAGAGGAGAGAGAGGTGGAACTCTGCGTTCATCTGGTGGGAATCATTGAGAAGGACGTGATGGTTTTGCTTGCCCCAGTCCCCGACACTGCACATGGTAAAACCAAACAAAAGGGTTCAGACGTTCATATAGATCTTAATGTTGTTGCGTAGTCTCTCTTGAAATGCATGTACAACACTATGTATCTATGGTTTGTCGTTCCGCAGCTGACGCAGACTATGTTGCTACCAGCCAAAGCATTCTCTTCCAGCCGAGCCTCTCCAGCATCAACCAGAACTGCACCACGCTCTCGATCGTGAACGACGAGCGAGTGGAGAGCATCGAGAGCTTCTTCGTTCAGCTGGCAACGACAGGGGACGAGCAGGTTATCCTCGATCAAGCCCGGACCAGGGTCGTCATCCACGACACGGACACTGTGTACGTGGACTTTACCGAGTTGACTCACACTGTTAGCGAGGAGGGCGCTGGCGTTACTGTGTGTGTGGAGCTCGAATCGGAGGTAGACAGCAAGGTCATAGTTCAACTGGCGACAGACGACGGCACAGCACGCCAGCCGCAAGACTTTGACAGAACGTACGAGGTCCTCCAGTTTGAGCCGCGTGGAGAGACCAGGAAATGTGTCGCGATCACGATCAGAGACGATGAAATTGTCGAAGATGATGAGCAGTTTCTCGTGTACATCTTTGATTCGGAGAGGTCCCGAGTGAGAGAGAATGAAGGTGGGCGGGGCTATGTGGAGGTGGTGCATTCGGGGAGCGGGGGAGAGGTGGAGGTACTGTCGGGAGGCGTGAGGAGCGTGGTGGTGATTAGAGATGACGACAGGGTCGTAATCGGGATGATGGTGCCCGAGTACACAGTGGATGAGAGCAGCAGTGAGGTGACCGTGTGTCTCAAGATGGATGGAGAGATAGAGAGAAAGGTGGCCGTCTCGATGCGGACTGTGCCAGGCACTGCCAGAGGTGAGGCAGACCCTCTCATCAACCCTCGTTAGTAGTAGTCACATCTAATCTCTCCCCTCCCTCTCTTCCCCCACTAGCAAGCAACGATTTCTTTGCTGTTACGAGAACAGTGACCTTCAGTCCTCGGTCAGCAACAGAAGAGGAGTGTGTGAGTGTGCAGCTCATCGACCGACCAGAGGTTGAACCAGACGAGAGATTTTCAGTCGCTCTCTTCAGCGATGACCCTGCCGTCATCCTCCAACCAAAGGAGACCACCATTCTCATCCTGGACGACGATGGTACGTCTGTAGGCAGTCTCAGAGTTGTACACTGTACTTATCTTTAAGGAGGCAACTGTGAAGATTGGTTCTCTTTCCCTTTCCGCACCTTTCCCCCTCTTCCTCTGCCTCCTGTCCTCTGCAGTTGTGTGTGCGGCAGACAGAACGTCTCACCCTCGTGGAGAGTACTACTGGGCGAAGAGCAGGCCAGGGACGGTAGAGTTGCCATGCCAACACTCTGAGGAGGGCGTGGCCAAGAGACAGTGCAGTCGCGACGGAATCTGGGACCACCCCATCCTCGACGAATGCTACGGAGACATTGAAACCGTCTTCCGATACCTGGATAAAGTGAGTCAGCCCCGTGAGATATATACCGCGAACACCCACTAATATGAACTCTGTACATTTCAGGTGCCGTTCAGTTGCCTCAGTTTCCACGAGCTGCTGCTGGCTGTGAGGCAGGCGACTAGAGAGAAGGCTTTTGAAGTCAAGTATGTTTCCATCGTTGCCCGATTCTTCAACGACTTTGCCGAGATCACCAGCCGAGACGGCTACAACACAGAGGTCATGGTGAGTTTACTCCTTACACCTGTACCCCATCCAAATAGCTCGGTTCTGCTTTTAATATTGTGTATTATATACACAGGCTAATTGTGTATATGTGTATAAAATGAGACAGGTGATACATGCATGTACATACAGTAATGAGACAGGTGATACATGCAAGTACATAGAGTAATGAGACAGGTGATACATGCATGTACATACAGTAATGAGACAGGTGATACATGCATGTACATACAGTAATGAGACAGGTGATACATGCATGTACATACGTAGAGACGTGATACAGCATGTACATACAGTAATGAGACAGGTGATACATGCATGTACATACAGTAATGAGACAGGTGATACATGCATGTACATACAGTAATGAGACAGGTGATACATGCATGTACATACAGTAATGAGACAGGTGATACATGCATGTACATACAGTAATGATGTGTACGTATGAATAATGTTTTACTGACTGGTGTTGTTTGTCCTGTAGACATGCCGAAGAGATTTGGACAGCTTTACAGTTGGATGGGATAAGAAGGGAAAAAAGGGCGTGGCTGTGGTCGGGCGGGTGGGTTTTGGCTTGTGTAGTGGGGGGCCCGTGGGGTTGTGGGCGGGTGGGGGGGCGGCCCGGTCCCGGGGCTTGTGGGAGGGGTGGTGCGGCCGGGGCGTTGGGATTTTTTCCGGTGTGGCGCGTCGCGTGATGGCTGGTTTGTCTTGGTGGCTGGCCTCCGGAGGTGGACCGGGTTGGGTTCCCCGCGGGGGGGTGGTTTTACTCCATTTGGGGTTGGGGGTGTCGGCGGGGGGGAGTCCGGAGATCGCGCCGGGGGCGGCGGTGTTCTTTCCGGGTTTAGTATGGTAGCGGCGCCTGAGCTCCCCACGCGCGGGCTGCGTGGCGCGGGTGGTGGGGTGGGAGCGGGGGGGGCAGTTCTTGCCGGGGCTGGTGCTTAGGGGTGTGTTCTTGGGGGGTCTGGGTCGGGGCGGAGCGCGGGGGGCCGGCTGACGGGGGGGGGGTGTCTGGGATGGCGGGGAGACTGGGACGGTTTGGCCGGGTGGGGGGGGTGCGTGTTGGAGTGGGAGTCTCCGGCGTGGGGGGGGTAGGCGGGGTGCGGGGTTCGGGTGGGGGGGGCGGGTGTGTGGTGAGTTCTGGGGCGTGGACTTGTGTTGTGGGTTGGTGGAGCGGTGGGGGCGGTGGGGAGGGCCGCGGTGCGCGGGCGGTTGAGGGGCGTGGTGTGGCTGTTGGCTGGGTGGGTGGTTTTGGGCCGCATCTGGGGGGTTCGCGTTTCTTGTTGGGGGGCCTGGGCCTTTCTGGGCGGGTTTTGTGGCCGGGTGGGTGCCGGTCGAGGAGGGGGGGGGGGGGGCGCCGGGGGGCGTGGGCGTATGGGGTTCTGTTTGGGCGTGGTGGATGTGGCCACTTGTTCGCCATGGGTGGGTGGCTTGGGGGGCTCTGGGCGGGGGGGGGTCGGCCGGGGGGTCGCGCTGGGGCTGGCCGGGCTGGGGATGCGCGGCTGGCCCGGGGGGGGGTTGGGTGGTATAGGCGTGGGTGGTCTCGGCGCGAGGGGGTGGTCGGTTGGGGGGGCGCCTCGTGGGGCCGGGGCCGGGGGCGCGGTCGGGGTGGTTCGCGGAGGGGTGGTGGGTGGTGGGGGGGGTGGGGGGAGCGGGGGGGATGTGGGGGGGGGAGGTGGGATGGGGAGGGTTGGGGGGGGGGGGGTTCGTGCGGTGTGGGTGGGGTGCCTGTGGGGGGTGGTCTGTTCCGTTTTGGTGCTTTGTGGGCTTGTCTCCTTTTCCTTCTCCCCCTTTTTCGTCTCCTTCCCCACTGACCCCCTTTTTGTTGGGCGGGTCCCACGGGCCGTGGGCCCCCTCGGGGTGGGAGCATTAACTGCACAACGGGCTTCCCATGAGCGCCAGACTGTCGGACCAAACGGTGGTGTCTGGGTCGTTGGTGGGGGGGGATCGGTGGTGTGGGGGTTGTGTGGGGCCTCTTTTTGCGGGGTTGGTTTGGCTTCGTGCCACCGTGCGGGCAGGGGGGCGGGGTGGCCCTGTTCGCGTTGGGGGGGGTGGGGGCGGCCCTAGCCTTGGGGGTGGGGGGGGGGGGGGGGGGGCTGGGGGGGGGTGGCCGGGGGAGGCTTGGTGTGCTGGGCGGCCCGGGGGGGCGGGGAGGGGGGCGGTGCTCGTCGCTGGGCGGGCGCATTGAGGGGGGCTGTGCGTTTTGGGGGGTTTTATGTGTTTTGTCTGTTCGCTTGGTCTGGATTTGTTTATTTTTGTTGTTTTGCTTGGTTTGTTGGTTGTGTGTTTGGGTTTTTTGTTGTTGTTGCTTGTGTTTTTTGTTGTGTTTGATTGTGTGGCCTCGTGAGGTCCTCTGGACTAACTCAACTGCGTGAGTCTGCACACACCCTACGCACAACTGAAGATCACACTTTCCCCATCGTTTGTGCCCTTTGGTCACGATTTAGTGGGACACGTTTTTTTTTCTCCTACAGGATCCTCAGTGATTTTGAGACAGTCAGCGAGCATGTGGTGGCCAACCCTCACTCCGCCGATAAGACCATTACTCACTCCAACATTGCCTTCTCATCCTCCCTGGTGAGCCTCCCCCCTCTCTCCCTTCCTCCACTCCCTATATCTCTTGTTCAACCTGCATGTTACACATATGATGTGTGTTACATAGGGTGAGAGGGCTGATCATGAAAAAGATGGTGTCATGATGAAGTTCTCTGGCAATACGAAAGGTACTACATCCACACCGTTAAAAATAGAAGTTTATACTAAATTTCTTTCTGTAGCCACTCTCCAAGTGGAATCAAGTTCAGGGGCCCCAGTCCTGGGAACTATTGCGCTGCCAGGCTCTCTGTTTCTGTCTCTGGATGATAAGGAGCTCACCGAGGTGGGGCTGTGGTTCTCTGTGCACAGGACGGCAAACATGTTTCCTCTCCTGGACATCTCCTCGAGAACGACTCAGTCTCCACGCCCGTCATTTCGGCCACGCTGGGTGGGCATCACGTGGAGGACCTTCAGGAGCCTGTCCGGTTCACACTTCGCCTCCTCGACCAGGTGAGAGAGAGAGATTAAAGCAGGGAGTAGAGAGGGGTGTGTGAGTGCAGGCATGTTGGCATCTCAGTCGTTTCTCTCACCTGCTGTCTCATCAAAGTATTTCCCCAATTCATTTTCCCAAAATTCTTGACTGAAACTGTCGCTTCTTAGTGATAGGCTTAGTGAAAACCACAGCTGCTAATTGCAAAGCCCACGTGGGCACTTTGATTTGCCTTAAATCACACCGGCTGGCTCGGTTGGTTTTCGCGCCAGCCGGGAGAGCCAGCAGGAATTTCGCACATGTCCCAGCTGAGTGTTTGGTGATTACGATTGAGATTCATTCAATTTGTGTCTCTTTTTGTTCCCGCAGAGTGTGACAGATACCAACTGTGCATCTTGGGATTACGATACTGAAGGTATGTTGACTTCTTACGGCAGTCATTCGTACACACACCACCACCACTATTGCATATATAGCTGTGGCAGTATGAGGTATACACACCACCACCACTATTGCATATATAGCTGTGGCAGTATTCGTACACACACCACCACCACTATTGCATATATAGCTGTGGCAGTATGAGGTACACACACCACCACCACTATTGCATATATAGCTGTGGCAGTATGAGGTACACACAATATTACTGTTCCATCTCAGGTTGGAGCACGTCGGGCTGTAAAACGGAGTCAGTCAAGGATGGCTACGTCACATGTTCCTGCAACCACCTCACCAACTTTGCCGCTGTTGGGGTGAGCCTTTTAGTCTAACCCATTATGCACACAAGGTGCCCCCCTTTAAGACACGCGGTTAATGATTCTCTCTATCTCCCTCGCTCCAGGCATCGCTCATCCCTCCTCAACCTCTGGTTCGAGAGAGGCCCAGTCTGGCTCTCAGCATTGTGTCTCTGGTGGGAGCCATGCTGGCCCTCTTGGCTCTCATACTCACTATCTTCGCTCTGCTCACTTTCGGGTGAGTATCCACTATGCACTGAACCAGTTCAGTATTCACAATGAGCTACTGTATCATATCTCTTTGCTATATATACTGAACATGCTTAATCGACTAGATAAACCCCCTAACACTAGTCACTGACTATACCTTGAATGTGAATTGAGCCGATCAAATTTCGTTTGGTTACAGTAAACTGAGGAGGCGCCGAACGACCATCCTGCGAGCCCAGCTCTGCTTCTCTCTGGTGTTCCTTCTCCTGGCCTACGTGGGTCACATCATTGTCAATCACACAGGGACCCTCCCGCAGGACATTGTGGCACCCTGCGCCGTCATCTCCACCCTCACACACTACTTCACCCTCACCTCCCTCATCTGGCTCGGCGCCGAGGCACTCCTCATGTTCAGGAAGCTGATGTTTGGAGTGAAACTCGGGGACCTCTCCAACTTTTACTTTGTGTCTGCCTCGGCCACCTCATGGCGTAAGTCAACCAGCACACGCTATCAATTTTTTGCTCTTTGAGTTTCCATGAGTATATAGATGGGCTCTCTCTCTCTCTTCACAGTGGTACCGATCCCGTTTGCTTCCATACCTGCCGTTCTCAATAGAGACTGGATCATCACAGAGGACCAGTAGTAAGTCACTCTGTCTGAAAGCAACTCTTCATTTGTGAGCACTTTCCTATTCTTTTCCAGCTGTTTCATCAGCTCACTGCCGGTGCTTTTGGTCACGTTTGTGATCCCGGCTACAGTGGCTCTAGTCTTCAACCTCGTCATCTACTCTGTTGTCATCTGTGTGTTCATCAGATTCAAGTGCAAGAAAGCCCCGCCACTGACCGACGGCAACGCCACCACCACCACCACCGCTTCAAAGAAGAAGAAGAAGAAGCTCACGAAAAAGTCGAGGCGGGAAGCCACTGTCAGACTCATCTTAAGCTCTCCCGTGACTGGCACACTGTTTGTGCTGGCCTGGATCTTTGGAGCACTCACTCTGATCACTGCCGAGGCCTCAATAGGTTTCCATCTCCTCTCGGCTCTCTTCTCAGCCGCCCTCGGTTCGTTCATCTTCATCTACTACATTGTCACCGCAAAGGACACCCGCAAGTTGATCCACGAGGCGTTCTGCGGCAAGCCCAAGAGGAAACCGAAGGCCAACCAGGTCATTTCAATGGAGAGTCTGAGCATGGCATCAGGTATGGACGAGTCCGACAGCGACTCTGACTATCCGGAGAGAGAGCGGCGCTACGGGGAGTTTGACGTGACCTATGTGGGCCGCAAGGGTGCCCTAATTGAGCAGAAGTTCTCCGTGCGGTGGGGAGAGGGTGATGGAGGGGAAGGAAAGGAGGTTGATGGTGGCGACGACAGGGGGAGCAGGGTTGTCGAGGAGGGACACTCACAGTCTGTCAGTGGGCAAGTCATCTTTGCAGCCTTCACTCAATCCTCGACTGAGGGGGAAGACAAGCCGGCAAGATCATCATGCGCCGAGCTAGACACGAGTGGAGGCCAGCCCAGCAGTCTGGAGGCAGTATTGGAGGAGAAATCCAATGGAGAGTGCGGAGGCCTAGATGACAGTCCTGTGCATGTGGGATCACACAGTGGCAGTCAGGAAGACGTCAATTCAGACGAAGGCTCCCCAAAAGCATCCACGGCCAGAAAGAACTTTCTCTCGCCTGGAGGACAAGTGGTGTTCGCAGTGACACCCACAACCTAGAAGTCTTACACCCACCAAACCCCAATATGTGATAAATTAATATCTGTCATCCGTTGTTCAGTGTATGTCCAAATTTTCCGAAATATTATGTAAATCGGCACAATAATACTGTCACCCAAGATCAGTCATTATAATCATAATTATTATATTCCCTTTTCATCAACTGTTCTTACCTGCGGAGCGCTGTTTAGAGACGTTTGTTCTGGACACATTAATTTTCAGAAGAATAAGAGAAGTGTATAATATAGTGTCGAGTGACACCACAGAACAATATATCATTGGCAGCATTCTATGTTGCTAATATCATACTGGTTACCCATGAACTTCATGGTGTTTATATATGCTGCTGGCAAAATAACTTTGTGTGTGTGCACTTTTTATGGCCCCCACTAATAGCTGAACACCTCACACGCACTGCGCATGCTTGCTGAACTGAACTTCGCGGGGGAGGAGCGCGCTTTTTTGGCCGCGCTACATGCGATACGGCTCGCGCGCGCGCATGACGTAGGTTAAAATTGGATGCGCGGGATTTATAAATCCGTTGTTCCACGGCCAAGGGCACATCGAAGACGTGACAGAGAGGTCGTCGTGATCACACGCCTTTTCAGACCTCCCGAGACCGCTACACGTACCCAGTATCGTCCAACTGTGTTGCAGGCGAACCAGCAGCAAGCCCCCGAGGCGCTCGCGCAGACCGATTTCAAAAATTCCCCCTTGAATTGAAACCGTCTCGACCCTGCCTCTGGCAACCCTCCGCCTCGTCCGATCAGAGCCAGAGCTGGGTCACCTTCTCCCTGCTCCCCAGTGCAACAGAACCCGTCTCTCGCTTGCCGCACTCTCTCACCTCGGCAGCAGTCAAGCATGCAAGAACCTACGTGCGCAGAGACCGTGGACTCCTCGACAACAAGCCACTCTCGCGGCCACCATCAGCGAGCACCCTCTCTAGTCCCGAGTGCCGGCGAAGGGCTCTTAAACGGTAGTCTCGCGCTCCCACCGCCGTCTACCTCTCTCTCCTCCTCGTCTGTGGTGGGAGACGAAGGGCGCGGCAGTCTGCTGGGGAGTACCAGCACGGACAGCCTCGTGGGGGGATTCCTCCACTCACCCATGGAGAACTGTGCCAACATCAGTGGAAGCTCTTCCTCGTCCTTCCTCTTCAGCAGGTAGGTGGAGAAACAAACCAGGCAGCCCTGTTTCTGCTTGAGTCTGTTGGCACACACGCCTACGCCTGCTAAATGGCCGAAACCATCCACTGTCACTCCACACCTTTCTCTCTACCACTCTTTACATAATGTCTCCGCAGCCTTATAACTCCCAGACGAAAACTGTCGATGGATCTCGACGAAAGTACACAGGATGCCTCAGATTCTGGTATGAAATATGGTACACCGTCACTGCCTTGATATTGGGTGTGTAGTGGGGGTCTACTAGACTGCACATTGTGTCTGCAAGTGTTGCGGTCAGTATACAGTTGTGACTTGTGGCGACAGTTCATAGCGTTCACTGTGGTTTTAAACAAATAGCCAAAATGTGTCTAGTACTTTGCAACTGGATAAAATTTACTTTTGAGGTCAGGTTGGAATGTGATAATTTCTCAGTGTGGTTTGGCTAATACTACTACCCTGCCAAAATTCCCACCTTAGCTGCCTCCACTTTATCCCCCTTCCTTCCCTCCCCACCCTGGTACCCTCCTTCCCTCTCCTGGCTAAGTGAGCATGAAAACCAGGCTCCCTCCAGCCATAAATAACACCTTGTTGTAGCCCTACTTTCCCAGACCCTACCTCATAAATACCTCAACTCCAGCTGCAGGTGGAATTCCCAGTGAATATAGTTGTTCACTCATTGGTAGTTGGACTGGACAGCAATGATATTATCGCTCACCACTCCCACTTACTAACTCCCCTGCTCCCCTCACTCCTCCAGGCTACAGCAAAGGAGACAGTGTTTCAGTGAGCTCTGTGGAGTCTTGTCTCGACTTTACCTCTGCCCTGGAGGGAGTCTTCTCCAAACCCCACTCCTCCTCCATCACCACTAGGTCAGCAGCTACAGTATACACACCAATTGCAGTATGAAGTCCAAAGAGAACCGAGTTGTGGGAGGGTTTTGTGCTAGAGTTGATGGCCAGCTTTTGTGTGCCTTGTTTTGCGTGCAAAGTGACAACACGTGTGCTTCTATATGTGAATGCAATTGTGTAAGCCACACACACATGTAAGTGAAAGTGTTCTTTTTTCTATTCAACCTGACTATGTCTGTGTACGGCGTCTCTTACTGTTAGCGGTTCAAAGAGCTAAGCATGTATTATACACAGTGTGGCATGCTGCGGTAGTGTATTCGGTAGTGCATGGGGCTAATAGAATTCTGTGTTTCCTCATCTGTGGTCTGACGTGTAGGTGTGCACATACATACTGACTATAGTAGTCTCGGAGGTGGCGTCGTTTGCAAGGTTTAGGGGACATTTCTTGTGGTTCAATAATATGGGTGCAGTTGGGAAGGTACGTACATAGGTGATAAAACACCATGTAGTGGGTTATTGAACAACTAACATGCACACAATGCCACACACATGCAAAACTACGAAAGTTGTTGAGGAGGTATTTATTATGCTCATAGTTTCGACCAACCAAGATTTCCTGCTTTAAGCTGTACGAGTGTGTATATAACATGGTTGTAATGGTGTTGTTTTTCCTGGTTCAGGACTCCACTTGGCAACATCACCAATGCTGCAGGCAGCAAGAGAGGAAGACAGAGATACTCACAGTGAGTATGGGTAGCTGTAGGAACAGCTGACACCTCCTCTATTGCCCGCATGTCCCTGGTCAATGAGGCGTAATTATTCTGTCTGCATGGTCTGTTTCTGGAGATTGATCGCTGTGTGTGGTTGTACTTGTATTTTCAATGATCTTTTCTTGTTGTGTAGGAAAGCCAAAAGAAGCATATCTTTTCCAAACGAAGATAAGGTAAATACATGTCATGTGCTCTGAGTGAAAGACATTGATGGAACTTACTCCGTGCAGAGCAAGAGAGTGCTCCCGTTACATTTGGACAGTCCGTCCCCCTCTCCCCTCCCCTACTCCCCACTCTCCCACCACGACTCTGCCACCAACAGCTCTCGCAAGAACAGCCTCCAACTGATCAACTCTCCTCTGGTTAGGTCCCCTCACAGACCCACGGCTTCCCATTTTATCATCTCCCCCCTCACCCCTGTAGGAACGAATGACTCTCATGTCTCCAGGAGTGTCTTCTTCTAGTGGCTCGGCAGAGCGGCCGCAGTCGGCCAGTCGCCGCGGACCTCGCCCATTTATCTTCCCGTCTTGCCACGCCCGGGAAAACAGCATCGAGAGCGACGGCTACTCCGAGGAAGTATTTGACGGAGAGGAGTCCTCTGCCGAAACCGGCTCTCTTCCCAGTAGACTCACTGCTCTTATGAGTGCTCCTTTCACCTCCAGTGCCTCAGATAAAGACGTATGTCATAACAACACTCAGTTGAGTACATGACAGTAATGATGGTGATGTTTGCAGGCTCACTTCTGCCTGCGCAAGCCCCCGGTCCACTCAACCCCAAACGTCCTGCCTGCTAGATCAAACACGGCGGCTCCCGTGTCGGGAAGGTTTACGATCGTGCGAGCCGACAGCTGTACTTTACCCACGAGGAGAGGATCACTGAAGGTATGTACATTACCCAAGCACGCCAGGGTACTATGTATGTATGTGTGAGCTCTGTACATCTTTCTCTTGACACTCCAGAGAGCCAGCCCCTGCCCCGAGGCCTCAGACCAGCCGAGGAAGAAGAAACCTCCTCTGCCGGTGCTGGACTCCAAGTCACAGGACGGCATCCCTAACCACTGCTCTCCTCTCAAGGTCTGTATAGTCTGAGCAGCCTTTAGTGTGTGGTGTGTATCACCATTTTCCCCTGAATTTGCGAAGAAATTCTATGCGTGCCATTGTTGGAGTTGGTTCGCCAGTTGCAAAATCGCCGTAGAGAGTTGACATTTACAAAAAATACTGACCTGAAAAAAAGAGACTGAGTGATATTTTTTAACTTTTTTTTATTGCTGATGTCCTGTTGGTTGCAGGGTGTTCAGCTGCTGAGGTCCCAATCGTGTTCCCTCGGTGCTACTGGGGACCACGTTGGCATGTACCCTCTGTCTCCAGGTACGTATGTACGTCAGAAAACAACCACTTCCTCTGTACACCATGGCTTATTTTACCTATATACTCCTCCACTACTCTATAATGTGACGGTGTGCTTATTCTGTGTGGGCATGGTTACAAAACCCTGTTTTTCTGGTTCCAGGAAGTGATAATGGAGAAATGATTGGAGATCACTCTAAGGTATATACATGACTCTTACTCTTGAGCTATAGCTACAGTACACGATTATGGTTTTTGTCCTTGTTTCTACAGACGTATACACTGCCGCTGTGCAAGAAGGCTTCAGTCGCTGATCTAAAGTGCATCAGCCCAAAGACTGTGAGTGTCCTTGGAAACTAACTCATCGCTTTTACACGCTTACATTGCTCATACATAGTTGTGGTATCACGATGTGTGTTCATCATTTCCATATTTGCCTCCCTGCAAAGTTGGCAGAGCTGGTGAGGGGTGACGGGGAGAGTGCAGATCTGGTGGACGAGTACTTCATCCTGGACTGCCGGTACCCCTACGAGTACGAGGGAGGTCACATTCCAGGAGCTCTGAACATCTGGAGCAGAGACTCTCTCTTGGAGCAGTTCTTCTCGAGCCCCAAGTACACGTCGAGCTCCCGACGGAGGATCATCATATTTCCACTGCGAGTTTTCCAGCCAGAGAGCCCCCAACATGTATGCCTCTCTCTCTCTCTCTCTCGTTCATTTTCATGCCTCCACCTGTCACCAATTCTATCTTGCTTCAGGTCACGTTTTATGAGAGAGCTTGACAGAAAGAAGAACGGCATGGCGTTCCCAAAGCTCTACTATCCAGAACTTTACCTTCTCGACGGAGGCTACAAGGCCTTCTACGAACAATTTCCGGTCAGTGGAGGGAAAACAACACTCTCTGTGTATTTATGAGCCAGGGCAAGGCAGTAAGAAAAGTGTGTAAAAAAAGGAATTTAAGCTAAGGAGTAATTATATTAGGACGAAATGGAGATTTAAAGACTGTTTGCGTGTGTCGCCTGTGGTTTTCTTTCAGGAATTCTGTGAGCCCAACTGCTATGTGAAGATGCTGGATGAAAACCACAAGGAGGAGCTGAGGCATTTCAAGCAGCGCTCCAAGTCTTGGACCGGTGGGGACGCCGCCACCTGCAAGAGGAGATGCAGCAAGTTGAGACCTCGACGGAGCACCATTGGCAATGGCCACACCCACCCAGCTCCACCCCCTCCAATCAAATCCTAACTCCGACATAATACAATGCGCATCTTGTTTGTTTGTTTGTTTATCATTGTTGTTTTTTCACCATTGTTTGGATGAGAGAAATGTTTTGTTTGTATGTTGTATGATATAATAATAGGTACGATTTGGACACCAGTTGGAAATCTTTGTTGTTCCATTGATTTGACATATTTTGTCAATGTATCACCATTTTGCTTCTTTGTCAAATGACTTTTTATTTTTGTTTTGCAATCACTACTGACTTCTTGTGCTATTATAATAATAATGTTATGACCATATTAGACTAATGGTGTCTGCTGGTTTAAAAAACGAGTCTAAAACTGTTAGTAGTATATTTGGGCTGGGGGCATGTTGTTTCTCTCGGTCATCTCCAGAGCCGAGGAGCTGGCCGATGTTGGGTGGACGTCTTCGTCTCGGCGGATGTCCAGCAGAGCCAGCAGACGCCACGACAACAGGAAGGAGAGCAGTGGAAACACACTCCCTGCAGTAAAATCACGCCTCCAGAGCTGAAGAGCAATGTAGCTATAGCCAGAACAGTGAACCCCTGAACACCGACCTTACATCTGCCCAGTATTATGCTTATAATATGTAGCAACCTCCGAAAAAGGGCCCTTTCAAATTCTCCCCAAGGTGTCCTTATTATTTCAGAGGTTTCACGGTAGTGTATTCTTACCTCCACAGAGGAGCCAGAAGGAGTATCCAAATGAGGGCTCTGAGGAGTAGATATCAGCCAGGTAGTCCAGAGTGAAGGGAAGACTGGCCCTCAGGAGGCTGCCAGAGTTGGAGTCCAACTCCCAGAGGTAGTAATCACTCATCATTGCAATTGAAAGTGCCGCCATGAAAGCTGCGAGACATTCATTGAAACAACTTAGCTACTACTGATAGCTATACAGTTGAATTGAACGGACCAGTAACCAGAGAGAGGATGTAGACCATAGGGGGACCATAGAGCCAGCTTCTATAGGTGCCAAATGTGTTGAAGAAGGCAAAGGCAGCAGTGATGCCACACAGCATGATGGTCAGCCCCAGTGCCACAGTCGTTGCATACACACCAATTATGTCTCCCCTTTCGTACACATCATCTGGTGGAGAAATTATTATTGTGGACTTCATAATATAATAGCAAAAAAACGAATCGTAAACACTCACAAATGAGGTAGCTGTTGGTGTCTGGTTCGACGGCTGAGCTGGATATCCGCGGACTGATGCTGTGCCCTCCTCGGAACAGACTGAAGTGCAGATCCCCTTTGTCATCGCCCGTGGCATTCAGTGTTAGCTTTATCTGCAAGAATACCAAATGTATTAGCTATCTTGCACCACCAAGCAGTGCCTAATTTGTCTGTATATACCTTGACCAATTCTTCCGTGGCTCCTGCAGCAACGAAAAACCCAACGGCCAGCACGCAGCAAACTATGATGACGATAGGAACGGCCACTCGCTGACTGCCCCGCACGTTCAGCCGCAGGACAAACACAGTCTTCTCTCTAATGACAGATACGAAAGAAGTCACCGCTGTTAGCGACATGACTCTAGGCTTCTCCTCCTATGCAGTCGGGGTTGTTATGGTGCCACGCCCCCCTTTTTTGACAACAGGTGCGCATGGGCAAGAAAACAAAAAGATCACTGCATATATCAGCAATGGCTAGAGGAAAAAGTGCATGAGAATGTTAGAAATGACTGCAATAACTACCACACCAACACCCCCGACATCCACCTTCATGTCACAGGCTACGGTTGTTGTTGCAATGCTCACGTCCATGCTCTGCTCTCGACGAGCAGTGTTACCATTGGCAGGGGCGATGCAGGTGTAGGTGCCGATCTGATCGCGGCCCACGTTGCACATGACCAGCACCAGGAGCTGTCTCTGGACCAGGGCTCTGTCATAGTCCCCACTGTTGAACTGGAGTAGCCGGTCGGGGGCATAGTTCACTGAGAACGCAACGTTCTCCTCGTCCAGTCGGGGACCAAACTCCTTACAGAGGTCACTGATCTTCTGGGCAGTGAGGACCACTAGGTCAGAGGCCAGGCTCTCCCCCTCCCCCACGATGGTGTGGTTGGTGGAGAGCACCGACTTCTCCGTGTGCTGGATCTTCCAGTGGAGGTTGGCTTCAAAGCTGATGGAGTAGGTGGCGTTGCAGACCCTGTAGCCATTCTCTCCAGAGATGAGACGCAGGTTTTCCAATTCCTCAATCGTTGTCTCAATCGGCTTGTAGGCTAGTGTATAATGTAGAGATAGAGTACAGTTATACTACTGAACAAGAAGTTTAAGATAGCTCAACACACACAGTTCCCACCCAGTCTCGTTGCACGGAACTTACAGACTTCAAGGTCATATAATCCAGTCTTGGCTGCATTGAAGGCAGATACGACGCTCAGACTCCAGTCTCCAACATCCTCCTCTTTCACCTCCCGTATCACCAGGAAACTGACGTAGCGGTTCCTGATGGTGAGACAATCGCTGTAGTCTCTTTCCCCCACCACCTCGTGGCTGGTGGATATGACAAATGCCGCGTGGGAGTACCCGTTCTGGAGGCGCTCCCGGACTGAGGGGAGGGCCAGGAACATCTCAGGATCACATTCGATGCACCCAGGACACTCGTCAGAAATGTTCTTGGCAATTTCGGTGGCCACGTCATCTTTCTCCCAGGTGGTGCTGTTCTCGTTGAGGCCTGGGGTGACTCCTCTGATACAGAGAACTCCTGGAGACCCGTAGATGGCGCTTCCACTGGTGTCCAGTACCTTTGGCTTTTCAGTTATGTCAGTGACTGCATATAGCAAGGATAGTTTCATTTAAGACATTCAGCCCCGTATAAAAGTGTACGTGTGAAGGCCAACATAAGTGCAGTGGAACTCAGCTTGAGACAGTCTCACAGGGATAATGGATCCATGCAAAGGGAAGTGCTGCCTATTGCATGCAAATGTTGTATGGAATAATCAATGGTGAGACGTTTGCCTCGCACAAGCGTGCCGTGTATGTGGGTCCTTAAGAGAAATATGGGGTGACTCAAAAAAGCGTAAATGCAACAGACGTCCCCAGCTGGTGTCAATGCAACCAACAGACAAACCAACCCCCAACACCATTCAATGGGTGTGTTACATTGGATGCCTATGGACTGGGTGCGGCGTTGTCTGAGCAACTCACAGAGAGAGACGACTGACAGCTGAAAGGAGTCTGTGACGCCACACTGGGTCCCGTCACTCAGCTGAGCCCAGCATGAGTATTTAGCCTGGTGAATGTGGAGGTTGACTTTGTCTATCACCAGTTGTCCACCTTGGGTTGCTCTCATCTGCTTGACAATGGTGTTGACTGAGGCAGATGTCTGAGAGTCGTGACGGGGCTCGGAGCCGTCGAACCAGAAGGTGATGTTGTAGTTGTTGTTGTCATTGTCGCCGATACGTATCGGTATAGGTTCCAGTAGACTGTCACATTCTCAGTAAGTGAGCACTCATGACTGCAGGTTAGGTTCCTGGACAGAGGCTGGAAGGCCACGCAGGTACAGTCTGCAGTGGGAGAGCAGGAAGATGTGGTATAATGTACATGGGAAGAGAGGAAGCCATTTCCTTGGCTCAGGCTGCATTCTACACCCAATGCAAGATCACGTTCAAACCTGATATTGCCAATAAGCATAGAACTGGATCGTGTGTAGCCAGCAGTTATTTTTTGGTATTCTTGTTGAAACAAATGCACATTTTGCAAAAAAACAAGGTCAAAAACATAAAGTTATGCACTGGTGCACACATCAAACCCTGCATGTCGATGCAATGCTAGTCTCGCTGTCAGCGAGACTACACTTATCTTAGAGCATAGCGACTCACCATTGCAGGTATTCGCAGCGGTTTCTCCGTGGAAGAAGAGCAGAGCGAACGCCAACGAGGCACACGAATTCATTTCACGACACACTCTCTCACTGATCAGGATCACGACTGCTGGGAGCACCTCGCTTGACTTATATACGACGATGCACGGAACCGTCACACTGCGCATGCGCAGTATGTGAACGTTGTCCGAGTCAGCAAACTTCTCCGTATGTGTGGCTCCTGCGTCTTCCAGCCAACGCTAACACAAGAGGTATAACGTTCAAATATCCCAGCGTACTTTATAATACCCTACCCTAAGGCTTTCAACGCTTCCTACCAAGCCTACCTTCCGCGTTTGTCGTTTGGGGAAGTCAAAGATGTGCATTATTTAGAATCACTAGCATTTCGCTACTGGATTTTCTCTCCTTTTCTTCGCAGTACCGACAGCAAAGGCTGTCATTGGCGGAGAATGGCGCGCCATATGTCCAGGCACAGCGGTAAGTTCACACACACCATTTTGTACAAGTAGTGCCAAGTGAAGTGTATGTACCTCTTCGGTGTGTGACCAGGTAAAATATTCAACATGGTGGCTGCAGGTGTGAGCTGTGATGCCTGTGGAAAGGGAGGGTTCTCGGGTAAGCGGTTCAAGTGTCTGCTCTGCTACGACTTTGACCTGTGCTCCGACTGTCACGAGGCCGGCGAGACTGGCTCGGGGAGACACAGCACCTCCCACCCCATGCAGTGCATCCTCACTAGAGTGGATGCCGGTGAGGGAGGACCCCTTGTCTCTCTCTTTTCGTTTCCTCTTATTCATGGAAGTTTCCGGTGTGACCCATGAGCTTGCAATGTACATACGTTCACATGCAGAAAGATTGTGTGCGTGCATGTACAATGTGTACACTTGTTGTAGTGTGTGTGTCTTTGAACTACGTACATACATACATAGCAATAAGCACGCACCAGGAATGCCAAGTATGTGTGGACTGTGTACGAGCACTCTTCTACACTCCTCTTAGACCTGTACTATGGTGGTGAGAGTCACAGTGTGGAGACCCCGTTGTCCTTCACGTGCCCGCTGTGTGCTCAACTCGGGTTCTCCGAGGCCCAGCTGCGGGACCACGTGACCAAGCAGCACGGGGAGTCCGCCAGCGCTCAGGAGGTCATCTGCCCCGTGTGTGCCTCTCACCCGAGCGGGGACCCCAATCACCTCACAGACGACTTCCTCAGCCACCTCACCATGGAACACCGCCCGCCCAGAGACTATGAGCTAGTCATATCCTCTCTCACTCCTTAGTTCAAATCCTCTGTTCTTGATTCCCTCCTGTGTGTGTGTGTGGTTTTGTGGTTCCATGGTATAAGATAGTGAGGTATATAAGAAGTTTCAATGTTTTTAGAGCCTGGACAGTGGGGTAGAGGGACTGTTTTTGCCTTTTGAAGGTGGCTGGGGGAACTACAGCGATCCCTCTAACAAAAGGACTCTCTGAATAGGAGCTTTCACTTAGAGTCAGTATTGGGGACCCCTCTGATAATAATATCCCTTGTGTGTCGTTTGTTCAGAGGCTTCAGTGTACACACAGTGTGTTTTTCGAGGTGTTTTTTCTTGACTCGCACCACCACGAACAGAGCACAGTGCAGAGTAGGGTCCGTCGTCTGATTGGTCGCCGGAGGGGCGGGGGGCTGGACCGCTACGTGGGGATGTTCCAGCGAGAAGCAGCCCCACTCCAGGACAACGTGGACCCCATCACGGAGCTTCTCTCCCAGCTCTCTGGTCAGTGACACATGTTGTACACACACACACACACAAACACACTTGTGTAATGGCATGTGCAACATCCAAGATTGACAGTGTAATTATTAATAGTGCGGCATCTAGTAGGATCAAAGAATGGTGTCTGATCATTTGGCCGGGGGATAGAATTTTTTATATACAAGCACTTGGTCTGTAAAAAAAATTTCTGCCAATTTTCATTTGTTGTCCACATTTTTTCTTGGTTTGTAGGTACAGGGAGTGGTTCTGGGGGAGCAGGGGGAGGGGGAGGAAGTGGAGGGGGAGGGAGTGGAGGGAGTGGTGTGGGAAGCATGTCACAGGGGGCAGGGGGAGGGGCAGGTGGGAGGAGACTGTTCTCAGACATGCCGGCCCACGTCCAGCACCTGCTGGAGGAGAGACAGCACTTTGAGCGCGTGTCTCCCTCACGTAGGACCGTCTACCGTAAGATTGTGTCGGGGATGCAGGGCTCTGCCAATCCCTCAATGGCTTACCATTTATCAGGTACTGTATGTGTGATATGTATCGTGAAGTGCATGTTGTACCATAGTCTGATTATATAATATAATACACCTGATACCTGATAGTTATGCGTCACATATATATAGTACACACAAGAATTCACTAGAACTTAGAATTCACATCTGCACTGTTTGAAATATGATACTGTGCCTATCAATTAATGACTTGTGCGTGTTTTTACCGTCAGGGACATGCAACTCCAGTTGGCAGCAGACAGTGGGTGTTCACATGTTTGCAGCGTTTGCCATATGTACATACTACGTAACACCCAAGCATGTTGTGACTCCAGGCTATTGGTCTTTTGAATGCAGTTCCACACAGGTCGCTGCTGTTGGGTCATTGCGCCTGTCTGTGTGAGCAATCAGCCTGCGCCCCTCTCCATTGTCAGGGCCGTAGCTGCCTCCATTAGTCTTTAGTGCTACGACCCCCACTGTACAGCTTCTCTGGTAGTACGGCTCTCTGTAGTAGTGACATAGTGGCTTGGAATCCCAAGTAGAGTGAGCCCTTACAGTGAACTGTCACTGTGTAGGTTTCCTTCTATAGAGCTGTGTACTACAAAGGAAGTCTGTCTGGAAGTGAAGCTCAAGCCCGGGTGTTGTTTGTTACTGGGGATCCTTACTGCATAGCTGGACACTTTCGAGGTAGAAAAACTTTTTTTTTCAAGCTCTCCATCGAGGTTTTCTTCACTAACTTAGGTATTTTTGGCATAAATAAGCCATTAAAGACTTTCACTGAAAGTCTATGATAGTTGGCTATATAATAAAAGTTTACTTGCTCTGATTCCTTGTATATGGCCGCACTCACCTTGCTGGTTCTCTATTGTCGCTAAGTTTACACGTATAGAGAGATACTGTATGTAAGTACGTACTTGTTGGTACACACGTGCAGGTCACAATCCAGTTCTTCCTCCTCATCCTCTCCTGGACATGGGTGTCGGTCTGGACCTGTCTCGAGGACAGGCTTCTGGCAATGCCACCAGAGACAGTCACAAGGAAAGGGCACCTACCTCGGCGTCAAAAGCGAATCATCTCTTAGCAAGGTAATTTTACGTTTTGGTTGGCACTGGCATCGACTGAAAGATTTTTTGATTGTTTTGGCAATAACATCCGTTGCGGTGCTTGTTGGTGCAATACTATTTAGCTCGGTTGGGGAAGAACTGTGTACACTGAAACATCTGAACGAGGAACATCATGGGGGCATCGGAAGTGCCCCTTGTTCAGAGGCGTCCCTTATTTGGAGGTAATAAAATTTTCGTCTAGTGTCCTTTGTAGAGAGCTACATCCAGAGGGTCCTTTTTCGGAGTTCACTGTATGTAAAGGAGAAATGTTCTTCCAATTTCATACAATTATGTTCACACACACACACATCACTGTACACCTCCACAGCTACAGTCTACCTCCACTGACAGAGGCTGAAAAGTCGTCGCTGGAGCAAACCAGGGCAGACAAGAGCCTCTTTGTCCAAGAACTGCTCCTCTCCATGCTAGCCAGCAGCAGCAGTAGCTCCTCTGACTCGGGGTCTGACAGTGAAGATGGGACGTAGTGTTGTAGGATGTGTTTGTGTGTGTATGCCCTATGTCGCTACCACTGCTCTGGATATTATACTGTCGTGCACGCCGCTCCCTCTCTTCATAACGGGAGTAGCTGTCTTTTGCACTGTGATCGATTATGAATTTATCCACTAATGGCTGCACTGCTATCTCTAGGCAAGCACATCGGTATTAGTGTGACGGAGCTTTTCCGGTGTAACCAATTAACGTGTGTGGGCGGAAGTTGAAGTGAGCTAAACTTCCGTCCTTGCGTTGCGTCTGGACTACCTGAGCCGGCCTGGAGCCCTGGCTCTCATTTTCGTAGAGAGTGCCGTGCTGCTCCTATCCTGGCCACGTCTTGTGTGTTCTCCGGCTGTGTAGAGACGCAAGATGCGCGCGTGTGCACTAGCGGCGGGGTACGTGGCTTTGGCTCTGCTGGCTTTCCGCGGAGCAACCGCAGTGACTACCTGCAGCAATAGTGGTGAGTTTATTTTGCACACAGAGAGCTCAACACTAGGTATGAATGTCTGTCCTGTTCGTCGCCGGGCGTGCATGAATCTAGCTACATCTCTTCTCGGCTTTCGAAACCCGATACCTGTCGGCAATTTTGCTTCCACACTGCTTGCGTAAGCACAATGTGTGGGAATAGGTAGCTTCGCCTCAGAGGGGAGCATGGGTGGATTATCAGAGAGATGCTGAGACAGCTAGTTCAGCAGCATGGGTAGCAATTCCTGGATGATATCAGGGAGATGTGTATGAGGAAATGTTTAACTGGCTGGAGGCGGTAGTGCCAAGAGTTTACGATATTTCACACCTTGGCTCGGAATTGTCCCAGCTTTGTGTGCTTTGTCTGTGCCTCAATTGTGGCCAAAGGATATGAGGTGTTAATTTCCTGAAGCTGCAGGATTTGTCACCAAAACCTCTTCCTTCACTATAGTTCTTCCTTTCCTCCTGTCCCCCAACTGCAGACTGTACCTGTGTGGCCTTCCAGCCTCTGTCCAGGAACCTAACCTGCAGTCATGAGTGCTCACTTACTGAGAATGTGACAGTCTACTGGAACCTATACCGATACGTATCGGCCGACAATGACAACAACAACTACAACATCACCTTCTGGTTCGACGGCTCCGAGCCCCGTCACGACTCTCAGACATCTGCCTCAGTCACCACCATTGTCAGGCAGATGAGAGCAACCCAAGGTGGACAACTGGTGATAGACAAAGTCAACCTCCACATTCACGAGGCTGGATACTCATGCTGGGCTCAGCTGAGTGACGGGACCCAGTGTGGCGCCACAGACTCCTTTCAGCTGTCGGTCGTCTCTCTCTGTGAGTTGCTCAGACAACACCGCACCCAGTCCATAGGCATCCAATGTAACACACCCATTGAATGGTGTTGGGGGTTGGTTTGTCTGTTGGTTGCATTGACACCAGCTGGGGACGTCTGTTGCATTTACGCTTTTTTGAGTCACCCATTATTTCTCTTAAGGGCTCACATACGTGCAAGACAAACGTCTCACCATTGATTATTCCATTGCATGCAATAGGCAGCACTTCCCTTTGCATGGATCCATTATCCCTGTGAGACTGTCTCAAGCTGAGTTCCACTCTGCACTTATGTTGGCCTTCACACGTACACTTTTATACGGGGCTGAATGTCTTAAATGAACCTATCCTTGCTATATGCAGTCACTGACATAACTGAAAAGCCAAAGGTACTGGACACCAGTGGAAGCGCCATCTACGGGTCTCCAGGAGTTCTCTGTATCAGAGGAGTCACCCCAGGCCTCAACGAGGACAGCACCACCTGGGAGAAAGATGACGTGGCCACCGAAATTGCCAAGAACATTTCTGACGAGTGTCCTGGGTGCATCGAATGTGATCCCGTGATGTTCCTGGCCCTCCCCTCAGTCCGGGAGCGCCTCCAGAACGAGTACTCCCACGCGGCATTTGTCATATCCACCAGCCACGAGGTGGTGGGGGAAAGAGACTACAGCGATTGTCTCACCATCAGGAACCGCTATGTCAGTTTCCTGGTGATACGGGAGGTGAAAGAGGAGGATGTTGGAGACTGGAGTCTGAGCGTCGTATCTGCCTTCAACGCAGCCAAGACTGGATTATATGACCTTGAAGTCTGTAAGTTCCGTGCAGCGAGACTGGGTGGGAACTGTGTGTTGAGCTATCTTAAACTTCTTGTTCAGTAGTATAACTGTACTCTATCTCTACATTATACACTAGCCTACAAGCTGATTGAGACAACGATTGAGGAATTGGAAAACCTGCGTCTCATGTCTGGAGAGAATGGCTACAGGGTCTGCAACGCCACCTACTCCATCAGCTTTGAAGCCAGCCTCCACTGGAAGACCCAGCACACGGTGCTCTCCACCAACCACACCATCGTGGGGGAGGGGGAGAGCCTGGCCTCTGACCTAGTGGTCCTCACTGCCCAGAAGATCAGTGACCTCTGTAAGGAGTTTGGTCCCCGACTGGACGAGGAGAACGTGGCGTTCTCAGTGAACTATGCCCCCGACCGGCTACTCCAGTTCAACAGTGGGGACTATGACAGAGCCCTGGTCCAGAGACAGCTCCTGGTGCTGGTCATGTGCAACGTGGGCCGCGATCAGATCGGCACCTACACCTGCATCGCCCCCGCCAATGGTAACACTGCTCGTCGAGAGCAGAGCATGGACGTGACTGTGTTTGCGCGAGAGACGGTTGGGAGCACGCAGGTGAACCAGGGAGCCATCATCGCCATGGCTGTAGTGGCCCTCGTCATAATCATCATCATCTTCCTCCTCATCTGCTTCGGGGTGAGGCGCTACCGGCAGCTCAAGTATGAGGCCATGCAGATGCGGCCGATGAGCATCCCGCTGGCTGCGACGCAGCTCACCAATGCCATAAACCACGCCTTTGCCTCTTTCTCTCCCATTGGTTCCCCCATGTACGACAAGTTTGAGTTTCCGCGAGAGAACCTGATGCAGTTGGAAGTTATAGGTGAGTGAGTCCCCGAACTCCCCCGCAACGTAACATACACACACAGTTATGAATATCTCTGGTGACTGTCTTGTTTGTATAGGGGAAGGGCAGTTTGGTCAGGTGTGGCGAGCCAAAGCCATCGGGATATGCAGCGAGGACTCTCGAAACATCGTAGCGGTGAAGACTCTAAAAGGTGTCCTTCCCTTTCCTCTCCCTCTCTCTCTCTCTCTCTCTCTGCCTCCTCTCTCTCTCTCTGCCTCTTCTCTCTTCCTCCTGTCCTTCACACATTGTAGGCATAGGACCACACGTGGCCCACAATAGGTTGAGGTGAAGTACTATTGAGCCTAATTACCATGTAGTAGCAGCTCCATTAGGCTAATGGGGGCTTCACTGATAAGGATGGTAACATACAGTGAAGCCTCTAGGAGAGGACCCTGGGAACGAAGAAACCTCTCCATAAAGTCTGCCCCAGCCCCATTCTAAATACATTGTATATAGGACTGCTTTCAATGCCCCCTTGTTAATAGGTTTAACTTCCAAGTTTTGCCCTGTCGAACTGCAGATAACTATAGAGATGCTGACTACTTTGACCTGCGCTCAGAGCTGGACATTATGCGGAGCATGGAGCCTCATCCCAACATCATTAACCTCCTGGGAGTCTGCTCTGAAGTCGGTGAGTTTGCAGGGGTTTCCCCTCCTAGCTTGTCCCCCAAGACCTTCTAATGCCCATAGGAATAGGGTTTTGCCTGCCTAAAAATGCAATCCCTCTGAGTGATTAAATCCTGGCGATCACTGTGTCATGCTGCACACTTACCGCAGTGCTGCTGTTGCTGGTTGGACTGCCAAAAGCGTTGTGGTGTACAGCATGTGTATGTATGCACCCGTGAAATTGGGGACAGTGCATTCACGTACTATTACACACTGCAATTTGTCATGTGTAGCCAAAGGCCACTATGACAGTTGGCTTGACTGGAGGTTTAATCTTGTTTTGGCTGTGGTTTTGGGGGGAAGATCTCATGCCTTCTTCCGAATTTGTAGGCTCCAGGCATTTTTCTCGTTAATCGGATTCCAAATTAGATTAGGTGGAATCCCAATCCCTTCTCTCCATTGATTGACCCAGTATGCTTGTCTCTCTCTCTCTCTCTCTCTCTCTCAATCTTGATCCTGAAGCCTCCAGTCCGCTGTGCATCCTAATGGAGTATGCAGCGTACGGGAGCATGAAGGACTACCTGGCCTACTGCAGACGAGTGACGCAGGCCCACGCAGAGGGTCTCACTAGTCCAACGCTCGAGGAGGCGTATCCCTTGGCTGCAGCATCCAACGGTGCCATTCTCCGGCAGTCTATGCTCATGGGAGACTACCCCCAACTCCAACCACTCAGCATGAGACCTGCCCTCGGAGGAGGAGGAGGAGGAGGGGAAGGGGGCCACTATGAGGGTAACGACTACCTCTACGACCCGATGGTGGCAGCCAGAACCCGTCGACTCCTCCAGATGCTCAAAATACAGGGGTATTCCCCTGAGGAAGCCGGAGGGGAGGGACCCCCCACTGCATACAATCACCTGGCGGCCCCCAGCGGTGCCGAGGCGGCCGGAGTGAGTCTCTATGACAAGTTGTATCCCAACAGTCAGTGTGTGTATCGACCGTGTCTGGAGGCCTACAACTACGCCTGCTATCGTGGGGCCCAGACGAGGAGGGACAATCACGAGCAGGAGTACTACAACGCCACGGCCGGCGGGATCATAGAAGAAGGCGAAGAGGAAGAAGAAGCACCGAAGGTTCCACGTGAAGGCGACATCTCACCGTCCTCTACTACAACGGAAACGGTCCAGCTCATCCGAGCCTCACCGGCCCCTCAGGTGACGATCACCAACGGACCGTCAACCCGGCCACCTCCCTCCCTCTCCATCTCGACACCGGTCCACTCCAAGACCAAGCTGGGACCAACCCTCAGCACACCCCAGGTCTCCTCCCCCGGTCAGGATCATCCCGGTGCCTGCGCCTCGCTCAGTGCCAGTCGAGACAACGTGTTTGAGAGTCCAAGTGGCTCAACCAACCTCGTCGCACCCTCCAAGGAGCACCTGAGGGAGTCCATGATATCGTTCCCCGACGGGTACATCTATGCTCCGCCGCCCACCGAGGGCGAGTCCGAGGGAGGGCTCATGATTACAGGGGCCGGGGGAGCGGTGGGGGGAGTAGCGCCGGGACTGCGAGGAGAGGAGATGGCAGAACTGAAGAAAGAGAAAGAGCCAGCCCCTCCAATGGAGGAAATGATTACCGACCTGGACATGATTGACTTTGGGCTCCAGATTGCACGTGGGATGGACCACTGGAGAAGATGCAAGTAAGTCTCCCCTATTTTAAGACTTTCGTAGCAGGTTCTTTGGTCCCCTACACATACAGTATAATCACTCTTTCTCTCTGTAGTGTATACACAGGGACTTGGCTGCTCGCAACGTCCTCATTTCGGAGGATTTTACGCTAAAGATCGGAGACTTTGGTCTCGCCAGGGACCTCTCTGACAAAGACTACTATCGCAAAGTCACCCCTGTGAGTCCTGCGTGTCTGTCAGTCTACTCCTTCCTTTTCGCTTTCTTTCTTCGTTGTTCTGTGTTCTAGTGTTTATTTCTGAGAGAGAGATATATATATAGAGAGAGAGAGTCCGTGACTGGTTTGTTTTCTTGTCTGCAGGGGAGGTTGCCTGCTCGCTGGATGGCCCCCGAATCACTGGAAGAGAGAACTCACACCTTCCAGAGTGATGTGTAAGTAACACCCACATGTGCACCAGTGTCAGTATGTACAACTGGAGGAGGAGGAGGAGGAACATTCTTTGTTGTCCATGCACTGAGTCAGTCGCGTTCCCAGTGTGTCTGTCTGTATGTGTGTGGGTGTTGACTGTTGAGTGCACTTCATGGGAAGTGGTTGGAGTGGTGAACTGAAGCTAATGGGGTGAATTATAACAGGAGACAGACAACTGGCACAGTGGTACTATACCAGTAGATAATATGGTGGACTGTTTACTACCATTCATAGTTGAGCAGCTCTCTCAGACATGAGGTAGATTTGCTATACAAAAGGACAATGAAGGACGCCTCTCTAGTACGGACACCATTTCTTTCCCCAAGAAACAGTTTCTGCCAACCCATGAAATAAGGACGCATCACTAATACAGTCCAGTTGGTGTTAGGATCACCAGGATCACGTGGACGATTTCACCCTCATCATCATACCGTGTCTGCCTCTGTGTTTCTCTGCAGATGGTCGTATGGAGTGGTTCTGTGGGAGATTCTGACCTACGGGGAGGTACCGTACCGGGGCCAGCCGGAGGCCAACGACTGCGACCACCTCGCCTACTACCTCCGCTGTGGCAACAGACTTGTCCTTCCTACAAACACCAGCGACGAATTGTTAGTACACTCTCTAGTTGCATCCGTCGTTAATGAACATGCACGAAGGTCACACTGTGTAGTGGTGACGGCTTGCGAAAATATTGTAGCGCTTCTCTTCTTTAGTCGTAGCATCACTCAGTGTTTGTAGTGTGTGTGTGTGTTGTGATGTGCGGCAAGATCAAAGTCAGCTCGTAACAACCTGAAAGTATAATACACACAATACAGTTATGTAGCTTACTGGTGTGTTGGCCAACAGATGAATTTGATTGTAGAGAGCCCCCGGTGGGTGTATTGGTTGCCCAGACAAATATGAATCCTAGAGAATTAGTGGTTACGCCACTTCCCCTTAGGTCACCATTGCCTAATACTTCAGTTCAGAGTTTTGGCATTAGGTCATATTAACCTGGAACTTTCTATGGAAGGGGAAGGAATGTTCCCAAACTAAGTAATGTTCCCAAACTAAGTAGGGGGCCTGTTTTCCTTGTTCCCTGCCTGTTAAAGAAGACCCTCCCTGAAAGGACTAGGGAGGCTTCTAATGGTGTGTAGACTATAGCTCTTTGACTATTCTCTCTCCCAAACCTTTCTCGCTCTCTCGTCTCTCCTTCAACCCCCCATCACCTCTTCCCCTCTCCACCCCCTCACCTCAGTCGGGATCTGCTGACGTCCTGCTGGATGTTAAACCCAGACAAACGGCCATCATTCAGCGAAGTCGTGAGCATCCTCGACAACCAGCTGTCTGCAGCTCACGTTAGTCTCTTGGCTGGAGTTTTATTAATATTGCTACATATGTGTAAGTATACTGAATCAGAGTTCATCATAGCATAATTATGAATCAGAGTTTCATCATAGCATATGAATCAGTTTCGAATCAGAGTTACATCATAGCATAGTGCTCTGAAATCACTGGAAATTCGTTGGAAGGGGAAGTGTTATGAAAGGGTATATTCTTGTTCTCTACCGGTGAAACAAGATCCCTCTGTGCAGGGAAGACCTTGGGGGTGCTGGGGAGCCTCTCTCTAGGGAACACCTGCAACAATGAGTAGTCTCAAGTTACACTCTGCCAGGGGGGGTGGTACCTGTGACTAAGCTCTCTTGCATAATTAGGTCGTTGAAATAATAATTGTTGTTGTCATGCAGGGTTACCTGACGATGGCCTCTGCTCCAGTGGACCGCTTTTCGCTCCACGAACAGGCCGGCTCAGCCAACCCGTCTCCCCGCATGCAAAAGAGGAAGGCAATGCTACAGAAACTAGACAAGCTCCACGGAGCCGACCGCCCCGTATCCCTCCAGCCCGGCGCCTTCTCCAAGGCCCAGCTGGCCAAGAGTCCTTCTCTCCCGATAGTCGAACCGCTCAAAACGTCTCCCTCTCCATCTGCCCCGCCCCCTCAAGTCTCCCCCTACATCCTCCCGACACCGACCCCCGAGGTCCCTGCCAATGGGAACCTCCTCTCCGTTTCACCCCTCGGGGCCTCTCCCTCTTCCCACCCCCACAAGATGTACGGGTCCAACCCGGAGATCTCTCTGTCGGGCCGCGAGACGACAGTAGCTGACAACAACCGCTCTGTTTCACCAGCAACAGGGGATAAAGCTCCTCAGAACGGGAGTGTTCGTGCCAACGGTCACGCGGTGTCTGGAACCATCTTGAAAAGCGTCGAGACTCAACTGTGACATGTGCAGCAGTGGCACAGGTTTTTTTTTCATTCCACAATCAATCATCTCAAGTCTCAAGGCATCTTAGTAAAATGTAAAGATACCAATACGTACAGTATTTTCCCATCATTTCCCCTTAATTTCCTTATGTATACAGTGGTGTATATTTTTTAGACATGTGTCTTGTGTTACCACGGTGATGTTTGTTTGGCTCCCACACTTTTTCATTGCTACATGTGTATGTCACCCTTCATCATGTTTTTTGCCCTCACAAATTTTGCAGGACCATAAAAAAAATTGTATTGAGCTGTAGGACCCATTCTCGGTAAAAATAAATAGATATTAGTTTGCTTTTTAATTAGGACAGTAATGGTAATTGGTAATAAGAGATCGGTTTGCCATCGGCTTGTGTTCATGTTTGCGGATGGTCTGGGGGCTGGCGGTGAGGAAGCTGCAACTGTCTCCTGTAGGTGAGAACGGCGCGGGAGTCGAAGGCAGCCAGAGCCAGAGTGTCTCCGAGAGGGTCACAGAACCTCCCTCCACACAGCAGATGGTCCCCAACACTCAGTCTGCAGAGATGAGTCACCTGCAGACACAACAGCCAGCACCTTTGTGGTATAATACCCGTTTAGTGGGAAATGTTTGTGGCGAAAAAAATCGTGTTTAGATGCAAAAATGAGAACTTTTGAGGATTCCCCCGTTTTGGTGTACAATGGTCCTGCCACGAAAGGTTTCTCCAAAAAAAGGTTTCCCTGCAAACATTTCCCACTATAGACCCTTTCAGAACAACACACCGTCTTGCAGTCACTACAAAATAATAATATGCTGTTAATATGGTTGCAGCTGCACCTGGCTCATTGGTGAACATGTTTGTGCACAGGCTAATGAATATGGTAAATTTTCCATCATCTAATAAATTAGCACCGGCGAAGTACGTCAACATTGCAATTCCCAAAGGTATCCCCGAATTGGCATGGGTAACCAACCTTTGGACTTGTTTCCTCGGTAAGCCGCCACACGCTGGCCGTGCAGTCCTCGGAGACTGACAGTAGCTATACGATATGATGGGAGAGAAACAAACACAACACATTGCCCACAATTAGACCTGCACCACGAGCTGGTTTCACTTTTGAACAGAAGCCCAACAGGATGTCTAGGTGTATCAAAAATCACTGGAGATGTTTTGGATGGGTATATACAGGGAGCTTTGGAAGGGGGTGGTACTTCTCTCTAAAAACACCCATGAAATGAGGACACTTTTGTTTCCCCAAGAACAGTTCTTTTAACCCTGAAAGAAGGACATCACACATTCTCTGTCGCGATTATATACTGGATTAGAGTGGTTCCGTACTCACCAGTCCGGAGTCCTGTGCAGTGTCGAGTGCGGTGACGGAGCGACCGTGGGCAGCTATCTCCGCCGTCTTGCGGCCCGTCTCGGTGTTATAGAGTCTGATAGTTCCACTGGAGAACCCGGCCACCAGGATCCCTCTCCAGTGACAAAGACACTGGCACGGGAACGACCTAATACATACCACAGACATGATGCACACAGTAGACATACAGTCTGAGGAAGAAAAAGTCACTAATTGATAGCAAAATCAATGATTAATTTTGACCTACTGTAAAATGGTACCAGATCTCCGTCATTTTTTTTTCCTTCTCTTTACTCGAAGTTACTGTCTTCACATGTACATCGGTTCTCTTCAGATTACCAGTAGTGCTATCCGTGTACATTGCCCCCTCTGGGTACTTACCCCGGTTCGTTAATGACGAATCTGCTTTCTGCACTGATTACAGGGTTTGACCACACAATTATCATTCCCGACTCGTCGCTGCTGGCAACCTTTGAAAGGGCAGAAGAGACGGTAATAAACAGACATGACAACAGAGGTAATTCATCAGAGACATTAGGGTAAATATCCGCTGGCTCTAAATGTGCCAACAATCTCCTCAATGTCATACATACATCACGCTGTACATACCCGCTAAATCGTGCTATTAGAACGGCGTTTGCAAAGGGAGGGTATGATGTAACCACTAAATGAATGGTGCATACATACGTAACTACTATGTATAGTGCAACAATTAGCTTTCACCATATTGTATTGTGAGATCAAGGATGGACCCTCGCTAGTAGCAATCAACTACACTAAAGAACCAGAGACTGCAATCACACAGTCTTGAATGGTAGCTGCTAGAATTGCTGCTACTAGTGATGCATGCAATAGCTGTTAGTTGGAGATGATGTAATGTTGTGTAACCTGGTTGAGGGTGCAGGGACAGAGAGCAGTGATGGGAGCAGAGTGTCCTTGGAGATGGCGACTGAAGACCACATCACACCCAGTGGGAGGGACGTAGAGGACAGTAATGTTACCCTCTGAAGTACCTGCAAGGGACAGGGGAGAGAGTTATTGTGGGTAATGGAATGTTGGGAGTGATAATATCCCATATTCACCAGCTGGCACTATAATATTGCAGGCAAGGTGTACACAGTGATGTGAATGAATGTCTTTGCAACTTAAGATAACCCACCCACACACACAACGTTGTCCACTGTAGCTATTCCCCTTGCAAAGCGCTGCTCTGCAGGGGAAACAATAGTCCTAAACACAACATGAACTCAGTGTATCTTTCTCTCTCTCTCTCACCATACGCTCCTCTCCCCGTCTCAAATATGTTTTCATAGGCCACTTCCTGCCCGTTCCAGTTGGAAATCTTGTGAAGTCAGACAATAATTTAGCCTCATATTTTGGAGTTGAAATTACCCTGAATCCTCTGTATGAGGTGAGAACCAGCACAACTCGAGAAGACTTTAGTCTACACCACTCCATCTGCACACGCAAAGGTGACCTAGTCTCTAATAAAAGCGCACCAACCAACGTGGGAACGTACGCCGGTGAGAGTTCTGGAAGAGACGTCTTCCTGGGATCCCGGGAAGCCGACGCTCTCCGACGCGATAGCGCCAGTGGACGAGGCGTACGTTATGGCGGCGACGTTTCGACTGACGAGGCCGTACGCCAAACCACCTTCTTCGAGTCCCTGCAGGACGGCTAGGTTTCCGTGGACCAGGCTCGCGCTCTCTGCCATCTTGACGGAGCCATCCTCGCCGTATGATAGACCCACCGACATCATCTCTCTCCCACCGGCTAGTCTATGTCCACGAGAGAAAAAGAGGGGTGGACCTGGATGGAGTGGGTGGCTGGATACGAACGGACCCGACTGGGGACAAATTGTTTGGAGGTGGGTGGAGTCATCTACGAACCAAACCGTTTGTCGTTGCGAGTATGTGTATATATCTTTTAGAGTCACCACGACGCTGCTAACCATACTTGTGACAGAAAACTGGGCTGGTTGCGAAGCTGGATCAGCGAAGTTTCGTCTGTGGACTCTGCCTTGTGTTCTGGTAAAAGTGCGGAAGTGCGGATTTATAGTCGAGTGTGTGAGCTGCTGCTGCTTTTGTTCAAGCTGCGCCGCGCGCGGCACTGCATGCACAGCCTGTTCTATGCAAGAGCTTGCCTTGTTCGACCTGGACAGTAGGCTGTGTGAGCGACCCGCCCAAATAGGGCAGTCACAGCGGGTTGCCATTTGCATCTCATCCCTCTCCCTATCCTACAGGGTGCTGCTATCCCCAAGAGGACCGATCCTTGAACAAGCTCCCCTCTCCCCCTCTCCCTCCTCCACAGGGAGTACATAGCACTGGTTGCTCCACCTCACCTAGAGAGTGGCAGACTACCTCGACTGACTCTGGCACTGGGACACCTATAGATATGGGACTTCTGCTGCCTTTCAGTTGCTGTAGAATAAGACGGAGACGAACATCACTTGTGACTCGGGTCCTGGGACTCCTGCTGGTGGTGGTGGGCTTCACCTGGCTCACCTTCCTGGTATTACAGGCCAGGCAAGAGGGTCTCCAGTTGGAATCACAGCCACACAAACTGAGTTCTGTAGACTACGACGTGTTCAGATCAAATGAAAACCACAACATCATTCGTAGCGTTGACATAGGTCGAAGTAAGGATAGCAACAGTAATAACAGTGCAGTACATAGATTAGCGTTAACAAACGGGAGACTTCCCAAAGGTATAGACATTCCAGTGCCCCCCATCCACAAGGAAAACAATAACGCCGCAAAGAAGGATTTCACTTCCCCTTCATTGTCGTCATCCTCCAAGACAGAAAAACATGGGGATAGGAAACAGAACTCCAGCGATCCTTCCTCTATCCCGCTGGTGCACAACACGGCCGAGAAGCAGCAACAGACGAAGCAAGAGACACAGGATCACGTCACGCTGGACCTGCTCCCGAGCCAGAACGGCCCAAACTCTCTCCAGATACTGAGAGACAGACTCCACAAGGCAAACCGGGAGCAAGTGGTGCTGAATGCAGACAAGTACCCCGCGCTGGCCTCCGACGGGATTGTGCTGATCGTCCAGGTCCACCGCAGAGAAGGCTACCTGCAGCAGCTCTTCAACTCCATGAGGAATGTGCGGGGAATTGAGAAGGTGCTCCTGGTAATCAGTCATGACTACTACTATGATGACATGATGAAGCTCATGCAGACGGTTGATTTCTGCAGGGTAAGTTGTGTGTGTGCATAAGTATTTACTGCGTACATACAGTTATTGTGCAATCCCTTCGGTGCACTGGTAAGAGCTGTACCATTACACACATCATTTCAGTGGAATCTAGCGTTGCTATTTAGGGGGAAACAAAATGCTCCTGTACAATGGTGTCGTGTTCTGTGTGTCAGTGTAAACTTGCTTTCCTGGTACCAATACCCAATCAAGCCATGGTTGGCAGTTCGTTGGCCAAGTTAACAGAGTTAAACGGCGGGGCCCTGGATGGTAGCACATGGTGTTAGCTTTCCCAGGCCAAAGAAATGACATCTATTCTCCAAGAGATTCCTCTGTTAGTGATTTTTGTCGCGCTGTCTTGAACAAAGGTTTGCTCCATTAACAGCCTGGAATTACAGTTATGCACTTGTAAGCTTTTTTGAAAGTCAAGAGTGTGTATGGGGGGGGGGCAACATTGTACTGGAAGATGTAGGTGAGCCTACTTGGTACAAATTGAATAGAGATATGTGACATAATATAACAAAAACGAATCAGGGAATGGAATGGGACTCACAGGCCGTGAATGATGGCACAGGCAGACGGTCTTTGTGTTATGTTTGTTCTTGTCGTTGTGTGTGTGTGTGGTTGGCATGGTGGGGAGGGGAGGTGCCTGATTTAATGAATACGTTCTTGTCACGAGAGGCACACGACTAACTGATAGCATGCGATTTAGAGGCGAGGTTTCTGAGGGTGTCAATCTCGAAGCCCTCGATTGGTGGAGTGTGGCGAGTGTGAATATTGGGGGGAGTGCATGAATAGCCGAACTACATGTGTGGGTAGGGAACCTAACGCCTCATAAGACCCAACGAGGCCTGAATAGAGGGCAGCCTTCCCAAATGCTGAACTGATTGGTTGTTGTATACACTACCACCACCACCACCGCTCTACACTCTGTTCTGTACTATACAGCAGTGCCCACATATTATCTGTGTATATAGGGACATGTGCCACCAGTGTCCACACATCTGTGTAGGCCTCCTACGTATGTACATGTTCAGGTCCACTACCACCACTAATGCAACAGCTGGCAAAGCCTGTGTCTTAGTTACCCATTTCACTTTCGATTACTAGGTCACCTTCTGGTTGATGTTATTCTCCTCTGTCACAGGTGACCCAGATATTCTACCCTTTCTCCCTGCAAGCCTACCCTGATCAGTTTCCCGGACCATCCAGGAACGACTGCCCGCGTGACAGCACAAAAGAACAGTGAGTAAACTCCTGTAATCACTGACAGGATGAATGTAGTGGGGGAGTGTGGAGTAGTGATGCCCGATGGCGCAACACTCGGTAGTTCCGGCCAGGAAGTTCCCATTATGGCTGTGGGCACATGAAGAGTGTTTGTGTACTGCAGATCAGCTGTTTTGGACCCACAAAGATGGGAACCCAGCTTCAGCCAGACGCCACATTCCACAGCGTCACTAGCTGTCATCAGGCAGCCAAATACTACCAGCTTTAGTCAGAATCAGTGCGATCTTTACATTTGCCTTTGGCAACTTAACCTTTATAATCCCTGTGGTATGTGGTGTGAGTGTACAGTTTATGGTTGTGCAGTTTTTGTTTCACTGTGTTCAGTAAACTTTAAGGATGTCTGCTTGTGCTTAGATATGCCAGTCTAGCCTGCTGTTGTAGGCAGGAGATAGTCTGGTAGTATGTGTACATAGGCCTGAGTACTAACAACTGGGTTGGGGGAGAGCTGACAATGCTTGGTATGTTGCAGCATGTGGTGCGGAGACAACCAAACCCAGCTTATCTGCTCCCCATCCTACATGTCCCCATTGTGCATTGTAAGGGGTGATAGATAGTGTAAGAATTGCAGGAAATCTGCCCATTGGAACACTGCTGGAGCCAAGGTGTTGGGGAAGCTATGACTAGACCTTGAAACAAAACTGCATTAGCTGACTGACCCTCCAGACATTGCTACTCACCTGCCAACCCCCCTCCATTTGAAACAGCCACAAGTGCACGCTACACTCATTAAGATGTAACAAACACTCATTAAGACGTAACAAACATGGCACCACTTTTTTGGTTCCAGAGATGCCACTGTATTATTGTTGTGTTTGGTATGGATTAGCCGTGTGTTTTTGTAAGTAGGTGTCAGTTGTAGCACTCCTTGCTCGGTTGTTTTCCGATAAAGGACACATTTGTCGCCAGTGAATGCACTTTGTTAAGAAACACGTGTCCTTATACGACATCCTTCCTCTCTTCTTCCCCATCCCGTTCTCCCTTTGCTCTCTCTCTCTCTCTCTCTCTTCTTCCGTTTCGCCTCTCCTTCGTCGCAGAGCTCAGGCAATGAACTGTACAAACGCCAACTACCCAGACGAATACGGCCACTACAGAGAAGCAAAGATAACAGCCGTCAAACACCATTGGTGGTGGAAGGTATACACAAATCCATTTTTACACGCGGGTGTGACTCAATAGAAATTCAATGATATATGCTACTAGCTCAGCTCAATTATGGCAATATTAGACCCACAACAGGTGTCTATGCCTAATCCAATACCACTTTGCAGTCTCAATGGCAGGTGGTGTCGTTTTGCTGGGCAGGGATCCATAGTAATACATGCAGCTAATGGTGTCGACGTGTGCAGATGTATTGTTGCAAGTTGGGGGAGGGAGAGACAATGTAATTGTGCCTGGCTCCTCAATACCACCGGTGGTTTTACAGTCCGACACCAGTAATAGACCGTGGGTCTCGGTTGTGGTATGAGATCGGTACCACATGCTTCGGTCTCCGAGACATCTCTCCTGTTTCTTTGGTTGTGTGTGAACCAGACTGTCTGAATTAGTGATAGGCTGAGGTTAAAACCACTAAAATGTTGGAGCGACTCCCACTTGTCTGAATAATGTTTACAACAGACAAGTGAAGAAAAGCTCTCTCCCTCTCTCTCCCTTCCTCCCTCCAGCTAAACATGGTGTTTGATGGGATGAGAGCCACCAAGGACTTCAATGGCTATGTCGTGTTTCTTGAAGAAGACCACTACCTATCTCCGGACTTTCTCTACATGACTGAGAAGCTGATTGCTTTGAAAGAGGAGTGAGTGTGTGTGTGTGTGTGCCTCCCTTCCTTTCCCCCTCTCCTATTGCTTTCCTGCTTCCTGACCTCCATTCATGCCTGCACAATATGTGGTTTTCTTATGCACTGGCTTTCCCATTCAGTGTCTGGAATACATAGCATCCTTTTGGTATGCAACCATATCCTTTCTGTCTACTTTTTGCCCACAATTTTGGTTAAGATTGTTCTGGTGACCCCTGCTATTGTTTTGCACCAGTCTCTCTTTCTGTTTTCGCCCCCCACCCAGGAAATGCACCGACTGTGACTTTATCAATTTGGGGATGTACACTGCAGTCAAGGGGGTCAGCAGCTTGACACACAGGGTAAACACCAAACGCAAGTGCATGTGTTTTGTGTTGGGTAAATGCCTGGGGTCCAGTGTAATTATTGACAAAACCAAACATTATTTTTTGGGACTCCTAGTTTCTACTTGACTCATGCTTGAGACGTGAGACATTCCCCTCGTGTGATAGGTATCTGTTGGAATATGGAATGCTGGAAAGAACAACATGGGCTTTGGAATAAACAGGAAAACTTGGGAGCAGATAAAGTCCTGCAAAGAGGTATGAAATTGTTTAGCACATTAGTCACAAGGGAGACCAACCACTATTCCATCCTCCCTCCTGAAATACACTTTGCAAGCATATACATGCCCATCGTAGGCGGTGGGTTAAAGGTGCTTCCAACAGTCTCAACATGATTTCACTTTCTCTCTCTCTCTCTCCTATTACAGCACTTTTGCACCTATGATGACTATAACTGGGACTGGTCCATCAACTCTATGGGGCAGTCGTGTCTCCAGAGAAACCTAAAGGTTCTGGTGGTCAAGGCACCCAGGATTTTCCACATAGGGAACTGGTGAGGCCTGGCCCAACAGTGGTTTATACATAGCTGCACTAGGGGTGTACTATTACCATGCTCCACAATGTAATGCCCTGCCCAATAATCACACATATAAAACAGTGGCTTATATATACATAGCTGAATGTAATGGTGTTAGTTTCAATACTCTCACTCTCACTTGTTGTTGCTCTGCCACACACAGTGGCGTGCACCACAGAAAGGAGTGCAACGAACGGAAAGATGCTCAGAAAGTGGAGCAGTTGCTACAGAGCCGGAGAAACACTCTCTTCCCCGAGTCACTTCATCTGGACATGGGTCTGAACCCCGGACCCTCCCGCAAGAAGGTCAAGCCCTACGGAGGATGGGGCGACATTAGGGATCGAAACCTCTGTCTCAGTTTTGTAGACAACGCATTACGAACTACACTATAGCATCACCCTCTCTATTTTCTTGTGTGTCGTTTGTGTAATCTCTATGTTGTGCTGTTCTGTTTATTTATCGAATTGTCCATGCGCATGCGTGCGGGATTCAGCCGGCTCCGCGCGCCGCACTTCTAAATGACTGTACCTATGCGCATGCGTGTTAGGACGCTATAAGAGACTAGACACGCACGCGCACGACGACGGAGAGTCATTCTCACGGCGGATCTGCGAGCGTGTGGTCCTGGTCGACATGAGGATTGAGCTGTGCATTCTAGCTTCCCTTTTCATCGCAGGTGGCGCTATTATATCGCAGCCACACTGCTGCGACGACCCAAAGATATGCAATCCCAGAGGTAGCCGTTGCATGAACCGTCAACAATAAATGTCTGGCGGTGCATTTCTGTTCTGCAGTTATCACGAGCTGCCCGCGGAAGGATCCGATAGCTGAATGCTCCACGTGCTGCTGCGACAGCAGTGAAAATGTGGAGTTCTACAACCCTGATCGCCCCGAGCCGTGGTGTTCCGCACCTCCCGCCGTCTACACCGTCACATTCGTGGGCACTTGGACTGGAGTGTGTCAGCCTGACTACTACCCCTCCAATGCCCACTGGTCTCCTCCGACTGGAGCCTCTCACACGACTGGCTACCAGATGTGGGATGCCTGCATGGACGACGCGTCTCCTGGAGTGGCACAGGTGTCTCAGACCGGAGCCACCACACTGATAGAGGGAGAGTATAGGAACAATAGCGATCATATTCTGGACACGTTCAAAGCAGGCCTGATAACTGGTGGTGCAACTACGTCAAGTGAGGTATCAGTGGACAAGTACCATCAGTGGGCGTCAGCAGTGACGATGTTGGCTCCAAGTCGGGACCGCATGGTAGGGGTGGCGAACCTTCGCCTCTGTGACGGCAACGACTGGAAAAGATCGGTGAAAGTGTGCTCTGAACTGTTCTCCACTGCATCGAGGTCGCAGAGAGTCCATCCATCGATGCAGAGGAACAGTGTCCAGTGGAACAACTGCAGTTTTGGCTACTTCAGGTTCACCTTCAAGGAGTACCAGAATGCCAGTCAACAAACTCCAACCACTGAAGAGATTTTTGAAGGTATGTGAAATTGAGCAATAGGTTACTTGTCAAAGCTATAGATTCTTATCAGCACTGATTCCCAGCTGCTGTGGGGGAGTACTAGAGTAACCTGATAGCACTGTGATAACTCCCTAATGCGCAGCTGGGGATGTGTGTCCTGTGATGGAGCACCAACCTGAGGACTGCCGAACATGCTGCTGCCACTCCAGCCCTGGCGTCGACTTCTTCCGTCCAAACGCGGCCTCACAGATTGAGTGCGGTGCACGAGACAGCGCCGAGTACAAAGTCTCCCTCATACCGACCATCAGTGACATCTGCCACCCCAACCTCCCATTTCCCGGGAACTCTGAATTCTCCGATCTCATACTAGTCTCTCACGGCGGATTCCAATTCTTCACCAGGGCTGTGACAGACACTGATGACTTTTACTACGTTATCGTCTACAGGGAGCAGTCTCTCGGAGGACTTCTAGTGGCATTGGAGCAGGAGCTTCAGTACGGAACCATCAACGACTATTTTGCCCCCGATACGCTCACCACAGACAGTGACAGTAAAAGGACGGTTGGAGAAATTGAGGTCACTCCGTATCACAGATACGTCACCTTGACCAGCACACTGGTAACTGTGCTATAATCACTATTGGTTATTTATATGTGTTTCTTGCAGGGTTACAACACCTGGGTTGGATTCAGTGCACTCAACCTGTGTGGCCCTAGAGGGTGGAAGAACCAGCTGGACATCTGTCTGCCTCTACTTGCCGCAGTCAATAAGACAGCATACCCAGATGCCCCTACTGAGGTCCAGGGAAACAACTGCGCCTTTGGCTACGTCCGCTTCGAGCGAACCGACAGACCTGCCCCCACATGCAGGCCACATGATGGTCAGCAGCTCCTCATTCTAAGACACTGATGGCGCTGCCTTTAAGATTGTGTGTTGTTCTCTTTGCACAGAGAGTGCATATTCTGATCCGAACCTGGAACTCTCTGCTTGCTGTTACTCTGAATTTAGTGAGTTAGCAGCCAACATATTTTAACAGAGTCTGCACCATGCTTTATTATTCTACCATGTACAGTCCTTGAGGGCCAGGTAATCAGCATGTCTGAGCGTTACAGGGATCGTCGCTACCGATACGATCTCCTGGTAAGGGTTACCACCGTCTACTATGACGATATAGGCCACCTTGAGCCCGGAGACCTGGTCACCATCAAAGTGTGCAGCCTTCCCTTCCGCATCAAGTTCAAGCGGACCTACCGTCTCACCGGGTCCAGAGAGCTGGGTACAAACGAAATGGAGATCAGTGAGAATGGAATCATTGCTAACATCCCTGAGCTGGGGCCAGGGAGGCCTCTCGGAGCGGGCCCCTGTCCCCCCTACATTCTCGGTGGAAACTGTGATGATCCACGTTGATGACTTAGTAATGAGAGTTAAAAATAATTTGTAGCCACTTGTCTGTGTGTGCGCGAGTATACATGCGCAGGCCGCGAGCTCAGCGCGCGCATGCGCATAGGCGCCTTCCTTCCGCGCGAGAGCTTGTCGCAGTTTCGCAACGTCGTGCTGCGCTGTTTTCCACTAGTTCACCATGAAGGGGTCAATACTCGTTATAGCTGCTCTTTTCACTGCCGGCCGTGCAATCATCTCGCAGCCGCTCGGCTGCAGCAGTTCTAACAAAGTATGCGCTCCAAGAGGTAAGACCGAAATGGACTTTAGCTAGACTCTCACTTGTAACTGCACGCAGTGGTGACCTACTGCCCGCGGAAGGATCCGATAGCTGAATGCTCCACGTGCTGCTGCGACAGCAGTGAAAATGTGGAGTTCTACGACCCTGATCGCCCCGAGCCGTGGTGTTCCGCACCTCCCGCCGTCTACACCGTCACATTCGTGGGCACTTGGACTGGAGTGTGTCAGCCTGACTACTACCCCTCCAATGCCCACTGGTCTCCTCCGACTGGAGCCTCTCACACGACTGGCTACCAGATGTGGGATGCCTGCATGGACGACGCGTCTCCTGGAGTGGCACAGGTGTCTCAGACCGGAGCCACCACACTGATAGAGGGAGAGTATAGGAACAATAGCGATCATATTCTGGACACGTTCAAAGCAGGCCTGATAACTGGTGGTGCAACTACGTCAAGTGAGGTATCAGTGGACAAGTACCATCAGTGGGCGTCAGCAGTGACGATGTTGGCTCCAAGTCGGGACCGCATGGTAGGGGTGGCGAACCTTCGCCTCTGTGACGGCAACGACTGGAAAAGATCGGTGAAAGTGTGCTCTGAACTGTTCTCCACTGCATCGAGGTCGCAGAGAGTCCATCCATCGATGCAGAGGAACAGTGTCCAGTGGAACAACTGCAGTTTTGGCTACTTCAGGTTCACCTTCAAGGAGTACCAGAATGCCAGCCAGGAGCGCCCCAGTGATTGTCAACAGCAGTGTGAGTGTGTAGTATGTTGTCTATAACTTACACCTTGTGGTACAATAAAAAATTAAATTGCACCTGTTACTCTAGACTACACTCCCACAGATCACAACGGGTTTGCTAGGGTTTCTGTGTATAGTTGAGTCATCTGTTTTTGTTCCAAATTGTGAAAACAAGCTTTCAATCTTGCAGCCAGTGATGTGTGTCCTCCACTGGAAGACAGACCTGGGAACTGCCGGATCTGCTGCTGCCAGACCAGTGACAATGCCGACTTCTACCATCCAGACACTGCCATTCAGCAGTGCACAGCCACCGAGGTCGCTGACTACAAGGTCTCTTTGATACCAACCATCAACAGCGTGTGCCACAGTAGCTACCCTTTTTTCGGTGGTGGAGTGACAAGCTCCTATTTTTCTGACCTTCTGCTCACCACACATGCTCCAGTACAAGTCTTTGACTCGTGCGGTGAAAATATTTTCAAACACACGGAACTACATTACCAGCACAGAAGAACAGGTGGAATTCACCATCGGTATCTTGGACTCTGAGGTGGAAAAGGACGACGTCCTCTTTAGCTATTACCTTCGTGCTAGTGTTCTGGAGCGAGGGAACCGAAATAGGAGGTCAGCACGCATCAATATGTCTCCATCGCGACCTTACCTGACACTCATTAGCAAATTGGTAAGACTAGATACATACATAGAGTGTCACCTATGGTATGCCCTATTTACTGTACAGCTTCCATCAGGACCGGATGACCAGTGGGTGGGATTCAGTGGACTCAATCTCTGTGGACCAGATGGCTGGAAGAAGCGTGTCCAGGTGTGTCTTCCACTGCTGGCCATCGCCGACAGGACTGCTGATCCAAATGCCGAGACTCAGTTGCAAGGAAACCACTGCTCCTTTGCCAATGCTCTGATAGAACGCAGGGCTCCACCTGTGTCCCCCCTTCCTCCTGGCAACTGTACACCACATGACGGTAAATACAATCTTATACAAAAACACCTCAGAGACACTGTCATTCTCCACAGAGAGTGTTTTCGCTGTCCCAGACCTTGACCTCTCTGCTTGCTGCAGTTGGGAATTCAGTAAGTGTTATCTTCATGTCATTATGTGCCGGTACCATTGTGCCCAATCATCCTCCAGTTATTGAGGGTCAGATACTCAGGGTTTCCGAGCGATACGGAGATCCCGAGTACAGGTACAATCTTCTGGTGGATGTCAAGGCTGTCTACTATGACGAAATCGACCACATTGAAGTTGGAGATGTGGTGACCGTCAAAATATGCAGCCTGCCTTTCAGAATCAGGTTCAGGCGCACCTACCGCCTCAGTGGTTCCAGAGAGTGTGGAACAAATGAGCTGGAGATAAGTCAGAATGGAGTCATTGCCAACACCCCTGTGCTGGGACCAGACGGGCCTCTCGGAGCAGGCCCCTGTCCCCCCTACATTCTTGGCGGAAACTGCGATGATCCTCGCTAGAACCTTGTCAGGGCAACATTTCTAGTGTACAAAGTAGTCTTTAGCTCCATCTGTTTGTACTGAGCTTATATGTAGATGAGTTTATATAATAGTAAAACTAAACAAGTTGGCATTTTTTCAATAATGAGTGTATGTGGTGTTCATAGGTGACTGGATGTCCAACATAGTGACGGACGTGCCCAGTGTCCTGCCAGCAGTGGGACTGGACCTCTCTCCCCATAGCTTGCTGATCAAGCATTACCTTGCGAACACGTGATGCCTTCGTAACAGGGTCAATTTCAGAATAGAGGTACAGCTGGGGGACGTCCAACAGGGGTGACCTAAGAAAGGTGTCCATTTCTCTCCTCTTTCGTGGACCTATCACAGCGTTCAGTGATGTGCCTCCGCACACGGTGGCCAGGTAGACTGGCAAGCTGAAGCCTCCCTTCTCGTACATTAGTTTGGGCCCAACCATTCCATTTTCGTACGTAAAGAGGGTGGGGCCGCTGTCAAACACTGCGCACGCCGGATTCAACTTCTTCGTCAGTTCTCGCTCCCTGCTTTCAAAGTCGGAGACGAGGACCGGGCACATCAAACCACCTGCCGAGAAGGTTTGTAGCACCAAAGACACGGGTTCTTCGAGCGATTGGTCCAGACCGCGGAGTAAGGAGCGAAACAGTCTCGAGCCGAGAGCCGTGATCCAGACCTGTAGGAAGCTCGGGGCAATACAAACTGCCGGGATCCCAACCTTCGCGTAAGGCTCCGCGTATTTGGCTACGGCTCGCAGGGAACCGGAGGTCCATCCGACGAGAAGGGCAAGCACCCTCTTTTGCTGGATTTGTCCTTCGGGCCCGGGTCGCACCAGAGTAGCTCTAGATCCCGGAAGACGCTTCAGCTGGTTCTGGAGTCGACCCAGCTCAACGTCTGACACTGGGCCACTCTGAGACGAGTTGCATCTTCTTCCTCTCGCTGCTCTAAAAGAACGGCCAGTGCATCTCATCATCATAATACCGCGAAATGACAGCGGACCGGGGCGAGGGGTCCGAGCCGACACGCGGGTGGAAATCTCGTACGCTTAGCCCTATCCAAACTTGCCACATGCACACGTACGTATATAATACACACACTCGATACTCGTGTGTGCGCGCATATATTATGGTGGTGTGGACCACGCGGCGGCCGCCATCGTAGTACAACGAAAATCACGCGGAAACGCCGCGCCGCCATGCCATGCCACGCGCTGAAGGTCGCGCATGCGTAAAAACGGGGAACGGGCAAAATAAACGATGGGGCACACACACGGGTATACAAAAAATCAGTCATCAGCTCTTGTACGTCGTTTTTTGATGGGTGTGAGCAATCCTTCGTCATGGACCTCTCCTTCTCGCCGGCCTTCAAACCAACATAGTTACCACAACACAGTCATAATGCCACGTAAAGGTAAGTGGAGGGTATATAACTCCAGAGACTGGAGAACAACCGCACATTACTAGCCATTCACAAACAAGAGAAGGATTCTAATAGCCACCAAGCTCTAAAAACCGTCCTCGTGTTTTTTTGCGGAGTGCATAATTTCAAGTCTGGTGTTGTGTCCGGAGGCCCAACCTAACTCACCTTCCTTGTCTCGGCTGCGGAGAACTTTGGGTGTGGATGACTCAACAATCAGCTGCAGCTGTGTACTGAGGTAGTCCTATAGAGTCCACAGGGTAACAGAATAATTATGGGGTCTGAATAAGGTGTTGTGCTCCTAGTTACCTGAATGCTCTGCATCACATCAGCCCGCATCTTCTCAGCCATTTCATAACTGAACAGAAACACAGTAATGATGTATATTATATACTGAGGAGCCCCTGTCTGTACTGTTCCCCAACTCACACATCGTGATCCGAGCTGTTGTACATGAAGGCATTCTGGAACATCAACAGCATGTCCCTTTGAAACTCTATGTCAGTAGTTACCACCTGAATTATAGAGAGAAAATTATTAAAACTGGTATAATCGGCTAAACTATCCTTTCAATTCCCGGAAAGTTGAACTGAATCAGAAGGAAAACTGTATTTCCAGATCAGTTTTTATCATTATAAGTTTGCACTGCTGTGCAGATACGACACGCCAGTGACAGACTCACCCCGTTCTCTATGCTTCTTTTGATGGAGGAGAGATCCATTGGTCTGTGGATCACGTCTTTGTAGCCCGGCGCATCGTCCTCTCTCACAGGATGGAGAAACAGATTGGCATACCTATATACATCGTAGGGAGGCTGTGGATAGCATTACGAGGTTGCAACAGTCTATATCTATACATACTTGTGCTGAGCTGCGTGTCTCCACACTAGCATAATGGCCTTCTTCCACTGTTTCTTGGACATTCCACTGTCGGGGTCACCGTCACTGCACAGTAACGAGGCTCTATTACAGGGGGCAAGAGAAGAGGGTGTGTGTGTGTTGTGGTGGTTCACCTCTGTGATGGAGCAGGACTGGGCGCAGCAGAGGTGACTATAGAAGACGGTTCCTCCTCCGATTCGAGATCCGTGCTCTCCACACTTTCATCCTGCGAGAAACACATCAGTGTGCTCATGTGTGTGTGTGTGTGTGTGTGTGTGTGTGTGTGTGATACTGCAACACTCACTACATCGAGTTTTCTCTTTCTAGATCTGGTAGGCCACAACTCTGAGAAAAAAGTGAAGAGAGTGTGAAAGAGAGAGAGAGAGGACAGGGAGAGATAAGTGAGAGAAGGGAACGTGGCAGTATAGAATCAAAAATGGTCTTGAACTGGGCCCTACTGTCTATTAAGCCAGTACTAGTTCAACATTCTCTTTAAGACCTGTTTTACAATACTGGGCCTTGTCTGACTTACTCTTGCTGCTGCTGGGTTTGGGCTGTCTCCTGCGAGGTAGGATCTCCTCAGACTCTGGTGCCACCTCTTCCCTGGTCCCACTGGCAGTCGTAGACGTGAGGGGAGAAGAGGGCAGCTCCGATATGGAGCTGCGTCGAGAGCTCCCGGCCTCAATCTGCATCTGGGACACGGGAATAAATAGAACCTTCTCGCTTTAGACCATTGTTACCGATTCGTCCAAAGTCACTCCTCCACCGCCACCATCTGCATCTCTATCGCTCTGTTTTCCCTCCACAGACGCTTCTACACTGTCTTTCTGGGTGCCTGTTCCACTATATCCAGTAACACTGTGCGGTGACGATGGTGGGTTTGCCTGTGCTTCAACATTCTCCCCCTTCTTTGCCTCCTTTTCTTCCGTTGTCACAACATCCATCTCCACTTCCTTTTCACCTCTCTTCTCCTCTCCCGTGCCAACCCCATCAGCCTTGTCGACGTCTCTCTTCACAGTTTCAGAATCACCGACAGCCACGGACTCCTCCGCCTTTGCTCCAGTGTGCCCACTCTCTTCTCCAGTCTTCTCTCCCGTTTTTATCACGGGGAGGACCCTGCCAGGCTTGACTGGCTCACTGCCGTCTGTCTTCCACGGCTCCCTCACTAAGTCCACTGTGGGCTGTGGGAGGCAGTCTTGCAGCTGTCTGCTCCCTGCCAGCTGGGTCAACGGCTGAGACGGAATCTCTCCTGACGTGTTCTTGCTTTTCTTCTCTGTCTCTGTCGGTAGCTTAGTCTCGACCGTTGTTGCTGATTGAGGCTTCGATTTGGCTTTATCGGCAGCGGTTTGCAGTGTTGGTGGTTTGGTGTTGTCGGTAGTGGTAGCTTCTTGTGTCAACGGTTTGGTTTTGTCTGCAGTGGTCGGTGTCTTTGACAGTGGCTGGGTATTCTCGGAAGTGGTTGTGGCTGTTGCTTGCGTTTTTATTTTGCTTTTCTCTTCCATTTGCTGAGTGTTTATATGCAACATCCCTTTGTCTTTGTCTCCAATGGACTGGCTTGCCAATAGTGGCTTGCTTTTCCCCATCTCCTTACCTCCACCAGTGCTCTGACTAGTCAGCATCGGTGGATTATTCTTCCCCTTGTTCTCCGGGCTCTTTGACTGCGACTTGCTCTTTCCCTTGTCTGGCTGGTGTCCTGCGGGTGGTTTCACTTTGTCAAGAAACTGTTGGAGAGTAGGTTGTGCTGCTGTACTGGTAGTCCTGCTGGGCCCAGGCCTGGAGGAGAGTCGCGGGTCACAGAGGACACTGCTGACTACAGTCATGGGGGCGGAGAGGGAAGCCTGGGGGTCATGCGAGGACGGAGGTGGCTGAGATTGGGTCTGTTTCAATGGGGAGTGATGGGGCAAGGCTGCAGAGGGAAGAAGTGTGATAGTGTCCCTGGGGAGAACTGGAGGAGGAGTGTGAAGGGGAGGGGGTCTCGAGGGCAGAGGAGCCCGTTGCAAGGCGAGCCCGAGAGGTTGCCCTGGCAAAGATCCTACAGTTGGTGGTATCAGCAATTGCAGAGGATGCACAGGCAGAGTCGCAGCTGAGCTCAGAGCCTCTGCCACGGTTTGGGGTCGAATCGGAGAACGGAGCGGTGGCGGCACCTCTGACACTGGCTCCTGTTTGACTGCAACCATAGCTGGTTCAGTCGAGTGCCCGGGAGGTTGAGGTCGCTGTGGGACAGACTCCACACCTGCAGCAGGTGACACGGAGGAGTCCACAGCAATCTGAGGTGGAAGAAACTGGTGCCAGTCCTTTGTTTCGGGGGCATGCACGGGAAGACCACCCTCCCTGACTCCACCAGGCTCGGAAGTTGGTAGAGCCCCAGCCGAAAGAGCTGCAATGTTTGGTTGCTGGACAATGACGTGCATGTCTGGGCTCAGCGGGAGGACGAGGGAGCGAGATAGCTGGCCTCCCGAAGCCGCAATGCTCTCCCTCAGTTGCTCCTCCTTGGGGACAGTCATGGGGCACAGGAGAGGACTCTCCTCTTGAATGGAGAGGTCCCCGCCGCCTCCACTGCCCGAGGTAGAGACGAGGAGGGGGAGACTCTCTAGATTTCTCTTCTTTGACGAGCTCCGCTGGGTGGCTGGAGTGAGCATGCCAGGAGTGGTGGAGGAGGAGGGAGAGGGAGTGAGAGCAGGCGTCGAAACAAGAGGTACATTCTCCAGCAATGACGCAGGTACGACCGCTCCCTTATCTTCCTTCACTGGAGGTAGCAGTGAGGTGTTGTGGGCCTCTGAACCAGACTGGGAGGAACGTTTGTCTGGAGATTTGTGGCTGGTGGTCTTCTCTCTGGATCGTTCGGCTCCTCCAGACTTTTGTCTCTTTGGGTGCTCACCGTCTGCAGCAGAGGCACTCCCAGCAGCCGTACTTGACTTACGACTCCTGGAGCCTATATACAATGTAATACTCACACACACACACAAGATGCAGTTTTGCTGGGACCAACCCTTTGATTCTGAGCCTTCCTTTGCTGTAAGTTCTCTGGTGACGAGGACAACACTATCCATACAAAATGAAAATCACCCTCTAGATCACTTACGTCTGCACTTTTTCCCACATAGTAGGCAGTTCACTGTCCAGTTCGCCTCCATCTATCTGTTCTATTTCCTTCTTTAGAGTACTGTGCACATGCAGTAGTGAAAGATATACACGCACATAGCACAGTGTGCACAACACTCACTAGTACTCTCTTCTGGTGTCACTTATCGAGGAATCCAACTCCTTCATCCTTTTCTCTGTCAACTGACGAACTATCTGCTCTTCCACAGTAACAGCTACAATCAAAAAGTAGTCCCGGTTTTCAGAAAATTCAAAGCAGTACGTACACCTACCAGATTCTGGGGTTCCTTCACTACTTCTCTTTCGCCTGGTATTGCACACGTGTGTGACGGCTTTAGTAATGTAAAGTGATAGTTAGTACTGACTTGGGATGCTTAGCTTTATCCAGCATGGCCGAATACTGCAGTGCACAGTTCTATGTATATAGAGCGGAGGAAACACTAAACATATTTGTTGAAACACGTGGGTCCCACTTGCCTTCTGGGAGAAGTAATCAGGAGGTCTGGCATCTTCCACCAGAGGTTTTACGGCTCTGCTGACTGACACCCTAAGTAAGGAGGAATGCTATAGCTTTGCTCACGTGACCAGCCATTCCTACCAGTTCTGATCTCCACTCCTTTGGACGGCGGATGCAAGGATGAGCTGCTCTCGTACGGTCCACTCGGCGACTGGACCTGAAACGACGCACGGTAACTTGCAGCTATAAACAGCAAGATGTACGAACAACTTGCCTTTGGCCGCCATTTTTATTCACCATGAACGGCGGTCTAAAAGTTCAAATTCCCCGCGCGCTCGAGATCGCAGTGCGAGTCGTCGCGTGTGTTTTTCAATTACGTCACTGGGTGGGTAAACTACTCGCAGCGACCAGGCTTGGGAGCTAGCTAGAAGAACGGCAGGAGGGTGCATAGTTGGATTACTTCGTCGCTGGAACTGGTGGTGTCGATAACTTCGATCTCAGGGGAGCATGGGCAACTGCTTGCGGAGCAGGCGCCGTCACGAGCTGCTCCTTCACTCGTGCGACGGAGACGACGGTATTTACTCACCAGTTGTGTTCCCGCAATTACGTTTAATTATGCCTGCTGGGTTTCATATATGTCCCGTGTAGTTACGCTTGGCGAGGGAGAGCCTCTAGTCAGGCAGAAGTTGGTGTGGACTGCAGACATGCCACTGACGATGGGTCAGTTGCAGGGCAGGAGGGACACCTTCTGGGACACTGCTCCCATGTACGACGGCCGACGGGAGATCTGGGATGCTCTTCGAGCTGCCGTCGAGGCGGCAGAGAGGGAGGAATACGACCTGGCTCAGGCAATCCTCAGTGGAGCAAACATTACCCTCCCTACCGGTCAGTTCAGTCTGTCTCATAGCTAAGGCCATTCATGGCGGCACAAAAGAACATGTATTTCACTCTCCGCCCTCTGTATTCACGTGAAACTACCACCACACACACACACACACACACACAGGTCATCTCGGTGAGGCGTACGACGAACTTGGGAACAGATACGCAATCCCTCGCTACTGCCTGAACCGGCCAACCAACTTGCAAGAGTCTGTCGGAGACACAGACGATACTAACTCCTCCATCACGCAGTCCTCACCACTCCTCCTCCGACAGAGAGTCGTACGACCGGCAGAGGGGGACGATGTCGTGGTCAAACCTCCCCCAAGCTTCATTGTGAAAGTCAGACTCACCACCCTGTCAAAGGACATACGTGTGTCGGTGTTCACTACAGACAGGATCAGGGACCTAAAGAGAAAGCTACACGAACTTCACGGGGTGGAACCGCAGAAGATCACAATGCTGTACTCGGGGAGGGTCCTGACTAATAACATGCTAATCAAACACATTAACATCCCAAGGGGCCATGTCATACAGGCCGTCGTGACATAATCAACTCAGCAACCCACCACCACAATCCGGCCCCTTTTCTCTCTCGTTTTGTTGCCTTTTGTGTTGTGTTTGTGTATCCAACCTCTCTCTATTTCACTTCCGTGATTGTATTCAATCATTCAATCACCCAATTGGGATACCAGTCATAAGTTGTCTGCTAGGACTCTCCGGCGGTAGTACACGGAGGGGAGTTTGGAGTCTTGAGCTGTTTGACAAGCAGTTCCTCCAGTCTTTCTACCAGTCTTCTCTCCAACTCCTCAAACTTGTCGTCGATATACCGTTTCAGACGTCTTTCCAGGTCCGTCGAGTCTCCCTCCTCACCGGTAGCACCACTCGGGTCTTCCGGACTCACTCTACCGTTTTCTGCTGCTCTGTCAGTATTTTCCCTGGGAACTTCTTCTCTGGAGGAGGTATTGGAGCAGCTGGGAGCCACTTGAACTGGTGGTGGTCTCATTTGTCTGAGTGTGTCCATGAGTTGAGAGAGTTCGGGTGGCCTGCTGTCAACTCTGTCACCATCCACAGCTGCATGTTGTCCAGAACCTACCTAAGACACACAGGTTGTAGCTCAAACCAAGGGCTGGGTTTTAGAGTACACTCATTCCTCGGCTAGAAATTTACTGTCAAGTGTCTGAATAAGGGACACCTTTGGCATGTCGAGAATGTCAATATTCAGAGGCGCCCCTGTACTACTGTACACTATGTATTACAGTATGGGGCAGAACCGAGTGTCCTTTATTTGGAAGTCCTTTTTCGGAGGTTTTACTATACAGTGCAAAGATTATGTAAAGCTATTCAACGATGTGTGGAGAGAGAGAGAGAGAGAGAGGGAGAGACTGGAGATGCGGCTGCTCTTGATCAATGTGGTATATACCTGAGTGGTGAGGTGAGTGAGAGACGAGACCAAAGCCTGCATGAACGGCGGCATGCCACCCACTGGTAGACTGCCCAACAACTGCTGCATATCCATCCCATTCCCCAGCACTGCTGGCCTGTGTACGTACAAACAAACAGGGTGGTTTACTTTAGATCAAGGGTGGTATTTTGTACCAGTGGGCTCAGACATCAAGAAAGTCAAGGCAAAGCAAACGCAAACAACACAATACACCCAGGACAACTCTTTACCCAGGACACTCTGCACTGTAGCGCCAGCTACCAGGGCAACTCGGAAGATATGAATACCTTTGAGATATGACTGCTGCTGATCCTCCATGGTCTGCTGCGACCACCAGTTGTATCTTCTCCACCAGAACCTCACGCATACCTCTCAGCGACAGCAGCTATTTAACATGCACTATCATATCCGTGCACAAAATAAAGGTGTTTACAACCTGCCTTTAAGTTAAACTTCTGATGGGGACTTTCGGTGGGAAAAATGTGATTACAACTGTACAACTTTCGCAAACTGCTATAAGTAGAACAACAAAGTGTGAGATTGATTTGCACACTTATGACAGGGGCATACCCTTTGTTAGAGTCACAGGTCCCAGCCACGGTACCCCTGACTGTACCAACATATTCATCGTCGTCGTCGCAGTACAGTTCAGTCGTGCGGGAGGAAGTGGTGAGCTCTATTTGGGAAGCGATGTACCCTCTCAAGTCACTCAGGTCAATGTGGAGTCGGCACGGCTGGTCAGGGTCAGAGGTCGGAGCTGTGATAGAAATGGGTGTGGGGCATCGTCCACCAGAGAGTGGCTCGTCCAGTAAGCTACCTGAACTAGTGAGAGACATCAACATACACCTCAAAAACGCAAAATTGGAGGAGAACGGCAAACCTACCTGCTCACCAGGTATAAGACTGTAGAAATGTCTCCACAGACCTCCCAGGACGACGATACGTGCACTGCCGTCCTCAACTCCATCTTAGCGGTTGTGCGCATGCGTACGAATTCACCTTCGAACCTGCCCCTTTTCCTTGGTGTGTGAAAATGGCTGCTGCAGTGAAGAAGAGCATGAAGAGCGTGTGTTTGATCGTCATAGACGGCTGGGGAATATCCGACGAGACGAGAGGTGAGCTAAGCCCAGCCCCATAATATTCAGTTTATACTGGCAGCTGCATAATCCACACACGCTCACTTCCATCCATCTTACTGAGCATACAAAGCTGCTGCTGGTGTCAATGTACACGTGGGTCTGCAGGCAATGCCATCAAGAATGCTGAGACGCCAGTGATGGACACACTGGCTGAGGCCGAGAGTCGTGGCGAGTACACCACTCTGGACGCCTCCGGTCTGGCTGTGGGGATCCCAGCTGGAGTGATGGGCAACAGTGAGGTGGGGCACTTTACCATCGGCACCGGCAGAGTTGCATACCAGGTATGGCGGGGAGGGAGGGAGGGAGGGAGGGAAGGGGGAATGTCTTCTCATAATTTGTATCACTCCTTTATGCAAACATACCAACATGCTCCTAAGCTATCCTGATTGATTCAATTAAGAGTACATGTAATATAGTATTGCAAAGACACTAATATTGTTGTTATTCGGATTTTATCATCTTATTACAAACACACACACTCCCACACGCGAGGCGAGATTGAGAGTAACTTTGCTCTCTTGCTGCAGGACCTGGTGGCCATAAATCTGTCGATATCAGACAAGGCTCTGGCCTCTAGACCTGTTCTGGTGGACGCCTTCACTACAGCCAAGTCCAAGACCGGCCGGCTACATTTCCTGGGCCTTGTGAGTGCCCTTACCGCGCAACTCTCAATGGAAGTTGTCTCACTCGGCAGAATAGTGTGTGTGTGTGTGTGGCAACTCTTAGTGGAACATTTTAGTATTGAGGACTCCAACAGGATTGCAACTGTAGCTCCAGTTCACATGGGTATTGTGTTCTGCCTGGAATTGGTGGAGTGTGTCCGACACAGCATTATAGTCACTATCATATAGTGGGACTCTTTTGAAGGAGAAAAACATTCGTAGTTCGGTAGAGTTTTGCAGGCTGCCTCCCACGATAATTATGTCTGCACACAAAGAGAAAATTTCGGACCGTCAAAAAATTTTACAAAAAGTTTCTGGTACCACCAGAAACCATTAGTTCTACTATACATAGAGTTGTTTCTGTTGGCTTGAGATGTACATGTGTGACTGTAGGTGAGTGATGGAGGGGTGCACAGTCACATAGACCACCTGGAGGCCCTGCTGGCTGCAGCCAAGGAAGCATCCGTTCCCCAGTCCTTCATACATTTCTTTGCCGACGGGAGGGACACTGCACCTGTCAGTGGAGGTACGTATGTAGTAGTGTGTTCTCATCATGTGACAATTCACATTGTCATGTGACCTCTCAAGACCAATGACTAGAAGCAACAGAAGCAAAATTATAATTTAGAGCCAACTCCAACACAATATATTTTCTCATTCAAACTTTTTTATTTCTCACACAGTTCAATACGTGGGAAGGCTGCAGTCCTATCTTTCTTCCCTGCAATACGGGACGCTGGCCACTCTCACCGGCCGCTACTACGCAATGGACAGAGACAAACGCTACGAGAGAACCAAACTGGCATTTGAGGGTCTTGTGAAGGGAGAGGGAGAGAGAGTGACCCCAGACAACCTCATACAGGTGAGCTCTATGAACACCATTCAATACAAAAAGTTTGGGGTGTCCAACTGGACCATTTGATGGTATACATTAATAGCATGGAAACAATGGCAAGGTAATAAGGCAAAGCATACAACACATCTGTTACTATGGGATGAAGCAATCAAGCATTTGGTTTTAAGCGTGACCACCGGAACCACCAGTTGGCAATAAAAATTTCCAGTTATGTGGACATGTACAATGTCTCTTTCCTAGAAAATGGAGGAGAGGTACAGTTTGAGTGGCAAAGAGCGACAGACGGACGAGTTCATGAAGCCTCTCATTGTCGAAGATGCCGGGACTATCAGAGGTGATGAAAACACTGAATTAGTCCTGTTAGTTTCTCCTGTGATATGCGTGGGAATCCTCTTGGGTTACGTGGCCTGTGTTTGGGTATGGCCGCGTGGGCCTGCCCTGTGAGGGGACCGAAGCAGCGCGTGATCGTACTTGGCTCAGCTGACACTAGGGCACACTGACCTTGGCTTTGATGGTGCCAGTCAAACTCCCCCTACCTAACTAGCCTTGTATTGGCTATAGTACAGTATAGCAGCTATGCACAAAACATACAGAACTGGATCTTAATGTATGTGCAGGTGGATAATCGTGGTTGAAGGATGAACTGTGTTCTCGCTAAGTGTGTGTAATAGGATGCCTGGGATTAGCCAGCGGTTGACGTGTGTGCCAGTTCCCATGTGTAAGAGCCTGGAGCTACATATACTGGTAGCCATGTAGCAGTCACTTCCTATTTCCTGATACATCATCACCTGCTGGATGCTAAGGCTCTGCATGTTCCAGAGAAGGGGCCAGTTATGGCGCAATGGCTTGTCCTGTATGTTGTGAGTAGGAATCCAAGCTTGCTGAACAAGAGGGGATGTAGGAGGGCATAATTCTGTGTATTAGCCTTGAGTTTAGCGACACTATCTACCTTGATGCATAATACTAGCTCTTCTGTTTGTGATACATTTTGCTGTATCTCTCTCCATTGTTGCTCTTCTATGCACCACCCACACACATTCTATAGACAGCGACACTCTGATTTTCATCGACTTCAGAGCCGACCGAATGAGACAGATAGTGGAGGCCCTCGGACTCAAACCCCAGTTCCAGACAGACGCCATCCCGCGTGACCTTGTAAACACGCACAACCTCTCCTTTCTGAATAGTCACGTCTTCTCCTTTCTCTTCCAGCTCTTCTCTTTCTTTCTGAAGAGGTCGCTATATTATCTGTGATATTCAACCCTCAGTCAGCTGCCTAGGTCCTCAAAACGTGCAAATGCTCACTAAATCCACACACTGTGCTGCACTTTTCTTTACCCCAGAGTGTGTACACAATGACACAGTACAAGGGAGAGTTTCCGTTCCCCGTCATCTTCCCGTCAGATACTCCCAAGAACAGTCTCGCCGAGTGGCTCTCTGCCAAGAGCATTCCCCAGCTCCACACTGCAGGTATATACCTACACCCTCTCTCCTTCCTTTCTCCTCTCGTTACCGCTCCTAATTGACTAATGAATGCAGCCGGTCTGCTCAAAGCTCTGCTCTGTGCCTGCTCGCCAAAAAGCACCGTATGAATAATTATATACACTCAAAATGAGACTAGTACCTCACATGCTACTGCCATTAACCCACTTTCAAAGTAAAGGAAGATCCATCACATAGAGCACCCCACACATTATACCTCTAAAGTTTCACATCTTTCGCACAGAGACGGAGAAGTACGCACACGTGACCTTCTTCTTCAACGGCGGTGTCGAGGAGGCGTGGCCAGGCGAGGACAGAGTTATGGTGCCGTCTCCAAAGGTCGCGACCTATGACCTGCAGCCAGAGATGAGTGCCAGTGGAGTTGCCAAGGAGGTGGGGAGATGAGATCCAGTATAGTTCTCCCTCCTTCCTCACCCCCCCTCTCTCTCTCTCTTCTCACTCCTCTTTCCTGCTATATACACTGTCTAATCCCTCTCCTTATATGTACTTACAGGTAAATAATTATGATTTGTATATACAACGAGGGTATCGTTTTACACACTGTTATGTAATCACCCACGCAAGCATGTCTCTTACTCCCCCTGGGGTAGCCTATTGGCGCCTCATGCCAGTGATATGTGTATTATGTAAGCAGATAGAAATCACAACTGCTCCGTCCATCCGTGTCAACTGTGTAACGTTATCACAGGTGGTGAAAGCGGTTAAGAGTGGGAAATATCCGTTCGTGATGTGTAACTTTGCTCCCCCGGACATGGTGGGTCACACCGGTGTCTACGATGCTGCGGTTGTTGCCTGCGCTGCCACCGGTGAGTGAGCAACAGTTCTTCCGTTCACTACATGTCGCCATGCACGATGTCCGTCCCCTTGTGTTGTGTGTGTGTACGCATGAATAAGGAAAAGTGTCCAAATCGAAGCTTGCAATGTGGTTGTCTGTTTTCAAAACATACGCAAACAAGGAGATAACAGAGTGCATATTTTCACTTTTCACAACCTCAGTGTGGAGTTTCCAGGAACGGAAATGCGTAGCATCATTCTCCACACACGAGTATTGTTTGAAGCTGAATAGTCTTACAAGCAAGAACAATAATTATGGATGGGTTCACAATAGTTATTGTGGGGTTCCATTTTCTAGTTCACACAGCATTACCTTCTAGGTTTTACAACAGTGATGGGCTATTGTCCCACTATTTTTCCCTCCCTCGTCTGCAGATGTGGCCATAGGAGAGATCCAGAGGGCGTGCGAGGAGACGGGCTACGTTCTCCTAATCACCGCAGACCATGGCAACGCCGAGAGGATGATTGACGAGGATGGGAACCCCGTCACCAAGCACACCACCTACCGAGGTGGGAAAGGGTTAAATAATATAATGGAGAGGGAGGGGTTATGGTAGATTAGGAGCACCAATTATATAGCCGGTAACAATAAAGGCGTGTGGGAGTAATGTAGGGAGTATAGCCTCTTAATAAAGGGGTGGGTAGGGTTAAAGAGGTAATTACTGTAGTGTGTGTGGTTCCTATGCCAGCTGCTCTAGTACACATGTGTGCAGGATCCCCAGGGTGGACGTTCTGGTGGTACGTACCTACGTGTGGTGATACACTGTTGGAATGTCAACATTGTAGGTAATGCATGTGCCCACACATTCGGTGGTGTACTTGGTACAGACTAGTGCCCCGTGCGTGAGGCATTGTTAACTGTCGAATCACAGTGTAGTTTCCAGTGAATGGGCCGGTCTGTGCCCACACATTCGGTGGTGTACTTGGTACAGACTAGTGCCCCGTGCGTGAGGCATTGTTAACTGTCGAATCGCAGTGTAGTTTCCAGTGAATGGGCCGGTCTGTGCCCACACATTCGGTGGTGTTACTGGGTACAGACTAGATGCCCCGTGCGTGAGGCATTGTTAACTGTCGAATCGCAGTGTAGTTTCCAGTGAATGGGGCCGTCTGTGCCCACACATCGGTGGGTGTACTTGGACAGACTAGTGCCCCAGTGCGTGAAGCATTGTTAACTGTCGAATAACAGTTGAGTTCCAGTGAATGGGACGTTCTGTGCCCACACATTCGGTGGTGTACTTGGTACAGACTAGTGCCCCGTGCGTGAAGCATTGTTAACTGTCGAATCGCAGTGTAGTTTCCAGTGAATGGGCGGTCGGTGCCCACACATTCGGTGGTGTACTGGTTACAGACTAGTGCCCCGTGCGTGAAGATTGTAACTGTCGAATCGCAGGTAGTTTCCAGTAAATGGGCCGGTCTGTGCACACATTCGGTGGTTTGACTGGGGTACAGACTAGTGCCCCGTGCGTGAAGCATTGTTAACTGTCGAATCGCAGTGTAGTTCCAGTGAATGATGGGCCGGCGTCTGTGCCACACACATTCGGTGTGGTTGTACTGGGTACAGATAGTGCCCGTGGTGAAGCATTGTTAACTGTCGAAAATCGCAGTGAGTTCCAGTGAATGGGCCGGTCTGTGCCCACACATTCGGTGGTGTACTTGGTACAGACTAGTGCCCAGTGCGTGAAGCATTGTTAACTGTCGAATCGCAGTGTAGTTTCCAGTGAATGGGCCGGTCTCTTTGGGAAAGATATAGATTACGTCACTGTGAGGTAATAGGTTCTCTCACATGACAAACACTAATATATACCAGTGACAGAGGATCCTGTGGTCATTACTAGTGAAGTCCTGTGTGTGATGTCATTATGGGTGGCTGGGTTTAGCTAAAGCAAGGGAGTAAAGGGGCCCCCACAATATTGTCTATAGTCAGTGGTATGTGCATTTGCAGACAATGGGGATGATGTTTTGACTGATTTGTGACAATGTGTGGTGGAGATACTGTGAAGATACTGGTAGTATGGGACTCTGGGGAGCTGGCAGTTGGGAGGGGATGAAATGCTCCATTGGCTGTGGGTTATATTGTTGGAGCCTTCTGACTGCATTCCTCAAATTCCTCTTCCTCCCCCTTCCATCCTTACACTGGGCCCCTCTCCTCATCTTCCATGTCAACATAAACCTTTCACCTTCCATTCCTCATGAGTGGGTATATATAGAAGAGTCAGCACCAACCCATTAGCAATAGTGTGTGTGGGGTAACAGTAGTCATGTGGGGGGAGAGGGAGCCTGCAGGTGCAGTATGAATAGCATACAGCCCAGTCTTGGTGTCTCTGGCTCCATAATAGCTAGCTTTCACCTTCCACGTGTGAATCTATTTCTAACCACTGCAACGGTATGTGTGTGTGCTCTAAGAGCAATTGATCAAGACATGAATAGCTTATGCATGTGCTCCTTCTCATAAAACGAACCTTTTACAACATTCCCCTGTTTGTGCATGTGCGTCTAGGTGTTTACACTTAACTGTGGGCTTTTTGTTGCATTCTTCCACAATTATGTCATTAGCAAGTTTCTTCAACATTGGTGTTCATGCATGATACGCTGATAATAATGTAGCGTCTGGGAGAGATTGAGGGTCATGTCTAACGTATGCAGGGTGTAGTAAGGTCATCTAATGTACTTGTGATCATAAATTGCAGAGCCGTTCTGCATACCTGTGGCGACACACAATGGTGGGAACAGCATGTTGTGTTTATGTTTGGAGCGTTGTCCACCGGCAAATATTTGTGGGGTATATGCCCTCTTCCTTCCTTCCTTCCTTCCCTCCCACCCTCCCCTCATGGAGCCACTGTGCCAACTGAAACTTTATCCTCTAACTGTGTGGGTGTGGTGTGTACCTGTCTGGTTGTTGTTGTTGTGCACGTGCAGGACGGCCTAATTGCATAAGGGGTAGTTTTACTACTGGCTGCATCTTGAAAGTATGCACCACTGTAGTATATGCTAATTGTTGTGATAGTGTTGGGGAATTAGGGAGTTGCTGTATAATGTTGTACAAACACTTATACTATAGAAGAGGGAGGAGACCTGTCATCTGTGTCACGTTTGCACATGTTGACTGTCTACTACATAGTATGGCATTGTACCTCAGCAAATACGTTCTTGGTGTGGTCACACCCTTGCCTATTACGTTTTTACCGGGCTCTCTGGGAGACCTTTATGGCAGTCAAAACTACACTGCCACTACATCACATACATACTATTCAGAGGGGGATTTTATAGGGATTTGTGTGGACTTGTATCTGAACCTGCCACTAGATACTTATTCAGCAGGGGTTTTTATAGGGATTTGTATCTCAACTGAGGCATGGGGGAGCCTTCAGTGTGACCAAAACAATGGTTAGTTCTGTCCTTTGACGAGATGAGTGGAAGCCACTCGCTGTTTGTGGTTGACTAGTTACCTGATAACCAGGGTGCTTACACGAGGAGTGGCCATGTGTGGAGACTGTTTAACCACTGAGCTATGGGCTCCATTGATTCCAGGAGCCAGCCAGCAAACACACACACAGACGGCCCTCCATCGAAATATTAAACCACACACACACTTTGATATTCAGTGCACTGGGAGCTTGGCATTTCCCCTATCAAGGGTTTGGTTGTGTACATGAAACCATGCCTCCCTTCCAAAAATACGTGTTCAAGACGGTAAGACCTGAACAAAGGGCTTCAGGCAAAAGAGATACATTAGCTTTCACTGCCCCTTATGCACATTATACAATGCTGCTGTACTTTCACTGCCCCTTACGCACACACACACACACACACACACCACACACACTGTTGTATAGTTCCGTTCTGTGTTCACGGAGATGGGTGCAAGCTGCTAGAGGTTACTCACGACCCTGGCCTGGCAGACGTCGCTCCCACCGTCCTGGCCATCATGGGACTGGACCAACCTCCCGAAATGACCGGCCAGTCTCTCCTGGCCACTCCCAACTAGCTCCTGAACAATAGTATATATACCTCTCTTAGAGACTATTTCTTGTTTCATATCTCCTCATTTCATTCCCTAGACTCCTCACTGGGTCTTGGAGGTAGAGTAGCAACATACATAGCAACTCGCAATGTAGTGTGAAGCATAGAGGGAAAACCAATTCAATTTGAGACCGAGAGTGTTCTCTGTGGATTAGGACTGAACAAGCAATCCACCTGACAAGTTTTTTTCCCCTCTAAGACCTTCTTATGACTGATGTACAGTATCTCCATCAATATTTCCCACTGTGGTAATGTGTATGCCTTCCAGTGAGGTCTCACTGCATACTGACACGTGCGAGAGCGAGATGCGACTTTCCCGGGCGTCTTTGGACGTTGTCACGAGTACTTTTTGTCTGCATTTCTCTCTGACGTTCGGCGGTTGTGTTGAAGTGCTGTGCGCGGACACTGCACGTGTTGACTGCTACAACTGTGTGCTCTGTTGCACGTCAATTACTGTGGTGGCATTCACCGCCACTTGTCGCTTCATGCACCTCTTAATGGGAGGTTTTTTAGGGCCTCCAAATATGGTAAGGCTTTTCAGAGAACAAAAGATGAAAGATTCAGCGACTGTGTCAGTGTCAAAGCACACTGTAGGAAATGTATACTTCAGCCCTTTAAGATTGTAGCTTATGGTTTTGGGGTCATAGAGGGGTTGTGCAATTTAGGCTGCTGAAGTTAGTGCATGTGAGATGAGCATTAGAGTGTTGCATGCCAAGTTCCAGCGTTGTTAATATTGCGACTGCCTCTGCTTAACCAGCTAATGTCGGTTTGCCCAAAGCGCTGGCTGGAAGTATGCGCAGCACGCGTTTGAGGGTTGCTCGCATCTCTGACAAATTCGCCAACAATCTGTTTATGGTCTGTCGATGGAGCCAACTATGTGGAGACAAGTGACATGGAACACCCTGCACAAGGGCCTTTTCCTGCAGAAATTAACAGATGTGGGGGCCAGTAGGTATATACGTACGTAGGGGCCAGTGTACAGCGGCTGTCTGTGTTTGTTTCTCAAAGAAATGCGATAGACGAGTGTATAGCGACACCAATTACTGGTTATACGCAGGAAAGAAATTGACGTCCTGTCTGTGACTGCAAGTCTGTGTTCTGGTATCAGTCGGATGACAAAATGCTATATAGCAGTGCCGGAAACAACACCATACAACGACCCTACAATTGACCCTACAATTGAAGTAGGATCCTAAGCAAAACTAAATGACAATAGCAGTGAAGCCACCAGTTCCTGTTGTTTTGTGTAACAGGAAGTTGTGTTCCTCTCCCAGATGTATCTTAGCATATGCTGACACAGGCTGCAGTAGTGGTGTCTAGCAGTCAGGTTTCCTTCTTCCTGTGGGCAGTGGTATCATCCAGTTCCTCCGTCATTCAGCATTAGTCTCCTCCAATTCCCCTTCTCCAGCCGACGGAGACTCACAGGTATATCACTTTGTCGATTCCCTGGAGAGCTCCACTTTTCTGAGGGGGCAGTAATCTGACCAGCAACGTAGACATCAGCTGAGCTAGTGGCCCACTAGTCCCAAGTGTAAACTGAATACATTGGTGTACAAAAGGCACTTTTCCCCTTCACTAGTTTTAACACTTATCAGCCACTGACAAAGTCCACAAGAGTTTGTTTGGGGTTATAACTTGGTGCTAATACTTCATACATGATTTTTTGCTTATTTGACGAGATACCCATGGCGTTCACAATGACAGTTTGAAAATAGATCTGGTCCAAAACATACACACACACACACACACACCACACAAAAAGAAATGTAAAATGTATGGTCACTTGAGTCTGTGTACAAAACAACAAAAAGGTCTCCTGTGAATAATGAAAATCGACACCATGTATGCTGCTAAATGATTGTGAGGGTGGAAATTAATGGTGCTATATTCCGTGTCATTCCTCACACGGTTGTCTCTTTGCTCTTGAGGTAAACAATCCTTCGTGGTGGTGTGGGTGTGAGCGAAATCCTAGGGTGTCTGGCACACAGCGAGTGTTGCTGTTTCAGTGCAGGATGATTCGAACCTTCGACGGACACGACGGACGACGCGTTGAAGCTGTTGTTACGTCTGACCTGTGCTCTGAGGTTGGTGACGTGCTCGATTTGACCGGTGAGCGAGCTCCGTCGCAGGATCTGAGCATTCGCTCTGCCTGGCATCCCCGGTGGGCTCTCCTGTTCACCTGAAACTCTGCGGCTGAACTCTGCAACGTTATCCCTGCTTCCCTTCATATCGCATCCGTCGTAGTCGTCAGCAATGGAAGTCTGACTCCCCTTCAGACTCGACTCCAGATCAGTGAAAGAGTTCTTGCGAAAGTACGACAGTTGCTGGTCCTTCTTGTTGTGTCGGAGCTTCGAGCCGGGGCTCTTTTTCTTGAGTGGGGCGGGCGAGGAGCTGGAGCGAGTGCGAAGATCAGAGGAAGACAGGGTGGATTTGAGGGCCAGATGGGGCGATGCTAGCACCGAGAATGAGCCCGAGCGAGGCCGCGTCGTCGCAATTGTGGGGGTGAGGCTCCCAGCGCTGAGACCAGAGGGACTGAGGAGGGCGTGTGCAGAGGATGGAGGGGATGGCTGGGAGTTCATCCTCTGGTGCCGCACAGGGGAGGAGACAAACTTGAGAGTAGAGGGGGCAGTGGTTGAGGAGCTGGAGCGCGGTCGGCGCAGCGGGCTGCCGGCTACGTGGATCAGGGGAGTGACGGAGCGGGAGACAGAGGGAGACTCGGGGAGTTCGGGGATGGGTGTTGGGATCGGGCGGTCGTCCATGTACTCTAGTCTGCAGGGCAGGTGGAGGGAGTTGTGTGCAGAGGATGAGACGAGGGACGAGGTCACACTCTCAGCAAGACTGGCTACGTCGCTGTCTCTGTAGAATACGCCGGAACTACCGACGCTAGATTCACTGGCGTAGCGCTGATGGTTGGGCCAGCTTTCTCCGTCTACCTCGTCTAAAGGTGGGCCGCTCAACTGTGTGTGGTAGTAAGCCCCGGACTTGTACTTCATCAGACTCTGTTCTGAGTCGGTCTTGACCATCTGCTTTTTGCGAGAGTCCATGCTGTGCACGCGCCGAACGCTGCCCGGCGTGCTGCTCGTGATGATGATGTGTTTGGGCATGTGCGCCGACTGCTCTTGCACCTCTTTGATTCCGTTGACAAGATCTTCCATCTTTTGCTCCATCTTGGCTCGTTCACTGCTGAGAGAGTTCTGTGTGGGGGAGAGGAGAGATAATTATGGATAATCAGGGGATTCCAAAATATAGCATGCCCTGCTTTCTAGGGTTTGGTGTGAAAACCAATCCTAATGCAAAGAAGCCACAAGCAATGGGAGAATGCTAATCATGTTTGTTCCGACTGAAACCTGAAGTACCTAACTATCCGCGGATCGAACTGCACTCTACCATGCCACACATCACAAAACAACGCAAAATACTCTTCCGTGCATGCAGCTCTCCGGCTTGTTTATTCTACGACCAGACTCACCAGCTGTTGTCGGATGACTGCAAGCCGCTCGTCCAGCAGACCTTGCAGGTAAACGTCGTTCCTCTGCGGGGATCGAGGTCTGGCCATGTTGCCGCTGGGCGTCTCCGTCACCTGGTGCTTCAGGGAAGAAGGGATCGTAACAGCTTGGTACTTGCTCCGGCGCTTCAAGCTAGCGGTTGTGAGTTCCTCTAGCTCCGCTTCTATTCGCTGTCGGTGCAGCTGAAAGACGTCCTCCTTTGCTGCTGCGTCTTCTGTGCTGATGCAAACGGTGGGTAGAGAAGTGGCTTGCCTCAGATCGGCTCCCGAGTAAGAATGTAGGAAACTGGCTGAAAGGCGTTTCAAATACAAGTTCCGGCGTTGCGGATTGAGGAATTCCATTGCTGAAGTATGTGTGGCATGCAGCAATGAATCCTATTAGTCTCACTCCTCTCTTCCTTGTCTTTTCACCCTAATGTCGTTCAGGTCACCAAAAGAAAAGAAAAAACCAACAATCCGTCTCTGAAACACCAAACTTGTGGAAAATAAACTATTTACAGTGCTAGACTTCAATTATAGTTTCTTGGTAGGATTCCTTCTTCTTTCACTCTTCACTATAGCACTCACGTGCACACAGAAACAGCCCTGAAAGTGAGCTGTAGTCCTTTTGTCTGAGTATATAATGCTTCCCTAGCCTCTAGGCACACGTCCCATGTGAGGAAGAGTTCCATATGTTGGTTGACGGGAGTTCAGTGGGACCAGACAGGCATTGGCATGCAGTGCGTCAAACAGAACCACTCTAACTGACCACTGCACCATTGAGCAGGCTAACAACAGTTCATTGACTGCCAGGAGGGGCTGGGTAACTCTGTCATAGAAACTGATGGTGCTGCAATCCATCCCTTCCCACTAAAGGGACAGTAACTGAGGGTGTGCAATAGGAGATGAAAGATTCACCTCTGCAAGCATGTATATATCTGGACTATCATGCTATGCTGATGCAAAGAGCATCAGCCCCAGCTGTGCATGTTGCAACAATCTGGCAAAGGGGCTGATTTCAAAGTGGGCAGTAGTAAATAGGAACTGCCACCCACTGCAGAGCTGCACACAGCACTAAGCCACAAAAAAGTGCCTAACAATAATATACAAAGTACTCATAGACTATACTGTTACACCATAATATAGCCCAGACTCAATTAATTTCTGAAAGTGACTAGATTTGAAGTGATCAGGAACCCAGTGAAAGTGGAAAACTACAATTATTATAGTTTATAGTTGATTCTGGAGATTTTTGTCTCCCTGTCTCCACTTCCTGCTGCTGTCAGGCGGTCTTGGGGAGCCGAGGGGAGTAGTGAAGTGTGACCTGGGAAGGTGTGGAGGCTGGAGACTGGGAGGGGACGAGAGGGATTGCCAGCAGTGCCCCCTGCATGTGACACACTCCAGACGCCTCACAGAAGTAGACCAGCAACTCGATCTGAGGAGAAGGAGAGTTGTTTGCCAAACGCTAAATGTACAATACCAGCCCTTGAAAATAAGCTGGCCAAGTTAGTGTAAACACACCAGCTACACTAACGGACTAGAGTGCCCATTTTTAGACTTTGACCATAAACAAGTTAACTGCAGGCCTGGAATTATGCCAAAAGAAGCATTTTCAACAGTAAAACTGAAAACATCACACACTCAAGAATGTATGGCAGAGCCAAAACAGGATATTTCCACTGGGAAAGTGGTCCTGTCGCCATCTCTTGTTGAATAAAACTGTTGTTAAATACAGCACCTCCCCAAGAGTCTTTCAAATGTCCACGTGGACACCCGTGCTAGCAAACAGCATTGTGCAAAAGAGTCAGCTCTCTAGTGACAGTGTCCACACGTAGTTCTAAGAACACAGTAAGTGCACTGCATGCATGTGTGATGAAAAGCCTGTGTGTCTGTAGGCTAATGAATCTCTCACACAATTAATTTCTTCAACAGAACTTCAAGAGGGGTTGACTTGATTGTGAGCTGGTAATTGTTCAGCAGGAAAAGTGCATCCCAAAGCATTACATTGATGTTCAGTAGAGACCATAACTTGGACGTTACAGTAAGCATATTCAGTTAATAGGTGCAGTACTGGACAGGAAACTGTACTTCCTGTCTCACTGATTAATTGGGAAATTACATGACGTAAATCAAATTTCAGAAGAAAACACGGAACAACATTTCTGTTTAACCAGTCTCACTTCTTGTAAACCTTTCCTGCTTGCAGGTTTGCAATTAGACACCAATTGATAATCATTACTCCCTCCCTTCACCTTCCACCTTTCTCTCTCTCTCTCCCCCACACACCTGCACCTCGCCAAGTACTGCTGCAGGCTGGTTCCAGACCTTCCCTTGCACCCACTTCAAAGAGGGTCCTGTTTCTACCATGCCCGCGTTTGGTCAGCCAAATCAGCACGATTGGATTATTTTTGGTCTCGTTGCATAGACCCTCACTTACATACACCCAGAAACACTATATACTACCTTCATGTCACGCACGCACGCACGGCACACACAGACACACACCTGTACAGTGGAACTGGTAGGCTCCAGTCCCTCGGCAGTGACCAGGGTCAGTGATATGTCCTGGTCTGGCTGAATCACTCCCCTCGCTGGGTGGCAGCTCTCCAACACACCTGGTTCTGGGGGAGGGACACAGTAATACAGTGGGGTATATATACAGCGAGGTTCTACGGAAGTAAGCAACAAAGAAGGAAAATTGTAAAAAATCGTCCTTAAGAGGCATCCTTTGTTCATGCCACCCTATGTCAAAAGCAAAGGTATTTTTATTATCACCTGATTGGGATGAAGTAATAAAAGTCAACATACTCTGCAACAGTTACTCAACATACATCATGCTTTTCCTGTGATTCTATATACAGCACAACATGCTCTCTTGAGGTTGATGAAGAATCTCATGTATGTAGCCACACCTGGAATGACCTGCCAGGCACTGGTGGCTCCACTGGTCCAGTCAGTTGAAGGAGGGAGGGTGACGTGGAGAGCCAATCTAACCTCTCCCCCTCCTCCTCCTCCTCCCACAGTCACCGGTGGACACTGCACGACCTGTGCCCTCTTCCCAGTCAACCTCTTGAACCCTGGAGCTGAGGGCCCAGTCCCACTTCTGGTAACTGACACATCTGGAGCTTCGACTCTGAGCTGTATGTAGTATCCAACAAATATCCAAATTGTTTATACCGTGGAAGTAAATAGTTTGGTATGGAACCACTCATATATTATTATTGACATCAATGAAACTAGTGAGGTGTCCTAATTTCATGGGTTAAATTTGCATGCAAGAAAACTGTTCTCGGGGAAAGAAAGGTGTCTCTATCAGAGAGGTGTCCTCATAATTAATGAAATGAGGAGTGAGAGTGGGTATAATAGTCTCAGGACCAAGGTCATTGAGATGCAAATAACTTGTGCCGGCAGACCAACCAATCGCTCTGCTATCCCACCCACCATTCACTGGAGTAATGCTAGACATGTTGACTCCCGAGCCAAGGAGCCCGCTGAAAGGGTCTGGTAAAACATGGGAGGGGGTGTCAGGTGTCAGTATATATGGTTATGATGAAATGGGAAGTTAAATGGAGGGATTTGGCAAATGGGAGCGCCATTACCCCAGATATGGTCAATCAATTAATAGGCAGGTAGTTACTGGCGGAAGACTAATTCAGGCGCCTAGCCTACGGGGAAATAACTGAGTAATTGGGTGATTGAACGATGTCTGTGGCTTTGTCTCATACCCATGTCACACGATTTGGTACCATACCCACGTCACTTTTGGTTTGGTACCATACTCATGTCACTTTTGGTTTGATACCATACCAGTACGGTTTGGTCACATACTGTGGTGATACAATACCTGTACCACTCTGGTTTGGTCCTATACTCTAGTTTGGCACCACCTCTACTGCTGTGGTTTGGTCCCATACCTGTGTTACGGTCCTCTGGTCCAGGTCCAGGACACGTATTGCGTGGTTGTTGGTGTCGGCAACAAACAGTACCCTCTCCGTGGGGTCCAGACAGAGACCACCCGGCTCCGAGAACTGAGCGTGCTCAAAAGGACCGTCAACAAGACCACTCTGGCCCGTCCCGGCCAAGGTGGTGCACCGTTTTGTTGCAGGGTCAACGACTTTTACCTAGGACAGGGTTAACAGCAAGCAGCTAGGTTCAGTCTAGCGAATACAGGTGGAGACAGCTATAGTGTTTTATATACAACACCAATACAGGCTGAAAGATCAGCACATACCACTATAATTATGTAGCTATTAAAAGTAATGCAGTTTTATAACTAGGACAGTGGGAGTGAAGGGGTCACCTTGTGATTGTAAGAGTCAGCCACATAGAGGAGCTTCTCCCTCTCGCTCCAGACCACACCCAGTGGGTGCTGCAGTCTAGCCTCTCTCCCCTTCCCATCCACATCTCCATAGGCAAACAGATCCTGCAGCACACACACACAGCAGAAGGCATAATGTTGTCTACACACGGAAATCTGTTGAGAGAAAAAATTTCAGCAGATTTTTTCAGGGATCAGCAGTCTTTCAGATGAAGTGTTTGATTGAGGGGGCAGACTCACCAGAGGATCAATGGCTCCTCCCACCACTGCCTTCACACCGCCATCTCTCAGAGATACACACCTCACTGTACTGCTCTCACTGTCAGCAACATACATCAGACCACCTTCCAGGGACAATATATCAGTGGAATCGTCCCACAACCCGCATCTACATATGGCATTGTGCATTGAAGCCCTCTAGCTAGCTCTGGCATTGCGCACAGAAGCCAGATAGTAATTTGAGCTAGCTCAGGTGAACCGCCTTCTCCATTGTCTCTATTACCTTTGGTGAGAGTTACTCCAGAGGGTTGAGCAAAACAGGCCTTGTGAGGGTAGGAGTTGTTTCTGTTGGCTTCCTCTCCAGACCCAGTGAATCTGACAGTCACCCCTCTCTCCTGCTGACTGTATATAGAATGGAGTTGGGAGGATACGCCTTAATGCATCTTCCTATTCACACACTTTGATTTTCTACACTCACAGAAGAATACCTCTTCATGCAATGAAGTGATAGAGTCAATATGCATTGAATCAACTTGAGGGGGGACCTCACCTCCCTCTGATCCAGGTGCAGTCTGTGAGGAAGTGGGCCCAGATCTGGTGGGTCCCAGCCATTGCTATGTACAGCACAGCTCCACCACCACCAGTGCCAGAATCTGATGGGTGTAGGGTGTGAACAAGAAGAGGGGGAAATTCTCCAGATAAGAAACTGTTAATGTGGCAAGTGGTTGGCAGGTGGTAAGCTAAGACCAGTCCCTAATGAGACAGTTTTTACAGCTGCTTCATTTTCTCTGGCTACTCCATGGAGTCTTACCTCCAAGAGCCAGATCCCAGGGAGAGCTAATCTCCTGCAGCCTCTCCTTCCCTCCTCCCTCCTTGTCATTCCCCTGCACACCTGTCCCCGTCACGGTACTAACACTTCCACTACCCATATCCACCTGTTGGGGGCACAGGACACTTCACTCTCACTCTCGTTCAGTGAGAGGGGTCTTTTACTTTGACCCCAAACAAACACGTTTCAGAAGCACACCTTTCTAACGACATGGTTCTCTGTGTCTGCCACGTACAGGTTGTCGCCGTCCCGAACTAGTCCCTGCGGAGAACGAAACCGCGCCTCTTGCGCTTCTCCGTCTATCAGACCTGGCTCTCCGCTTCCATACTCAGCAGTCACTGCCCCGGTCCCTCTGTCCACTACCACCACTCTATGGTGGCCTGTGTCCGATACATACAGCTTCTCCTCCCCCTCCTCCCTCCCACACACCACCTTTCCCGGGTATCTGAGTGGAGTAGCTTCAGTGACACCTCCTCCTCCCTCTCCCCCTCTCCCCCCACCTCCTGGGATGGATCCTCCAGCGAGACTACCTTCTCTCCTGTAGTACTCCAGAGCCGTGTCTACAAACAGCGCCAGCTCCGGTCCGTGGCCTTCTCCAATGATGTAATGGAGAAGGCGCCCGCTGGGGCCAAGGACGACGAGCGTCGGCCAGCACACCACGCCCAGCTGGTTCCACAGAACAATGTCGCTGTCGTTCACCACGGGGTGGGAGATCTCGTAGCGTCTCACGGCATTCTCGATGTTCTCGGAGACTTTTTCGTTGAGGAACTTGGCCGAGTGGACTCCGACTACGACGAGGCCGTCCTCGACCGGGTGAGCCCGCTCCAGAGAGGCGAGGTCGGGCAGGACGTGCATGCAGTTGATGCAGCAGTACGTAAAGAAATCCAGGACCACCAGCTTGCCTCTCAGGTCCCCGGACAGGGAGAGTGGGCCGCTGTTGAACCACGCCGACCCTCCGGGAAACTCCAAGTCGTCCAGCTGAAACTGCCCGTCATGCTTCACGGATTTTATGTGGGAGAGAATTTCTCGGCGTTTGGCCCCTTCGTCCTCGGCTACCTGAATGCCTGCACTCAGCGAGGATATCTTGTTCTTGACATACTTCTTCTCCAGAGGAGGAACTTCAGCGGCCATGTTTGAGAGCCGGCGGAGAGTGAGTGCGCATGCGCAATAAGGCAGGATTTTCGGATGTAGAAGCGCGCGCCAGGTGCAGAGCGAGCAGTGTGCTTTGACTAACATTTGCAGCACATGGTAAGTTTTGCGGAATATATGCACACACAATAGCGTGTGTCTCTATAGAACCGAATAGATCAGGCACGGTTGCAAGGTTGCTAAAACGTCCTTGCATTTTCGCATTCTGCAGGCTTTTTTGAAAACGTCCTTTGTGTCGCATTTTCACATTCTGCAGGTTTTTTCGGGAGTACGGCTTCACATGTCACTTCTTCCTCCAAAACCCAAGCCGAATGGACAGGACCAGGGGGTTAGCAGTCCCACAAACATTGGTAGGCAAACTTGTGTTGCCTATAGTCTTTATAAACTGCACCTGCATAATTATGGACACCTATTCTATGGACTGGACTGGACTAGGAATCTTGCTGGGACTGGTTTTGTGCATGCAGGGCGTGGAGCTTGCTGTGGCTTGCGATCGCGATGTGTGCATCGCGAACCTCTGCCGCGCTGCGGCACGGGGTGCGCAACATTTGTGGCTGGTGCAATCTTTCGGTATGGTGAAACTGTGCAACGAAGTCGTCGGCACTGGCGGTGGCAACTAAAAGCACCTTGACTTCAGAATATGTTTCGTAACTTGACATAGCCAAGTTGCAGTTAGCCCCAGTATCCCTGGAGAGTTGCACACAGAGACATCTTGTCTCCAGGTTGTTCATGCTGGCCCCTCTGTTTTGCCATGTTTGCTTCGTTTTGAATTATAAATCCTCAAGTAGTGTATAAATCTTTCCAGTGCCTTGATCTCAATGAGAGCTAAATAATTCACAGCTGTAGAACTCTGGGTGTGGCTACACTGTGTGTTTCGGTGTTATGCGGGACTTGATGCAGGGTAACAAACCTTTGGCAGATCCTCGTAGGTCCAAACCTAGAGGGTAAACCCCTCCGTTTTGCCAAGTTTGCTTCGTTTAATTATAAATCCTCAAGTAGTGTATAAATCTTTCCAGTGCCTTGATCTCAATGAGAGCTAAATAATTCACAGCTGTAGAACTCTACATGGGCGTGGCTACACTGTGTGTTTTGGTGTTATGCGGGACTTGATGCAGGGTAACAAACTTTTGGCAGATCCTCGTAGGTCCAAACCTAGAGGGTAAACCCCTCCGTTTTGCCAAGTTTGCTTCGTTTAATTATAGATCCTCAAGTAGTGTATAAATCTTTCCAGTGCCTTGATCTCAATGAGAGCTAAATAATTCACAGCTGTAGAACTCTACATGGGCGTGGCTACACTGTGTGTTTTGGTGTTATTCGGGACTTGATGCAGGGTAACAAACTTTTGACAGATCCTCGTAGGTCCAAACCTAGAGGGTAATTTGCCAAGTTTGCTTGCGTAAACCCTCTTCAGTAGTGTATACAATCTTTTCAAGAATTGACCTAGCCGTAGCTATCTCATTTTTACTCAGATAATTTTTCTTTGGTGAATTTAAAAACAGGGTGTAATGTAAAGGATGCAAAACAGAGGTCTTTTTAGAGTTCCGGTAAACGTATGTGAAAACTTGACTGGACTCTACTCCATGCAGCAATTAGGGGGTCTTTAATTTCCGCTTCTGGAAAAAACTAAACTTACACTTGCATGATTCTTACTTCCCCTACTGCGAACATTACTCGTCGCATAATCAGCCATCTCGTCCTCGCAGGTGCTGGGGAAGACTGTTAATTAAATTCCCATTGCATAATGAGAGAGAAGCAACTGAACTCTTGCTTGCTTCGTTGTGTTGGCTCTGTAGAACCACTTTTCTTGTAGCTTGGCCATGCCATATCATACAGCTGCCTGCTAATGCCAAGCTAGCTAACCTTCCCCCTTTGTCAATGTTCTTTCTCTATAAACTTGTACCATTACTCGTCGCGTAATCGGCCATCTCGTCCTCGCAGGTGCTGGGGAAGACTGTTAATTAAATTCCCTTTTATAGTTGGTTGCATTATTATAATGAGAGAGAAGCAACTGAACTCTAGCTTGCTTCGTTGTGTTGGCTCTGTAGAACCACTTTTCTTGCAGCTTGGCCATGCCATATCATACAGCTGCCTGCTAATGGCAAGCTAGCTAACCTTCCCCCTTTGTCAATGTTCTTTCTCTATAAACTTGTACCTTGAATATGGCTGCAGGTGCAACAAGAGTGTTCATTGGCATGGACTTCTCTGATGGCTTAGTGTTAAGGTGTTTATCCTGCCTAGAGAGAAAAAGCTGGTCTAAAAAGATTGGTTGGTGTGATGGAACATGGTGTGTTAGGAAAATGGGTGCGTTCACTTCCCTTAGTATGGAAGAAGCTTTCTGTGAAGTGCCTTGATCTCAATGAGAGCTAAATAATTCACAGCTGTAGAACTCTGTGGGTGTGGCTACACTGTGTGTTTTGGTGTTATTCGGGACTTGATGCAGGGTAACAAACTTTTGACAGATCCTCGTAGGTCCAAACCTAGAGGGTAATTTGCCAAGTTTGCTTGCGTAAACCCTCTTCAGTAGTGTATACAATCTTTTCAAGAATTGACCTAGCCGTAGCTATCTCATTTTTAACCAGATAATTTTTCTTTGGTGAATTTAAAAACAGGGTGTAATGTAAGGATGCGAAACAGAGGTCTTTTTGGAGTTCCGGTAAACGTATGTGAAAACTTGACTGGACTCTACTCTATGCAGCAATTAGGGGTCTTCAATTTCCGCTTCTGGAAAAAAACAACTAAACTTACACTTGCATGATTCTTAACTTCCCCTACTGCGAACATTACTCGTCGCATAATCGGCCATCTCGTCCTCGCAGGTGCTGGAAGACTGTTAATTAAATTCCCTAATGTATAATGAGAGAGAAGCAACTGAACTCTAGCTTGCTTCGTTATGTTGGCTCTGTAGAACCACTTTTCTTGCAGCTTGGCCATGCCATATCATACAGCTGCCTGCTAATGGCAAGCTAGCTAACCTTCCCCCTTTGTCAATGTTCTTTCTCTATAAACTTGTACCTTGAATATGGCTGCAGGTGCAACAAAAGTGTTCATTGGCATGGACTTCTCTGATGGCTTAGTGTTAAGGTGTTTATCCTGCCTAGAGAGGAAAAGCTGGTCTAAAAAGATTGGTTGGTGTCATGGAACATGGTGTGTTAGGAAAATGGGTGCGTTCACTTCCCTTAGTATGGAAGAAGCTTTCTGTGAAGTGCCTTGATCTCAATGAGAGCTAAATAATTCACAGCTGTAGAACTCTGGGTGTGGCTACACTGTGTGTTTCGGGACTTGATGCAGGGTGGCAAATTATTGGCAGACCCTCTGTTCATGCGGCAAAAGATGTTCCTGTGTCTCGTTTAGCTCACTGTTTGGGTGTAAATGCCACTCACTCAGGGAGGCTAGCTACAGAAAACTCTTTCGTAATCACCTAACACCGGCTTGGCTACAATGAGAGGAAAGTAATTCACAACTGCACATGTTCTGTGGATGTATGTGCCTCATCCAAGATGCTTATGTCTTGTGACTTCTTGGGCTCGAGTATATAGCAAGTCAAGTTTAGTCAGTAATGGTAGGCAGGGTCTGGCCAGGCGTCATCAAGCTATAATCTGCGTGTGTTTTAATATTACACAAGTCGGCAGTGAATGATTCGGTTACAGCTGGAGTGGCCAAGTTGTCTTACTTTTGCATCTTGATTGATCCTTTGATCAAGAAGCAACTGGATTTCACGCAAGAGCGTGGATTTGCGTTTGGCCCTGTGCTGCACATACCATAATGTGGTTCTAAATTGGCGCGAAAATTTAACTGCTCAGCTCACTCATAAAAAATGCAATAGCATTTGTTCTAGTATATACTTCTTTTTTTTTTACTTGCATTATACCTATGAGTGCTGTATCATAAGTCACCAATATCTGAGAAGCACTGCACTTTGGTAACAATGTGTCACAGTCATATTATTGATCTCACAAACCTCAGTCCATTTCATTGTCAACGTTACTTACAGCCTGTGTATGTTGTTTTTTTCCTATTCAGGTTTGCAGTATTATCAACCAGCACAGCGTACAAGAGTCCGGGAAGCAAATGAACACTATTTATTATTCCAATTTACACTTACATACAGTATGATTCCACACTATCAGGAAAAAATCAGATGTTCATTATTGAGAGTGTCAAAAACTAAAGAGTCCTAAACACACACAGAAGGTCCTGCTGCACAAGTGGTGGGAAGGGCGGCCTCGCATCACACTGGAAGCAGGCGACTCGTGATCCAGTTCATGAAAGTCGACTGCGCGAGGAGAGAGGAGAGAAGTGAATAACATGCGTGCTGCTTTAAGTAAGGGGAGATGATTACATCATTCACAGCCCCTGCCCAATGCAGAAATCCAGCAAAGAGTGCTAGGGCAGTTCTTATCAACAGAGGCCCAGCAAGAGTGCTATAAGGGGCAGTTAACAGAGATCTGGCAAATAGAACTATAAGGGGCAGCTCTCATGTATTAATGTCAGAGGGAGGGTACTCACTGGAGCAGTGTAGATGAAGATGACCAAGAGGACCACCAGCAGGACGATGACCACGCCCCCAATGATGTGCCACTTGTAGTGCTTCCAGATGATGTGTTTGAAGGTCTTCAGCGGAGACGTGAACCAGAGGAAGGAGGTGGCCGGGCGGTTGGGCTCATCCAGATGGGGGTTCAGGTTCGGTTCGTCTCTGGCCTTGGCCGCCGGCTTCAACAGTGCCTCTTCCTCAGTAAGAATTTCAATCTCCAGCTCCAGCTTGCCCTGGGCAGGAGAGAGAGAGAGAGGAGAAAGACACACGCATGAGATAAAGACTGTGTATTATACTCAATTCAGTGGAAAAGTCACTAAGAAAAGGTTTGATGTGGGAAAACGAAGAGTTAGACTACTGTTAAGATGTGACTCATCATCTCACATTACTATATTATAGAGCATTTTTGACATACAGTAAGTTCTCTCTCTCCCTCCTCGGAAGTGAACACCGGCCACCAGCCCTTCACTCTCTTCTTGTGGAAGAGGTCGAGCACCAGTGATGTCGGAGGAGGCCTTGCGTTTCTTTGCGGCCTCGACAGTTCCCGGTATGTCGTCGTCGACCTCTTCCTCGGGAGGCAGCTGGTCCACAGAGCAGTCGATCGCTTCCTGCACCGGCTCAGGGATCTGTATCAGGTTGAAGTCAATGGTGCCTGGGGGAGGAGAGAATGGGTATTATCATTTGATGAACGTGTAATAGTGTAGGACTAGCTCAGTCTAAGAACAGAGAAGGACACCTGTCTAATAGTGACACCCTTTCTCTGTGAAACTCTGCATAATGGACACGTTGGGGAGCAGGCATCTTGTAATGGAGGTTGTACTCTCTTACGAGGTTATAACACGAAATCTGGACATCAAAGTGTCCCTTAAGTTTTTCTCTAACTGTATAATATTTCTCCAAGAACAGTGCCTTGTTAAAAGCCCACTCACTCACCGATGAAATCGTCGGGACTGAAGAGGTCGTTGTCCCACACTTGGAGAGTGAGGCGGGGAGCCACGTGGACCTCCGTCTTGGTCAGACTGTAAAAGTGCTGCTTCTTCTTGATGACTATGACCTGCTCGGGAGGCAGGTATTCGAAGGGAAACACCATCCTCCAGTTGAAGTTGCCCTCTCCGTCCATGGACCTGTAGTGGACGTCGGTCTTCTGTGTGTCGTCCTGGCCACGGATCCAGCTGAATGGAGATGAGTCAAATCGGTAAAGAAGACAAAGATGTTGCAGAGGTTGAGGAATAATTGGGGAGAGTGTCACGATAGGTTGAGGTGGTACAAATTTCAAACGTGGGCTTGAAGCTCAATAAAGAGGCAAACACAGAAATAAAAGAGAAATAGAGGAGAGGGGAGAGGGGGAGTAATCTAAGGGACGCCAAAGTCAGTCCATAAGTGTCTGATTTGGATGCTCTCGCTCACCCCTTCACGTAGATATCGCTCATGGCGTCGCCGGTGACGACTGATATCTCGTCCAGGAGAACGTCCTTGGTGTTGAACACCACGACTCGGAGGACAAACTTGTCAGGTTTGCGAGGAGAGATGTCGACTGGCGGGGGTAGGGCACCCTCCTTGGGGAAGATGTCAACCCACATGTGCAGTGTCCCCTGTAGCAACAGAACATAACCCAATCCAACTGAGAGCACTGGTATTACGGTGACACTGGACACGTGTCAATGTATGGGCATGATGGTCAAACGCAACATGTTGGATGATAGCAAGTATTGAAAGTGCATCATACCCATACATTCAGGTTGCACGAGACTTACGGTCCTAGTGTTTTAGTTGCTCTACCGACAGTAGTGTGTGGTTGCATGATTTACCATAGAAATGTGTGGAATGATGGGGTTGTAGAGAGTTCGCTCCTCAATGTGCTCCGGAACAAAGTTGCACTTTTCCTTGATGACGTAGAGTGCCAGCCGCTGCTCCTTGTCTCCAAGATCGTCTTCCGGCAACGGGCGATCGTGCTCTGTGGGAGGGAAAACAGAGGAGGAGAGGGAGAGAGATAGAAAGGCTAACTTTGTTGCGTAGTTTACAACCACTACAAACTAGTGTCTCCTTCCGTTCTTTCGTGAGCTTCGTTCGTTAATTTGTAAGAAGAAAGGACTCTCAATAAATAGGAAGGGGAGGTCGAATCACAAGATTAACCAGCTGGCTAAATGCTTGGCATTGCAACTAAAACACCACCATTTCATTCCCCAGCTCCTGCATCAGCAGACAGAATCGGGACCATTCACGGAGGTTCTACTCACCATATCGATCCAGAGAGTACTCGGTGTGGTTTATGACGACCTTCTTTTTGTCGGGAGACCACTCCGGAGGGTTAAAGTCCATCATCTTACACCAGTCCTCCAGGATCTGAATCGGTAGTTCTCGATCCCTCCACTTGTTCACCCCTCGTCTGATGGAGAGAGGAAGAGAGGGAGGTGGAAGAGAGAAGAGGGAGGGAGGAAGAGAGAAGAGGGAGGGAGGAAGAGAAACAGCAAACAACAGAGAAAAGAGGTTGAGGTGGAGAGGGTAAGGAGGTAAGGGGAAGGAGAGGGAAGAGAGGGAGAGGAAGGAGAGAGAGGGCGGAAGAAAGAAAACAGCATGAAAAGAGATGGAGGGGAGAGGGAAGGTATATACAGAGATATACAGTCAGAGCTACATATGCACACTCCACCACTAGATAAAGGAAAGCCAGGCACTTGTCACAGGAGGAGACTGACTTGCAAAATGTGTCGGGGAGGCCGCAGGTGGCGCGGTGGCGGGAGATGAACCGGTTCTCCAGGTCGATCTTGGTCTCCCCGATGAGGTCATCGGCTGAGAACCTGTCCCAGTCCATGACTGTCACCGTCAGCGTGTGGTCCTGCGTGGACACACGTCACATCAGTGGGGGTAAATTGGGGTGGTGCTATATACAGTGGAACCCCTCTAAGGCGGACAACTTAGAGCCACAACTTAGAGTCCGTTGTAGAGGGGTGTCCATTAAGCGGGGTTCCACTGTACAACCAGCAACACACCAGCAGCATGTCTATATGCCTGTGTTAAGTGAATGTGACAGTACACAAGGGCTATACGTAGGCTCCAGTGCAGAATGCAATGGTTTCCATTTATAGCGACAGTTCTCTCACTTACATACATACCACATTCTCTCTAAATTGCAAAGGAGGTTCATAAGCTGTACGCCACTAATTACGCAAGCAGCAGTGCCGGTGCTAATGCTGGCTCTTGCAACAGTTATATTCCTGACAAAAATGACACACACACGATAGAATGATAGAAACACTCACAATGGGGAGGTGAGCTTTCAGCTCAAACATCTTGCCAAATATGGGGTTGAGGTTTGAAGGAATGTAGCCGTCCTTGTCGGCGATCTTCTTGCCTTTTCCACCCTTCCCGACCTTCACCTTGATGTAGGGGTCCGACTAGAGGGAGGGAGAGAGGTCAATTCACTATTACATCATTCAATTAGGCTTAAAATTGAGGGGGGGGGTGAAATCTATTCAACATTACACTGTCCAGTTGAAACACCTCAATATTGAATTACGAGGTGTCAATGAAGTTGAGAGAAGGGTAAGGGAAGTTATGTATCTTATACAACCACTAGTATGTATATATAAATACCTTTCCATCAGGGTCTTGAGCCATTAGGTCGACAGCCTACACGCAACGACAACACAAATAGAAAACCCAATTGAGGGAGAAGGAAGAAAGGGAGGAGAGACTATGGAGGGACAGGGTAGAGGAACAAGGATGGAGGGAGAGCGAAGGGCGGAGGGAGGAGGGAGGAAAGGAAGAGGGCTCACTCGAATGACGTATAATCTGACGACACACTCGACAGGTTTGGTGTTGATGGTCTTGGAGAAGACGGGTGGCGGCTCCTTGGACCCGTCGTCGGGCAGTGGGTACACCTTCAGTGACCCCTGTGAGCAGACGTAGAGAGAAGATTAGGAGGGAGGCAGAAGGGTAGAAAGTTATGTAGGGTTAACTAGACAGAGCTGAAATGGAAGAAAAGAGGGGAGGGTAGATAGGAGAGGTGTAGGTTTGAACACTAGTAGAGAGAGAGGCCAAAAAGAGGGGAGAAGGAGGTAGGGCAGAAAGATAGAGAGGAGAGGTGTGTATAGGTTTTACTAGACAGCAGAGTTTGTAGAGAAAGAGAGGGCAATGGAAGGAGGGTAGGAAGATGGCGGCAGACCTTGAGGAGGCCGACTGACTCTCCCGCCAGCTCCTCTGGGTCTCTGGATCCCTTCCCACGGTAGAGATGGAAGGTCTGGGCCAGGTCCTCAAACTTGTTGAACGACTCCTCCAGATCATTGGGGTAGATCTGCACGCACATACAGTCATTCGCTGTAATACAATGCTACGGTATGGGGGGGGGCTGCATAGCTGGTTTTTAGCTGGGAACTTTTGTTCTAAGAACAGATATTTTAATGCACCAAAAACGACTTAATGCAGTGTGCCTAGATGTGCATTGAAAATGACGAAATCAATTTCGCTTGCTTGAAACTGATAACTTTACTGAGGTACAGAGGCATCAATTTGAGAAGAGAAAGTACAGTGTCGTTAGTGCTGTTTGTGTGTGTTTGTGCGAGCTTTCACCTTCATCTTGTCGTAGCCCTCGTCGATGTACTCTTGCTGTGTACGTCGCGGGTCGTCAATGGAGTAGTAATACTTTGACCACCAGTCAAACTCCACCTTCTTCTGGCTGTCTGGATCGGACTGGAGAGGAGGAAGAGGAGGAGGAGGAGGAGGGAGGAGGAGGAGGAGGAGGAGGAGGAGGGAGGAGGAGGAGGAGGGAGGAAGAGGAGGAGGAGGAGGAGGAGGAGGAGGGAGGAGGAGGAGGAGGGAGGAAGAGGAGGAGGAGGAGGGAGGAGGAGGAGACATAAGAGAACGAAGCAGTTCAACCAGATGAAGACAGTGTCCAACAGTAAAGAGAGAGGAATGGAGAGGTACAGGAGAAGGAGAAGCAGAAAGAGAAAGAGAGAAGTTAGGATAATGAGGAAGGAGAGAGAGGGGAAATAGCTCACATCCAGGGCCTCCTTGACATCCTCCACAACAACGGTCACCTCTCCCTCGTAGATGGAGGGGGTGGGCGTGGCCACCTTGTGCGCCACGGCAACGGCAAGCTTGTGGGACTGAGAGGGTTTGGGTTCGACGATGAATGACCTCATGCACTTGACGACATGAGTGCCGACCAGCGGGCAGCGGCCAAAACTACGTTTGTCCATCACACGGATGTTGAGGGGCGGGGCATACAACTCCTCCTTGGGCAGCAGCTGCAATAATGTACACAACCAACACAACACTAAGTCATCATGCGGATCGAAAGACCTAATGCTTCAAGATGTATGTAAGTCTGTGAAATTTGCATCCCCTCTGTCTGAAAGGTTGGGAGTCCATGTCTCCCCCAGCAGGTTTACATACAAGGCCTCTGCAAATTCTGTTTCTGGAGGTTTTCTCCAAGTAAAATTGCCAAGTTGAGAAGTAGTGAAGATCTAAAACTGACCACATCGAAGGAGAGGACGGGGTCCGGGAAATTCGGGTTGCTTTTCGTGTTTTTGATTGGCTTCGACTTGACGGCCACGCCTCCACACTCAAACTCCACGAGAGGGGACATGACCGGGAGCAGCTGGAACCTCTTCATGTCCCTGACTCCCCAACACAGGATCTGGAGGCACAGAGGACACCAGATGATGGGAGGAGGAAAGGGGAGCGAGCATGCTCTATGCAATGCCATTTAGGTTCCCAAAAGATTCCGTTATAGTTAGACGCACTCACTATTTTTACCGAGGAAGAAAGATGGAAGAAGGGTAGGGGTAGGGAGTACGAGGGAGAGAGAGAGAGAGGGGAGAAGAGAGGGATAGAGAGGAAGGAGATGGAGTGAGATTACCTCGACTCTGTTCTTCTGAAGGATTGGCCGTATTCCGCTGGGTACAATGTAGTGGGTGTGAGGTGGGGAGGCAGTGGGTGGAGTGAACGGCAACTCGTTACCCTCGTCCTAAACAACAGGGAGCAAATGAGAAGTGGAGAGAGAAAGGGAGAAGGGGGAGAGGGAGTTAGTGTTATAAGGACAAAATTTTACTACAAACCTTATTGTATTCTCCTCAGGTTCTACTGTTTAGTCCCAACATTCCCAAAACTAACCCTTGTGCACTGCCACATTCACTTTAATAAAGCTCCCTCTTCCATTGGTGAGGTGGAAACTCACCAGTAGCAGTTCGAAAGCGGCGAGGAGCTCTCCGCCATACTTGTTGTATCTGACGATGGGGAACCAGTCGAGGCGTGGTCCGGGCGTGTCCAGAGAGAGCCGGATAACCGGGCGGACCTCCGTACGACCTATGAACTCATCACGACCCTACGAACAGAGACGCAGAGTGAGCACGGGGAAATGCACTGAGCACATGGAAGGCATATGAAAAACAAAGAACAGAAACAGTAAGCCAACTCAGATGCACACACACACACACAGTATTTTTATGTAAACTTTTGCGACAAAAATAACTAATCACTAAAGCAATATTTCAAGACACGTTTTTCACAAATGAGGTTGGGCAGTATTACATGCATGCGGTGGACCAAATCAAAGTATTCACGGAAAAATTGATGATTTCAGAAAATTGTACATGGATCTGCATAAGCAATGAGAGTGCCCCGCCCACTTACCACAGTGTCTTTGTCCATGAACTCTATGATGATGGGCGGAGGAGACTCGACGACTTTGCTGGTGTCGCCAAAGATTCTGATGCTCTTCATAAGAATGGTTTGGTCCCAGGTGGGGCAGACTGTCTCCGAGATTACTCTCGTTCGGTCGCTTGACGTGTGGAACGACACCAGGCAGTACGGGTCTGGGGGTACGACAACATGGAGGTATGGGAATGGGAGAATGGGAAAACAGGCTCGAGTATACACACAAAACAGCAAGGAAGAGAAAAAGGTGATTCATACCATGTAAAAAACCCCTACACGCATACTCTCCCACAAGACTATCCCCACAAGTAAAGTAGGAACACTTGCATTATGGGGGGAAATAGGTTACCTGAAAGTCCTGATTTGTCGCCGCCGTACATGTCTCTGGCCTGGTAGATGTAGGCCCTCAGCTGGTAGGTGTGGGCCGGTGCACTGAATGTCACAAAGATCCTCGGGACCTGCTGGTTCCCCACCTCCTCGTCATCATCGTCCTTCTTTTTCTGAGGTCAGAAGAGAGTTAAAATCCTGCACCGAGAATTGAATGGTGTGCGGGGTGGTCTAACCTTCCTCTCTTTGCCTTTAAAGTGGAAGATGGCCGGACGGCGTGGGTCGCCGGTCAGCTTGCGGAGGTAGCGACGTCGACGAGCGAAGTCGAGTGGGTGTCTGGTGATGTGGTAGGTGAGGTGTGCGAGCCTCGCGTACTCCCAACCTTCCTTCAGTGCCGCCTCTCTCTTTTGCTGTACAACACAGAGACATATGCATACGTTCATCCCTAGATAGTGGTTCAAGTCTAGTAGTGGTCCGAGGAAGGACAGAGAGATATGAATTTCTCTCCCATGGAATTCAATCCAGCACTTCAAAAAGACACAGAAGTTGTGAATGATCCTAACATCAACCCCACCTTCTTCTTCTGCACGACTTTGGCGTTCTTGTCCCTTATCCTCATCCGCACCCACCTCCGTCGCCGGAAGAGGTACCCGTTCCTCTCGTAAGGGACCCAGTTGCCCATGCCGGCCTCGATGGCATACTCCCACCCCTCGTCGTCGACCGCTCGGCCAATGTCAACCTGCCAGTCGCTCTTCCACAGCCAGCCCTCGGGGCACTGTAGCTGGTCCTTTGTCACTTCCTTCTCCTCCTTCCCGTCGTTCTCTTTGATGGCGTCGCCCGTCTAACACACACACAATGTAGTAACGTAATTCTAGAACATTAATGTAAAACCTTTCTGGTGAGTGAATGCAAGGAAGCCCATGATTTTTTCACATGCCCATTGCGTAGTGTGACGATATTGATTGACAATATTGGAAAAATTGCTACATTCAGAGGTACGTAGGCTCACTTCACCCACCAATAAAGCAGTCAAGCACCACAGCAGTGGTTTCATACGAATTAACTATGGATCTCCTCAGTTCATAAGCATCGACACGCTCACAAACACATCTTTTCGCATTTTTTTTCAACCCCTACAATATTTCACCTTCCATTGGAAATTTTAACCCTACACGACACGAGTCTTGCGGAGGACCATGTACATACCACGTTGGTCCAGTACGACTTGCTTTCGTCGGGCCAGCTGGAGAGAGGGTAGCGAGCCTGGTTCTCGTAGATCTCCTCCATCCACTCGTCGCGGCTCTCGTCCATGTCAAACATAGTACTGCGGGAGGGGAGGAAAACCACAATCGTTCCACCCCACTCTTACCAACTCCATAAACACAGCACACAGCTACCTCATGCAGTATCTGTAGTTCTTTTGTGTAAAAACACTTAATAATTCATCTACATATTAAGGGTATATACGTACACTATTAAAAGGTGTTTTGGCAGCATTGGGCCGGCAGGGCCGAGAGAGTGAGGTATATCTACCTGAGTTCAGGTTGTTGGAACCAGGGGCCGTCCCAGGACCACCCGTGAGGCGGAGGGTCGAAGGCATCCATGGACTGCTTGATCTTCCCTCGCGAATCCGACCAGTTTGGTCGCGTCAGTCCGATGGTCCCCCAGCGACCCAGCAGGCATGCCTCGTTCTCGTACTGAGCAACAGAGTGTCATAGAGAGAAGAAATGACTGAGCAACGGAATATAATTCCCGCGTGGAGAACTGAAGCAATGTATAAAGTCTCTGGGGATATTGTAGAGCTAGATACTGGGACACGTACAGTTTCAGCATAGACGGCGAAATCTCCTCCGATGAGTTTGACTTCTTCTGCAAAATGGCTCTTCTCTTTCTCCATCTCCAGCCACAGCATCATCCTCACCTGAGCCCCGTCCTTGAGGTCTTCCAGATCCTCATCCTCTTCCACCGTGGGAGGCTGAGGGATGAGAGGGAAGAAGAGACGTAAGTTGGGGTAGTTTTGAGGCAAAACATTGTTGTTGGGTTAAAAATTTTGGGAATAATACACTTTTCGGTTAGCCACTCTTACTATACCGAAGAAAAAATTTTTACACATTGAGACGTGGAATGTGTGATAATTTTATGCTCAAATGAAAAATCGGGCACTGGTTTACAATGTACAACTATCGAACATCAACTGCAGCTATTGCCCACGTGTGGCACAACGTACGGCCAGGAACAGAGTCTGGACTTTGCTGCAGAGCTGGCCACGCCCCTTTCCGTCGGCGTAGAACAGCTTGTGTGCCGGGATTCTGATGCACGCAACTCTCTTCCGGCCGGCCAACATCCACACTATTACATCCGGGATACACTGCTGCGGCTGTGGGCAGAGAGGAGAGAGGTGAAGGAAGCACGACACGAAAAAGTTCAGTTCAATGGGTTTGCTTGTACAAGCTCTTCCCCGTATTATAAGTTTGTGTAGTGTGTATATATACAAGCAGAAGAAATTGTCGATGCAGTGCTGGGCATCTAAAAATTCTAAAACTCTGGTATGCTCATAGGGGGAGGGAGGGGGTGAAAGAGTGCCTGTTGTGTGATGATGAGTGTGAAAGTGTGAGTCATGTGTTGTGGGAGTGTCCAGCATATAGTAATCTTAGGAGCAATTTCTTAGTTGCCCTGCAGGGGAAGCTTGGGGATGATGGGTTTGAGCATTTCCAGTCGCTTGATAGTTTCAGGAAAGCATCCTTTATATTGGGTAGTGAACTGTGGGAGGATAAATTTGGTTCTTTGCTTGGCCTTGTTAAAGATTTTATTTTGGATGTTTGGGAGCTAAGAAAGGTTAGGTTATACGGCGATAGTCCCCACGTACAACAAACCCAGTCTCAGATTGCGTCTGGGGAGCTGCAGGGTGTCGCTGGTGGAAGGGGTGAGTTGAGGTGTCTGGGAGGTGAGACAGACACCTCATGTTCATATGGTGTATGTTCGTGTGTTAACGGTTCCGCCCATTGCTCTGGGTGCGTGGTCTATGGCCCTAGTGCTATGGCAGCCACCTGAGTATTATTATTATTATTATGCTCAGAAAAACGCTGCGCAGTGCACCGCCTCTCTCTCTGGGGCTACAAGTGTGTACATATAGGTGGAGGAAATAGGAGATGGAGAGCTGGGAGCAGGCACGGACAAGAACTGAAGAGGAAGAAGGAGGAAGGAATGAGGTCATGCGTACCTCGATGGCCAGGTTCCTCAGACTGTTGATGTAGTCCTCACACTCGTCCACCATGTCCTCCAACTTCACCGGACTGTTGCGGAGGTAGATGGCCGCCCTCTCCAGCTCTTTCTGTGCACCGACATAGTACACACACACACACCTCATCCACTATTGCACTACCACCATCCCACATAGCCAACTACAAAACTTTGAGGGGGCACACTTCCGTAAAACTTTGGCAGTTCCAGATAAAAAAACTGCCAAAAGTTTCCTCCATGAAACCTTTTGTAAAGGGACAATTAGTACAGTGGAAGCAAGAAACATGCTTAAACCTGTCAATACAGGTAGACAACTCAAATTTACGCAGAAAGATTTTTTTCCAAGCAAAAATATTTTTCAGGTTTTTTCTCTTGAACATTCCATCATGCAGTATAATATAGTGTATAAACTGGTGTGTATAAACTGCTGTATATAATACACGTACCAGTTCTTTGACTCTAACGCCACGTCTCAGTCTGTCCAGTTTAGTGACCTCCTTGTCTGGGAGCTGAGGTAGACCTTGACTGTAGGGGAGGTGATGGAGGACCAGACTCAATGTATGTATGTATGTATGTATGTATGTAGGAAGCTAGTAGTTCAGGGAGGGAGAGGGGGATAGGAGGGAGGGAGAGGGGGATAGGAGGGAGGGAGAGGGGAGAGGAAGGAGGAGAGGAAGGAGGGAGAGGGGGATAGGAGGAATGGAGACGGGGAGAGGAAGGAGGGAGAGGAAGGAGGGAGAGGCAGCAGACCTAACATCACCGATGAAGTCATCCAAAACGTCTCCCAACTGGCTCTTGATGGCGTCAATGTCGTACAGTTCCACAGACATCTCCTTCTTCACCTCCACCAGCCCCGTTTCCTGGAGGGAGGAGAGGGAGGGAGGGGAGGGAGGAGTAGGAGGGAGGGGAGGGAGGAGTAGGAGGGAGAGAGTGTGAATTAGGAGGAGGAGGCTCGCCACAATTAAACTGATTAAGAGTAAGATCATGCGGCCTTTGGTTGAGGTTAGTCTGCTCCCAGGCAATAATTGGATCGGTCGACATCTTCTGCCACTAATTATCAAAACCAGTGGCATGATCTGGTAATAATAAAACCACTTAGTGAAAAAGATCAGATGTCTAATTGATTTCGTCGAACTTGCTGTCAGACAAACATTGACCCTCTTAGCCACCGTCTCCAGGCAGTGTGGAATGATCAATCTCGAACCTCCGCCATATATGGCATAATTAGAACAAGGCTTCGTCATAACCAGTCTATATTGCCCACTCTGATGTGCTTGTTCGCAGATATTGCCCACTCTGATGTGCCACGAAAGCACGTGGCGGGTGAAAACAGACGTACCTTAAACCACCCACATCAAGGTTAGATCACGCAGAGTTTGCCGAAGATTCCCTGGCTGAAACGAAGCCGGGCATTTTTAGGCGGTAGTTAGCGCAAATGTGGTCAAACTAAGTGCCCACATGAGAACCCAAAACCAACATCGTAAACACAGACACACAACACACACGGTCCAAGTTTGCCTCGTAAACAAGGCTCACTCGAATTAATTGACACAGTCCACACACGAAATCATGTTGTTGTTTTGCCACTACTCCTCCTACATACTGTTGTATATACTCCACTGAAACTGCCATTGTGGCATAACACCAAAACAGGCCAAGATCACAATGATTCAGTTGGACGTGCATGTAACGCACCAGTTTGTCGGCCATGCTGTAGAGAATGTTCATGGAGGTGATGCGGAAGGTACAGTCCTCCCACTGACTGTCCACAACGACGCACGGCTTCTGCTCAAACCACGGGAGATAGTGGTACTGACGTCCGTCAAACAGCGGGTTGCTGGGCGGAGTCGTCGACGACTGGGCGGGGACGTTGGTGTCCAGCTTGTTGCCGTAGTTACCAATGCTGACTTCGAACTCGATGGGTGTGTCGATGGGGTGGATCATGGTTGCGAGAAGAACGCTCCGTAGAGTTTGTACTTGCGTCGACGAAGGAACGGCTATATATGGCATACAGAGAGGGAACACTGATGAAGAACTGGTAACAATTGTATATAGTTGTATACAAACACAAAGGTTTTGGCTTCTGGGTAGATTTGCCCTCATTCAGCTAGCAAGACAAATATTACCCCTCCTACACACCGTTTCTGTCTTGACAATTTATCATCCTCTCTCTCCACTCACCCATTCAAACCCTCCACACTCCCTCCACACTCCCTCCTCCCTCACTGACTGACTCACTAACACTGACTCACCAGGATGGATTTCTTGTCAGCTTCCTTGATGGCCTCCTGTTTGTGTGCCGGGAACTCTCCTAGAGTCATGTCCACCTCAACCATCACTCGACCGCGGTACGCAACTCCGTCAATCTGACAAACACACACGGCCACATCACACACACTACTCATTCCACCGACCACACCCCCTGGCCACACCCCACTCACCACGCCCATGTTGAGGTAGTCGTGCTTGTCGGGAAAGTCCGTGAACTCTCGCGGAGACCCGTAAATGTTGACAAAGCAGGGTCCAAAGGTCGGCAGAAACCCCTCTTCTCCTCCGACCGATATCTGGGACATGTTGATGAATTTGGTCCCGATGAAATCGTCGTTTCCGACTTTATCCTTGTCTTTTATTCTGAACCTCATTCTCTCGCACATGGATGGGAACTGAGGAGGGAGGGAGGGGAGGGAGAGGAGGGGGAAAGAGGAGGCATTGGAGGAGTTATGCAACAGGAGGTAACTCATAAGGAAACAGCACAGACGGTTGGTTACTTTCACAGGACAGTCAATACACGGGCAATTTGTAGAGTTTGGTGGACTTAACCAACCATGCAAGAGCTCGCGTTGTGCGTGAACACAACACCTTTGCTTTTCCTGAAAACACCTCTCACACACGCACACACATGCACATGCACGCACGCGAGCTCGCGTTGTGCGTGAACACATCTTTCCTTTTCCTGAAAACACCTCACACACATGCGCACGCATGCACGCACGCATGCACACAATCTCCCACAGCACAGGCAGTCAAAGAACTAGATCTCACCCGAATGCCAAGTCTAATCTGGTGGTTCCATTCGGGATCCTGTTCATTCCAAATAACAGGAGTCTTCCCTTTCTTGCCGGCAAAGGAGACAGTGCAGTACGGGTCAACGAGTTCTTTCCGCACCGTTCCAAAATGAAGGACTTTCTTCACACCCTCGAAGTACCCGGGGTCCACTGTGGTAGTAAGGAAATATACACTAGCAATAAACATTAGTCTGACGTTATTTTATAAGTCACCATACTGTCAGCTTGGCAAAGAGAAGAGAGAGGAGAGTGGCTGTATTTAGCTTTGGAAAGAGAAGGTAGCGAAGAGAGAGAGGAGAGAGAAGGAGAATCTCGAATGAGCGAGGCAGCAGAGAGTAGAGAAAGGAGGAATAGCGCCAGTAGCTATTCAGCTCTTATCAGCGCGCAGCCTTCCTCTCCCGCGAGCGTATAGCGAGGCGCTACTCAGGACGATCGGCTCCTCGAGCGAAGCTAGTCTCGCTAGTATAGAGAGAGGAGATATAGTAAGGCGGAGTCGAATCTAGAGGCAGAGAAATTACGAGTATCGCCGGAGAGAGTATCAGAGAATGAGGAAGAGAAGATAAACAGCTACTCTGTGCTTCCCTCTCCACGGTAGATCTTTATGGCGAGGGTCCCTGACTGAAGCCTAACTCCTGATGGACGCAGCAAATTCCTGCCAGAAACGACAAACAAAAGTATGTGGTGAAATACACTACTGACAGTGGTGTGGCCACTCACGATTCAATGTCGACTGATTCCTGAGTGAGTGTTGAGGGAGAAGGTTTTGGATCGTCTCCCGGGCCTATCACATTGATACTGATCTTCAGGTATCCCTGTGTAAGGTAGAGGAGAGAGAGAGAGAGAGGAAAATAAGTAAGGGAAGGGAGAAGAGTGAAGAGAGGAAGAGACTGGAGGGACGATAAGAGAGGAGGGAGAAGGAGATCTAGTCCCTCCCTTTACTCTCATCTCCTTACCGCTCCCCTCTTTCAGAGCTTAGGGAAAGTCTTTACTATATTACTCTTCTCCCCATCCACTCTCTTGCTCCGGTTCCCCTCTTGCTATGGGATAGATATGTTTATTGTTGGTGTTTTTTGTTTTGTGTTCCCTTTGCACCGCGGGGTCCTCGGGGTCAGTCAGGAGGAGCCACTTGTGAATGAAACTTTTCTCAGGCTCATCGTAAACCATACCCAAATCAAACTGCAGACAAATCGTCACCACACACAGTAATTCACTGACTGCACCATACCAGAAATATTGATTTTTTTTAACACACAGTAGTCGACTGCATTACGCGTTTATCAAAATCTATGGTGTTGATCACATTATTAAGGCCCAAGATTTGACGATCGTACACATAATACTGACTGCAATGGGATTGACATAATATTGAACAGAGCACACAGTTGATGATAACCACATTAAACCCTAACCATCTCCAGTGCAAATATTTATACATCAGCACGACCACTAAACAACGGTCAATGCTTGGAGAATAATTTGTAGGCCATCGTCATAATGACACAGACGGTTGGCAGCAATAGAATCACTTCAGGCAAATGCTTTGTGGGTCAAAGCAGCAAAACAAAGTATAGACACAATCACAACACACACACAAACACAGCGGACTAGAGACACACAGACTCTTTGTCGAAACGTTGGGTTTAGGCTGAAGCGTATTATCACACAAACACACACAACACAGATATAAGACCAATCATTGTGGGGAGGACGAGCAGCGTGCCTGTGTTTCATACCTCTGTGTGTGTGTGTGTGTTGTGAGCGACTACAAAAGAAGAGGAGCAAACCTTGAAGGAGCCGATGAGAGCATCGCGGATGACTTTCTTTGCGTTGAGCACTTTGATCTCCACCACGCGGTCAAACATTTCCTGCGGCCGCTCGTTGAAGGTGAAGTAGAGCATCTAAACAATGGGAGAGAGGACCAAACATCGCCCACTTGAAAAGGACCACACTGAATGCCACTGTGGCTGCCGTGTGCATACGGGCAATGGTGTGTCTACCGTTTGAGTATTATCTAATGTGAGGGAGAGGGGAGGGGGGAGGAGGGGAGTGCTCTGCACTTTCTCTTCTCTTTCCCAAAAACAGAAACCACGACGTGGTTTACATAAACACCGTTTCCAGGCCAACGGAGGTGTGGAGTTGAAAAATGCCTTGCGCCCTACTAAACAGTAAATAGTGTTTCACACGTGCACAGACGCGTTGTTGCAAGTGTGTATGTATGTAGTGTACCTCGTCAAAGAGAGGATTATTGGTGCCTTTTCTGGAGCTGGTCTCCTTGATGGTGGCCCCACAGACGACCTTGACAATGGGATTCAGCTGTCCTCCCAGCAGCTTCCGGGCCTCCAGAACGTGCACACGGACCTACAGGGACAGCCACATGCTGCAGTATATCACGGTACATATAGATAACGGTCGTATGCAGTGGCATAATGGAGAATTGCCATATGACGTACATACATACAGAGAGTGCTGAATAGTACGACACAATACATCAGCAGTGTTTTCACTAGAGATTTTGAAAGGTGCTTAATCCTTGTCATATGTGTGCATGTATACATATGACAAGGATGAATACGATTTCACACGGCAACACACACACATCTGCAGAAGAACACATCGGCCATGCACTTCAGCTACCCATTT